AAATTTATTTCCCATACAAGCTGAATGCAAAAATGTTTGTCTTTAACCCAGATATGGCTACAGCTCAAATAAATTATAATAAAGTATGTTCTCTGCAAATTCATTCTATATGAGGCATATATTAAACAAATTTATAATTTTTTAAATTTTATTTTAGGAAAAAGTGTAAAAAAATGCTGTACAGAATATGGTACACTAGGCACATAGGCGAACATTAAGGTTTAATAATATATAATTATTATTATTATTATTATTATTATTATTATTATTTACCCCGGATGGAAATGCAATACAGACTAATATTTTGATCACAACAATCAACGCCTCCCATATTTGTGTTGTATACATTTACAAGATGTGGCTGTTCTACCTAAAATCAAAAGCATTTTTGAAAAAATTGATTTTCTTGCAGATTGTGTTTCTTACCTGAATACTTTTTTTTATACTTTTGAGAGTATCGCTTTACAAAGCGAATTGGTTGCCATCCTGCGGCATTTGAACAGAGTGTTACTAAATTATTGTCTTGCCATTTTACTGCAATTATGTTTGTATTGCAAATTTTGTTGTAATTGTAACTACCTCTTTTTTCCCTTTTCATAATTTTAGAATCTCTGAATTGGACGCCTTGTAAACGATTTTCTGTAGCAGTACCAGTTCCAAAGAAAAAACATTTTTTTTATTTACGTAAAGTCCATATATTTACTTACTTGGCAAATCGTATTAAATATTCAGCCATGTCACAAAAAATAAAAACTTCACAAAACCGCAAAAAAATCTCAATACAACGATGACACCCAACCGCACGTTACGATTTACTAAGACTTACTGAATACATCTGTGCTATTACCGCGTCAAAATAAGCACAGGTCGTTGCAAGTCGCGACTTGCTTATGGTGTACCATAAATTGTAGGCTAGGCATATCTGGGTTAATTAGATAATAGAACCTATGAACCTGATCAAATTGAATTTTTAGAAAAACAATTTTGATTGAGGGGGTAGTTTTTTAATCTGCTCCATGGTGATACAGTATTCTTGTTAATGAAATATTGTCCTTATTTACTTATCATATTTATGAAAATTGAAAAGGTCTGAATTTACCTATTGCATTATATTTAATATTAAGTCCAAGTATCTTTATTAATTTAATAGTATGTACAGGAAATATTCTCCAAATAGTACATAAAAATAAACACAAAGCTGAATCAGTATATAAAACTGAAAAAAGGAAATAGCAAAAAACAGTGTCAATATGAATATCCTATTCTGTTTGTGAAAACTTCAAAGCTGTGATGAAAGAGGTCAACTATATATATGATTATTCGAGAATTTGTGTATTATTTAGTTAGTGGTTATTGAAAATATACTTTTGTGGAAGTCAAAGCGATATTTCTTCAAGGAAGAGAATTATAACCGACTGAAAGAAGAAGAAGATAAGCGAAAAGTGGTAGCAGCGAGTTTCTCAGAGAAGCTAAACACTTTAACAACACTAATGGATGAAAGCACAGATAAGAGCTTACGTCTCCGAGAGGAAAATTTAAATATGACTTCTAAATTAACAGAACTTTACACACAGTTCCAAGAACGAGAAGCTCATTTGACAAACATGAACAATCAAATGGAACTACAAAGAAAACTGTCAGAAGCACAGCTTAAAAAGCAAGAGGTTGGCTTTGAAGCTGAGAGACATTTATGGCAAAATGAAAAATTAGTATTATTAGATCAGCTTCAGAAAAGTGAAGAAACAAATAAGGTTCTTCAAGAAAATATCAAAACACTACAGGAAAGCTTGAATACTTATCATAAACAATATAGTGACTTTGAAACGACAATGAAAAGAAGTAGCGAGGTAAAGTATTCATGATATGCTGCTTGTTGAAAATTTTTTCCAACCAGCAGTGTTGCTGTGTGTTTTTGGTTTTTGTGTATGCTTGCAGTGTATGTATTGTGCTATTTTGCATTTTTTAACCATTTAGAGCTTACTCATCATACATGGTGTTATTATGCCTTCTATATACAGGGTGGCGCATCGAAAACGAAACAAACGCATTTACTGGCAGCTCAGTGTTTTTTTTGGAAAAACGATTAAAGGTTAAAGTAGACTTTAATAGGTAGATCTGATTAGTTTGTACTACCTTCAGAAGAAATTTGACTAAAAGATTTTACTTAATAAGTAAATGCTTTTCTTCACTACGCCCACGGTTTATCATTTTGTTGTTGAAAATAGCTATTGGAGCGTTTTTTGTGGCAAAAAAGTTTTTTCTTGAAGACTTATTTTAAATAGGAATTTAGTAGATAGTTTGCGATTGATTTGACCAAACTTTGTTGCTAAAATAACTTGTAATGCTTTATTACATAAATTAACCATGGTATATTCCACAGCAGAAAGAGTTGAAATTATCGAAATATTTTTCGGAAATAATCAGTGCGCTAATAGAACAGCAGAAATATTTAATGAGCGACGTGAGAACAGTAACGTGCATCAAAAATATGTTCTAGAACTTGTAGCTAAATTTCGGGAGACTGGGTCAGTCGCCAATAAAAAACGCAACATTGAAAATCACATAAGGAACGAAGCAATAGAAGTGGGGGTTTTAGGGCAAGTTTATGTAGATCCTACGTTAAGTACCCGCAAATTGGAGACTGTGTGTGGTGTTAGTCGACATACTGTCCAACGGATTCTAAAGGCCCATAGTTTTCATCCGCATAAAATTCACCTGGCTCAAGAAGCTAATGAAGACGATTTTGATCGGCGATTACAATTTTGTGAAGATATGAGTGAACGAATTATAAACGATGAACAATTTCTATTCAACACTTGCTTTTCCGACGAACGTTCCTTTTTCTTAAATGGCGTAGTAAATCGTCATAACTGCCGATATTGGTCCGATTCTGATCCTAGAATTTATCATGAGGTTTATACACAGCAGCCACAAAAATTAAATCTTTGGGCGGGTATTTTTGGCGATCATTTAGTTGGTCCTTTTTTCTTACCTGGAAATTTGACCGGTGAAATGTATTTGGAATTACTGGAAAACGCCATAGATCCTGCATTAACAGCCATAATTGAGAATCAGAATGATCGGCGGTACATTGCGAATAGGTTGATGTTCCAACAGGATGGTGCCCCACCACATTACGCATTACGTGTTCGACAATATTTAGATTAGACGTTTCCAGATCGATTGATTGGTAGAAGAGGTGCCATTGAACGGCCCCCAAGATCGCCAGATTTATCACCTTTGGATCTATTTATGTGGGGTCATTTAAAAAGCAAAATCTATGCTACTCGGCCAACATCATTAGAAGACCTGCGACAAAGAATTGTGAATGAGTGCCTTCAAATTACTCCTCAAATATTTCAAAATGTGCGGCAACGTTTTTATCAAAATCTATATTATTGCATGGAGAGTCATGGTGGCCATTTTCAACATTTACTTGCCTAACGGGTCAGTTCATCCCTCATTTTTAAATTACTTTGCTGCCAAATGTATTGATCTCCACTAATGATGATGTATTAGTTTTATTTAAACTTTGAATCAATAAATCTTCAAAACTACTGAACTGAAGTACATTAATTTTATATCATTATAAAGTGAATTGAAAGACCTTTAAAATAAGGTATCACTCGACCCCCTTTCTATTTAAGATTTTGGAGGTGGTGTCACCCCCGCTTAGGGGGCTGCACGTGCTAACGTGTTTTTTTGCCATACTTGTATCCTCTTCGAAAACAAAATCGACGGGTCTGAACGTTTTTCCAAAAAAAAACTGGGCTGGTAAATGCGTCTATTTCGTTTTCGATGCGCCACCCTGTATATATCCATGCACTTAAATGTTGGTCTCAGTCAACACTTTCACTGCTGATGTCACGCTTGCATGACCTTAAGTTCTTCTGCGAGTTGCTGATGTCACACTTGGGTGACATCTGACCGGTTTTTGTTTATGAATTTGGCTTATAATAAAATGTTTTTACTGAGTTTTAATAAAATTGTCTTGATAGAACCTTTCCAACAGAAAAAAATATAATGACACACATGCTATATACTGGGTGGTCCATTTAATTTTTTTTTTTAAAATGCTATAAAAAAAACTACTAAATATTTTTCCAATTTTTTTTTTTTATTTGAAAGTACAATCCCTCCGATTAAGTATGGAATACAACTTCATTTAAATGACTGCCGCGGCTGGCTTTGCAGTAGTCCATACGGTCAGTCCAATTTTTGACCACATTTTCAATCGTATGTGGCTGTATTTCAGCAATGGCAGCGAGTATGTTCTCTTTTATTTCGCCAATTGTTGCTGGTTTGTTGGCATAACACTGGTCTTTAATGGCACCCCATAAATAATAATCTAATGGGGTCAAATCACAGCTCCGAGGCGGCCAAACAACATCAGAATTTCGGCTGATACTGCGATCACCGAAAACACTTCGCAGAAGAGCAATCGTAGCGTTTGCTGTGTGACACGGAGCACCGTCTTGTTGAAACCAGATGTTACCGACATCAATATCTTGAATTTGTGGAAAGAAAACTTCATTTATCATGGCACGGTAACGCTCACCATTCACAGTAACTGCTGCTCCGGCTTCATTTTCAAAGAAAAATGGGCCAATGATGCCACCAGCCCAAAATCCGCACCAAACGGTCACTCGTTCTGGATGCATTGGCTTTTCTTCGATTGCGTGTGGGTTCTCTGAACCCCAAATGCGGCAGTTTTGCTTATTAACATAGCCGCTAAGATGAAAATGCGCTTCATCAACATCTTCATCAAGTTGATTGCAGGCCCATGAAGCGAAGCGAAAACGCATTGGATGGTCAGTTGGCTTCAATTGCTGAACCAATTGAACTTTGTACGCCTTCATACCAAGGTCTTTATGCAAAATTCGACCTAATGATGTGCGTGAAATGTTCAATTGTTGAGAACGTTCTCGCGTTGATGTGCTTGGAGACTCTGCCACACTCTCAGCTACAGCATCGATATTCTCGGGTGTACGCACCGTTTTCGGTCTTTCACGTGTTGGTTTGTCAATAAGAAGACCAGTTTCACGAACTTTTTGCACAAAATACCTCACATACGGTGCTGGCGGTGCTTCATTTCTTCCCATTTTTGCACGTAATTTTCGGACACAATCTGCAACATTACCACCACTTTCGAAATATTGTTTTAATATTTCCCAGCGTTGTTCAAGCGAATACACAACCATTTTCGTTAATCGGAATGATATGACTGATGTTCTGTCAAATCAGATGCGAAATAAGTCTTGACATATCCCAAAAAACCAGTAACTCAAAAAAAAACGATAGATGGACCACCCGGTATAGGCTTCAGTTTACTACTTAGACAATTATAAAGCCTAAAATATTAGAATTTTAGAAAAAAGCATTGCCGCATCTGGGTTACTCTGCATCATAGAAGATAGCAGCGAAAGAGTTAAGAACTTTCTGAGAAAGATGTAGATATCATGGTCAGATATTTCACTAATATGTTTTTGACTAACAGTCAGATGTGGTAAAATCGTAACTAACTTTGTAACAGTAACTTAGCATGACACTTTTCCCTGCTGCTTTTTCTCTAATAAACCAACTGGAAAATTGAAGGGATCCTCAATCTTAAGCTATTTTGAAAACACGGTTTGTTTTGAAGTTAATGAATAATAAACATTTATGCTATTGAATAAATACCGTGGATAACACTTTTTATTCTAATCGCGAAAATTTTCTAAAATGAAATATTATATTTTCCGAGTTTTATATGACATGTACATCACGAAAATGTCACTTATTTCCGTAGGTCTGCATGTCTGTCCGCTAATCCTTGGCCCATCTATAACTTGGATAATGCAGCTCAGGTTTTGACGAAATTTTTACATACGGTTACTACTATGCCAAGGACGAAAAGCTTTGTAGTTTTTGAAAGTCGGTCCAGCGGCGGCGGAGCTAATGGCAAAAAATCTAAAAAAAAATATCGCTTAAACTTCGTTTTTGGAGGTTTTAGAGGCTCCTGATCATTTTCAGAAGAATTTTTAGATGGGTTGTTAAGGGTGGAGAGAGTATATCTCATGATTAGATATATTAGATTATTATTAGACGTATTTCAAACATCATAGATTTACTTGTACATTTGCCCTTAAAACACATCTCACAATATCCTCGACACGCATCCCTCTTTCTCTCTCTCTCTCTCTCTCTCTCTCTGGCGTGACCGGTGTCACAGTCTCCCGTATGAGTGTCGTGCCGTCACTGTCACGCTGCCGGGTCTGCTGAGTGAGTTCATCAAGCGGTGAGGTGGGGGGAAGGGCAAAGTTGCCAAATGGGCGGTACTATCGGTAGGCGAGGGAAAAGATGTCTATGAACTAATCGTATGGGCCTGTTTGACTGACTTGATTTTCCTGTTGTACATATTCGAACCTAACTTTTCTCTCACTTGTGCCGAACATAATCCTTTATGACTGATGCGTGCGAAGTGCAGTCGACCCTACTTACCGCCAGATTTGTTTGGGGTTTCTTATAGTCCCACGGCATGAGGGTATTTGGGTTTGAGGTATATAAAATAAAACTTTTCTAATGTTCGGATGAAAATTATTAACTAACTGTATGCATGTACTGAGTACATCAGTTTAGTTAGTGAATTTTGCTTGCAAGAATCAGTTTTTTTGAAATATAGATATAAAGCCTTATCCTATAGGTGTTTGATACTTTTAAAGAAGAAATAGCTAAGATGCATAAAGCAAACGCAGCACTGGAAAAAGAGAGGAGTGAATTACACGGCAAATGGCATTCAGCAACCCAGACCATCATAAATTTAACCGAGTTGCACCAACAAGCGCAAGTTGAACAAAAGGCCGTAGAACGTAAAGTGAAAATGCTTGAGAAGCTTTGCAGAAAGTTGAATACTGAACGATCTTCGTATATTATACAACTGAAAGAAAATAATATTGAGCCAGTTACCCCCAATGAAGATAATGAAGAGCTGAGTGCAAAAGAAAAACAGATAATGGCTTTGAGAGGTGAACTCAAAGCTATTAAGGAACAACTTAACCACAATGTATCCCCGAAGACTGAAGGTGACGAGGAAGAAAAGGTTAGGAGTAGATGTAATGACCAAAGCCACCTGACCTGAGCCTGTCCCAAAGAATCCAGGCTCCTTTGCAGCTCCAATGTGCCTCTCCATTCCCCAAAGTCCGTGTATACACGTAAAACTGCAGCGCTTACTGATAAAGTTGACCAAAGACAGTCATCGAAATTTGTGTTTATTGTATAACTGATGGGAGCAATTTGGTTAAAATATAAAAATGGTGGCACTTCTGGTTATCCCGTAAGTAGATACCAACTTGCTTATATTGTGTATTATTCATTTTATTGATTATATGTGAGATTCTAAATACATGTCATTTGTCTCATCATCTACCTAAGTCTACCATCTCTTGCTATAACAGGTTTCTCATACTAACTATCTACTTCAGTAGATTTTATTCCGGATTTGGATGAAAATAGTACATGGCAGTCAAATAATAGATATTGGATATTGATAAATCATTTTTTATATTTTCATCGTTTAAGATAAGATAAAATAAGATTAATTTTGGAAAAGGTTGTCTTCTTCCGAAATATATGGAAATATTGATTTTTCTTTGCTTCTGTTTCTCTTTATTTGGCCATGCCGTGGCGACAGCATGATCTACTTAGTAGTTCTCCCGATTTGTTTCATGGACTACCACGAATATGATATTGTAACGAGAACACCGTTTTACTGATCAAAGTCTAATTTATAACAAATTTATAACTGTTGGCTGGGCTGCTATTCCATGAATGTGGAGCTCTCTTCCGCCATGTGGTCGTGTATTTATTCCAATATCGACGAGCCGAGAACCATTCCAGCGTTTTCCAGTCCGAATCGGGAACTTTCATAGAAATAGTCTAGATGGCAGCAGAATAATTTTCAAAGTAGACATCCATAAACAAAATTTACCATAACTTCAACGATTAATACGATGAAATCATAAAGGAGGATGGTAGAATCGAGTTTTTGGTTTTTTAATTTTCATTCAGTTTTTTCTACCACTATGTACTATTTTTTATCCAAATTCGGAATAATATCTACTGAAGTAGGGCCCCTATTATATGAAACCCGTTACGAATCATATGTCAAAGTCAAGAATACGAGAATGTTTATAATTCATTGGTCTGCATTTTTCATGTTTTACGCAAAATTCCAATTCCAAAAACTATTAGGCTTAGGAATAGGGTGATACACACGAAATATATTTAGATTATCGCGTAGAATCTAAAAATTGAACAACATTTATTGTGTTCAATTTACAATAAGCAAGCTGGTATCTACTTGAACTAGTATCGGAAGGGCTAGTATTTTGAAAACTTTGATCTAATTGCTCAAATCGTTTATAGTAAAAACCCAAAAGTTTATAACTGCCTTACGTCAACTTTTTGAGTAACGGATCACTGCGGTTCTACGTGGAACCCTGTATTGAAGATTCAAAAATTGAGTGTGAAATGAATACAGGATGTTACAGAATGCTGCCAGGAAAATTGACAATCAGAAAAACATTATATATTTGATTGAGATATTGTGATGAGTTTCGGTATACCCAAGTGTATTATCGAATGTCTCGTTAAAAGATTTGTTTTCTACAGCACTGCACTTAGATCAATGGTTCTCGTGCCACTAGGTCTTTATGTTTAGTGATAAAACAGAACTTGTTTCTGCAAGTAATTAGTACCAGCATCTCATAGCCAGGTAGATTCTTCTTAAGAAGTGTTTCTTGGAGATCTTCAATTTAATACTGGCAATTGTCATTTGATCTTAAAGTAAATCGTATAATATCCCGCGTAGGGACATAAAAGTTGATTAGCGAGGCGCCAACGAATAGGCTTTACGAATAACGTTTGTTTTCATAAAGTCATACCTCACACTTTTTGAAGGTGATTATTCCAATTTTATGGAAACAAGTTTTTCGTAAAACCTCTAACTTATCACCTAGCTAGCTTGTAGAGCCTTACGCACGAGCTTACACGATTTACATTAGTATCAAAAGAGGATTGTCAGTTTAAAATTTACTAGCCTAAATGCCCTACATATCGCGCCTTATCCGGAACATCAATCTGTTTATCGTTTTTTTTTTATATCGAAGCAGCCGCGCAGGCAGAAGCCTAAATGCCAGGACACCGCGGCTGCTATGAGGATCCCAAAGAAATTTTATTAATCCGATTTTTGAATTGCCTAAGGTTAGTAGAACTGGGAAAAGCTTCCTCTTGTAGATTGTTCTACAATATCGACACCCTCGGGACAAAGGAGCGGTCGTATCGGCCAGTTCTGGATATACGAAGTTCGACACGGTTAGGTTCGGTGGCCGAAGTTAAGCTGCTCTGTGTGGCAGGCAGATCGCGCGCCGACATCATGGAGGTGAGCTGTGAGGAGCAAAGCCCGTTAGTGTAGCGGTAGAAGACAGCTAGATCGCCGACGGCCCGCCGGTGCGAAAGGGTCTCGGGACTGTCTGTCATCGATCAGTCGGACAGCCCTCCTCTGGACAGCATCGAGCATAGATAATGTAGTCGGGCTGGCAGCACCCCAAACGTGTGAGCAATACTCAAGGCTAGGTCTTATCTGGGCCTTTTATAGGGCGAGTGCGGAGCAACGTACGTCTTAGCCCTAAACAAACAGACTACCTTTTTCCCAGCAGCCGCCGCTATTGACGAGACGTGTTCATGCCAGATCAAGTACTCGGTAGTCTGACCTCCGACCAGCCGAAATGAACCGCTCTTTGGCAGTACTCGACCATCCATCGAAAACGGATGAGCGCTAGGACGCTTATTGTTCTCCAAGGTACAACCCTCTGTTTTGGAGAAAGTCGCTGGGGATCGGATTGATCGTGCAGGAAAACTGGTCATTGATATGTAAGAGGAACAAAAGGATAATAACACCAGCTACTCTTTTCAACAAACTTTGAATAATAATTATTTGAGAAAATTTTTGAAAATACTGGGGTATAATCTTTTTGTTAAACAAACGGGGAACTTTTTTTATATTCGTACGTGCTGAATGTGCACTTATATTTCCCTGACAATGTTCTGTAATACTGTATATATTATTCGAGGTAATACTCTGGAATCATTTATTTTTCTGTTTAGTCGGCGATAAAACCATCTACTTCCACCGAGGTATTGAGAAAACCTCATAGTGAGGGGGCGGGTGAAAAAGTAAGTTTTTTACTACGCAATAGCATAGGCAACCTTCCCGTTCTTTTACTTCCCAAGCCTCTGTCGAGGAAGTATTGCAATCGCAAAAAATTTCGAAAATGAAATATAATGTTTTTCAGATGTTACTCAGTAGTACAGGGTGCGGCAGAGAGGACGGACGTTTTTGGGATGGGTAGTACTCTCCGCCTCCGTCTACGAGAGAGGTGGGGAGGGTGCCGTTTGACTCGTGAGATCCTAGCATTATTTTACCAGTTGTCGTTATGGAGCCTTGGACGGTGGAGCACCGCGTTTTCGCCTACGATTGTTTCGTCCGAAATAATGAGTCAGTCATCGTCGTACAGCGTGAGTTTCGTCGCCACTTCAACATTAATCGGAATAGAGCTGTTCGCTCTCGAAACACCATCCTTCTTTGGGTTGAATCACTTCGCAGGCGTGGTGAACTGATCAACAGAAGACCAAGAGGAGCGCCGCGAACAGTTCGAACTCCTGAAAATGTTGAACGCGTTCGACATGTCTTTCTTCGCAGTCCGACTCAATCTGCCTGGAAACATGCTGCTGCACTTCGCCTTAGGCATCGTTCGGTAATGCGAATTTTGCATATGGATCTCCGCTTTCACCCCTACAAATTGGCCATTGTGCAACAGCTACAGGCCGGAGATTATGCACAACGAATGAACTTCGCACGTGAGATGGAAGCACTGATCGATCAAAATGAGAACCTCATTTTGTTTATGAGTGACGAAGCCCACTTTCACCTAAACAGCATGGTTAACCAGCAGAATTGTCGTTATTGGGTTAATGAAAATCCGCAACAGTTACACGAAAGACCGCTGCACAGCCCAAAAGTAACGGTTTGGAGCGCTGTATCGCAAACTTGCATCATTGGCCCTTACCTCTTAGAAGACGGTAATGGTCGTGATGAAACCGTGAACTCAGAGCGCTACGTCGACACGATCACCAACTTCTTTCTCCCTGAATTACGAAGGCGACGTGTTCCAATCCGACGTGTGTGGTTCCAGCAGGATGGGGCGACCGCCCACACAGCCCGAGCATCCATGAACGTCATTCGCCCTCTCTTCCCTGGTCGCCTTATTTCCAGGTTTGGCGATGTTCATTGGCCTCCTCGGTCCCCAGATTTATCCATATGCGATTTTTTTCTTATGGGGGCACCTCAAGGCTAGAGTATACGCGAACAAGCCCCGAACTCTGGACGAATTGAAGGGCGAAGTTCGCGTGGAAGTCGCCCAAGTTGAGAGAGCGATGTTGGAGAGAGTCTACGCGAACTTCCAAGAATGCCTCCAGCACTGCATCAACGATTTCGGCCACCACATGCCTGATGTGATTTTCCACACTTGACTGTCTCAAATGCTATTTCCCTGTGAACCTGATTCCATCAATAAATTCGTTTTCGAGTAAAAATTAACTGTTTTATGATTTTTTTAAAACCGTCCATCCTCTCTGCCGCACCCTGTATTATTAACTGCGTTCGGTCCTGTTGCCGAAGCTCCGCCTACTTTGCTCTATTTCTTTTTGTCAATAAGCTTGACCAGTCTAGGGAACTGGCTATGCTGGCAACCATGTTACAATACTGCAATTTTGTGTGCAGAGATGGCGCTGGCAAATACGAATTTGAATTGAGTGATTCAATTTGAACCTTGATTTATGTCCTATCTTTCGCTCATGTTTTATGATCTAGTAGTTAACCAACGTTTTAAATAATGATTAGTATAGTGCAGATAACGACAGACAATATGTGATTAGGTACATATCACAAGCAAATTTTAAAAACTATATAGTGAAAGTTCTCGTTACAGTTTTAGGGCCATGCTTAGGAAATCTTATGATTTTTGCAATTAGCACTCGACGCGCTATCTGCTGGACTTATTACCTACTAAACTTTTGTAGCCTATTTCTTATATTATTTTACAAAAGTAAGCTAATTTCTGCCGTTCACAAATACTCACGGTACAGTAATCGCGCGTTAGTTCGAAGCAGCGTATGGCGTCGGTACGGCTATCGTCGTTCTGTGTCGTCATTGGTTGGAATTTAGCAACACCTCCTTGCAGCTCCCAATCTTTGTTGAGGGCGGGGTTGCCAACCCCAGATTTATCCATATGCGATTTTTTCTTATGGGGACTCCTCAAGGCTAGAGTATACGCGAACAAGCCCCGAACTCTGGACGAATTGAAGGGCGAAGTTCGCGTGGAAGTCGCCCAAGTTGAGAGAGCGATGTTGGAGAGAGTCTACGCGAACTTCCAAGAACGCCTCCAGCACTGCATCAACGATTTCGGTCACCACATGCCTGATGTGATTTTCCACACTTGACTGTCTCAAATGCTATTTCCTTGTGAACCTGATTCCATCAATAAGTTTGTTTTCGAGTAAAAATTAACTATTTTACGATTTTTTAAAACCGTCCAACCTCTCTGCCGCACCCTGTACTTTAAAGTTTGTTTAGTTGTTAATGACGCAGATTTTATTGCCTCCTGAAAAAATCAAATTATGTGACTTATGACCAATTCAATTATAGTCTGTCATTGTAATAAAGAATATGTTGAACTTCAGGTAAGCGCCAAAACACCTGGATCCGATACTGATGAGTCTTCTGATCACAGCGTTCATACTATCCCTCTTCGCGAGTCAGCAGCCAGCCTTGATTTGCCGGAGCTAAGTCGCAAGCGCGATGTAGGCTGCTCCACGTCTTCTGATCACAGCGTTCATACTATCCCTCTTCGCGAGTCAGAAGCCAGCCTTGATTTGCCGGGGCTAAGTCGCAAGTGCGATGTAGCATGCTCCACGTCTTCTCTCAACCTGTGTGATGCTACTATAGGCCAGGGAGAAGCATCTAGCGTCCAAGATGAAAAAAAGAAAAAGAACAAAAGGTAAGCTGCGCTTCTCACGCATTTGTATAATATTTGTATATATCCTGAAATCACTTTGTTTAATTTCGATTGTACTGCTACAACAGTAATAATAATAATTTTGATAAGAATAGAGGCCCCTTATCTATGGTAAAGTTCTTTTTCATAACAGATATGGTGTCAGATACGTAAAAATGATGTTATTCTATTAGGGCTGTTTGGACGCGTTTTCCATGTCCGGAAAATTATCAATATTTCTGAAGACTGAAGAAGGTCACAATCTATTCGGTGATGAAGGGAATAAGCCACTCATTAAAAAAATTACATATTTTTGACACGTATTTGAATAATTGGCTTTGCAAATACCCTGTATGTATTTCTTTGTTATATGACTTTCATATACATATTTAAAAAAAGCACAATTATCAAGCGTCATATATATATATATATATATATATATATACAGTGATGGACAAAAGTATATAGACAAATATGAATATTTACCTAAATACCTTTAGAAAATGAATTCATACTTCATTGCTCCATAAACAAATTCGTTATTAGTAGAAAAACTAAATTCCTTGTTTTTACATTATCTGCAATGAACAAAATAGAAGTCTGAATATAAGCAGTTTTTTATGAGGGATAAAAATATGTAGACAAATTCTTTTCAACATTAGTTTAGTACAGTTTCGTGTCAGAAGAGGATTAGTTTGTGTTCGTCAAGTATTGTGGAATAAGTTGAGTGATTTTAAGACCATGCTGCGTGGTCCAGAAATTGAGTTATACAAAGATGGTCAACATCAAGTCGACATTGCCAAAAATTTGAAGCTGAAGCGTAAAATAGATTGGGCAATATTGAACAAATATAAACAAAAAGGTATCTTGGAAGCCTCTAAGAGAAGTGGTCGGCCTAGAAAACTAAATGCTAGATCAGTTAGATTAATTAAAGTAATTTCGTCCAAAGATCCGTTTAAAACCCCATGATAAATAAAAGCCGAAATCGAGACAAAAGGAATTGTCAGTGTTTCTACAAAAACTATAAGTAGAAGATTGAATGATTTGAAGTTATTTGCACGTCGCCCGAGTAAGAAGCCGCTAATCTCGAGGAAAAACCGTGATTGGAGCATCTGTGACTGGAAGAGGGTATGTTTCAGTGACGAATCCAAGTTCAATATGTTTTGATCATATGGTGTTCATTACGCTAGACGTCCTAGTGGACAAAGATTGAACCCCAAGTACACTTTGTCCACTGTCAAACAGTGTACTTGGGGTGCTTTTCGGGGTTTGGGATGGCACCTTTACATAGAATAGATGGCATTATGGATAAGTTTGTATACACAGACATACTAAAGCATGTCATGTTACCCTATATGGAAGACAATATGCCCTTAAGATCCATCTTCCAGCAAGATAATGACCCGAAGCACACTTCAAATCTCGCAAAGAAATTCTTTCTGGATGAAAAAATACCAGTTCTCAAATGGCCTTCACAGTCTCCAGATATAAACCCCATTGAAAATATATGGGAATACTTGGATAAGCAAATACGAGATAAAAATTATTCAAACAAGGATGAGCTTTTTGCCGCTTTAGAGCAAAAGTGGAGACAGATTGATGAATCTTATATCAAGAAACTTCTACAATCTATGCCGAGACGATGCCAGGCGGTGATCGATAATAATGGTTATGCTACAAAATATTAACACAAACATGGTTGGTTTTCTATAATTCAATGAACTTTGCTTCTTTTTTCTATAATTGTTTTGCTTTGTCTATATATTTTTGTCCTTCATAGTTCCAGTTTCTTTCTATTAATTTTTTATTGAAGGGAGTCAATAAATTTATTTATGTACCTATGTGAGTATTATGCTATAACGAATTATATATACAGGTTGGTGTATTAATAAAACAAGTTAAAAAAGAAATACAGCACAATTTAAATTTGTCTACATACTTTTGTCCATTACTGTTATATACAGGGTGACTTTGAAGTTGAGCCATTAATTTTCAGATAATGATTGTAGAAGGAAGATAAACCAAAATATGTGTGTAAAAATAAAAAAAAAATTAAAAAAAATTTTTACCTTGTTTTATAAAGTATCCTCCCGACAAGTATTTCAGTGCGGACCTGTATTTGATCGTGAGGTCCCCTGTGAGGTCTTAAGTCACCTGATTCACGAGCCCGTTGTACTACATTAACAAAGGCACGAGGGGTTGGTTGCACTCCATTGGGAAACCGATCCGCATAAACATGTGCCATTTTGTATTTCGTTTGAGCTACGCAACAGATACCACTATTCACTGACACTGACTGTATACAAATGAATGAAATAATTGTAAAAAGCATCGTTCCAAATTCTTTCGCTTTTTTGTTTCCGATGCGATGAACCGATACAGCGGATTATATCCGTTGTCGCCAAACACGACCACATAATATTATTATTGAGACAGGGCGGTACTCAAACTTCCAAACGGCTATAACTTTGTTACTTTAATTTTACCAGGAAAATGGTAAAGGAAAAAAACATTTCTTTTGATCAGATCTACTCACTGTTGAAATAAATGACTCAACTTCGAAGTCACCCTGTATATAAAGTTTTCTTTCATATAATTTTTTTTCAGAGCTAGGAAGTAAAGCTGCCTCTTTCTGTCCAAGACGTCAACACTGAAAAAGTAGATGTCTTATGTTTGTGTTCAGTGATTCTGTTGGTTTGTTTTATTTATTTTGTATTTTTGCACAATCAGCTGACTTGTCGGTCATGCCTTGTACTGTTGTTTATTTTGTCGTTCATGTCACATTGTGGCATCTGTTGTTCAGTTTCGTTTTACCTGTCACATACTCGTATTTGAGAAGTCAATATTGCTTAGCAACATTATGTCCTCGAATGTGAGTTGTGGATTTTGTTTGAAACATGTTTTATTACCTATTTTGTAACCTTCTTGCCGAAATAAAGTTTGTTGATTATTTTGGCTACTACTGAGTTTTATTTTCATGGGTGTGAAACATGATAGCCTCACGATACTAGCATAAGCTGCTGAGTATGTATTTTAAAAACATTACAAAAATCATTTGTTCTACATCGTAAGCATGAAGGGGGTCCTAGAACATGGCTTTAGGGTAGAGAAATTTATATCTAAAGTAGACAATTTTCCGATTACTAAATGAATATGCGGAGAATTATAAATAAAATACTTTGTGAAGCGATACGCAATGATATCTACTGTTTAAAGAGCAGATTTTTGAAGTAGAAATCAAAGGTAACAATAATGTAGAAAGCTTGTCCGACGTTATTAACGGTCATACATTAAATCTACTATTAGAATATAGATAGTGCTAGAACCATCGTTTTGATGTCATCTAATACCAAGCTATATTAGAAATGGTCAGGAAAGGAAATTTTCTTTGAAACATAGAGATTAGATTACAGTCGACTAGATGGCGCTAAATAAAAATAAGGATGAGATAACATTTTTATTTGGTCTTTATGGTGATGGGTGAGAATGTTGAAGCAAGCAAAAAATAATTCTCTACGACCCGAGTAAGGATAACATGGCCACGCAAGACAAGTATTGAAATATACTCTACTAGACTCTATAAGACTATCCGTAGCGAAATTTTTCTCGGAATCGTTGCATACCGCTCAAAAAATGCAAATGAAGATTGGAAAACTGTCGCTTTGACGTACTAAAAGAATCCGTCGTTACTCCAGGATAGACATACGTTTTGGCAGTTGACTTTGTCATTCTTGTCACCTAGATTGCTGCGTTGCCAGCTCATCGGACAATTTTGCTAGAATGTTATAAAAAAAGAAAGAAAGAAGCTTTGAAAAAAATATTGAGGGATACCAATAGAGATATATGAAATTTGAGGCGTAGCAATGTTTGCCAAAAAAGCTGTTATTTAAATTTTGCGTCGCCTGGCGTCTATGCGGCGGAAAGTTAATGTCTCTGAACACGTTTATAAATGCCCTGTTATATATAAAATACTTTTCGAATACGGGACAGTATTTGATCTAAAATTACATGATCATTAATAGGAGAAGTACGATTTTCATTTTCTCATTTAGTAGGGGAATATGGTTTTTTAGTGACTGCATTCGCACTTGGGCGAGGAAAACCCTAAAAAAACCTCAACCGTCACTGCTAAGACTACTTGTATCAGGTGAAGAAAAATCTAGTCATTCCACAATTCTGGCTACATTTGTATAATCGAAAATCACCAGCATGCCACAGTCATTAACCTAAAAAAAAATAGTATTGAAGTAACTGTTTATGCGATGGTCATTTTTTAAGTAAGAACCGTTTTGCAGTACAGTCAGAAAAATTTTAGTTATGAATGTAAAGCGTACTCGCGGCAAAACTTGACAGCTGTTGTCACAACCAAAAATTACAATACCTTTCATAACAAGTAATTATGGCCTCGTAGAACACCAGAAAACGACGCTAAGCTAAATTTTGTAATATTTAAATACCTCAGTATATGACTAATCTCTCAGTGTATGCAAGGTGCGCAATTTATTTAAAAAACATAAATCAAATCCAAGCGAATAACCAAAATTTCTGTGTTATGTGCCGCGGTTATAATATGGTTCAAGATGACACACGAGTTGATGACGTCAGTTACACGAATCGCTTGAACGCGTTGGTTTTAACCGCGGTTTTGTTGCAAGTTGTTTATTTTAGAAAAGCGCGTATATAATCTCTGATTATTTTTATTATCATTTAATAATCGGTGCTTTTTCGTCTACAACTGTATATGGAAAGTTTAAATAAGAAACCTTCCATAATATTCATGTAAGAAATATTTTTTTCAGATTTTTTTTTAATGATGGAACCATGGCTTTGTAGCTATGATAACTTTCAATTCTCTAAATTTTTCCGCATGTCAAAGAAAACATTTATTGATTCAGCAGAAATGATGAAAAAAGAAATTAGCAAAACCGTATACAGGTGGATATCATCTAATGAGTGTATATGGCCATATTTTAATATTCTTGTGGTATATGGCTACACAGGATACTTTGTTAAGCATAGGAACTACATTTAAAGTGTCCCCAACAACCGTAATGAGTATAACTAATAAGGTGCTCCACTTTATGGTAAAACTGAAGTCAGCCTGTATCATTTTTCTCAAAAATGAAGCTGAAGTACAATAACAATATCCAATATCCGGAAAAATTCTAACTTGTCACATTTCAAATAATAACCAGAAATATAAAACTACTCTTGAGTTGGGTAAATACCACAATTTTGACTGATAACTAGACCCGCTTGAACGGATTGGTAAATACCAACCCAAAACGGTAAATACCATTTCCATTTGGTTATCCGCTTAAATTTGATTATAGTATGTCAACCTTGACACAAGTAGATGCGTATGCAAGGCTCACCTAGTTAGCTGCACAGATATCCTATTTCCCTCAGAAGTAGACCTAATTTCCGCTTTGGAGACACTTGACACCCACTTCACAACACCAAAACACCACTGACAGACAATCAAGAACGCTTTACTGAACACCACTACTGAAAAAAAGTAGCTAAACCGAATAGAGCTCTCAACAGCACTCGCACACTTCAGTATCTCGGCAACCGTCGGCGCGGCGGAATGTCTACGCGTTCACAGCTCCGTGCGGAGCTCTATTCGGTATTCGGTTTAGCTACTTTTTTCAGTAGTGGTGTTCACTATAGGGTTCTTGATTGTCTCTCAGTGGGGTTTTAGTGTTGTGACGCGGGTGTCAAGTGTCTCCAAAGTGGAAATTAGGTCTACTTCCGACACTTCTGAGGGAAACAGGATATCTGTGCAGCTAACTAGGTGAGCATTGCATACACAAATGTGTTAGGGTCTGCATCTTATGTTTTTTTTAAATACACATTGCATACACTGAAGTATTTGGGAAACACTAAAATTTGGCCGAATCGTTTTTATTTTTGTTTGACTTCATTTTAAGAAATGTCAAAAAACTAATAGCACTATCTAGACACTACATGATGGTGTTTTTAAAAAAGTGGTACCCTGTATCTAATAGCAGATTTTTCTACGACATCAACGATGTATCACATTACATTTGTCTTTTTAGCTATAAGTTTTTTTTTTTTTTATATCGAAACAGCCGCGCAGGCAGAAGCCTAAATGCCGGAACACCGCGGCTGCTATGATGATCCCAAAGAAACCTTGTTAATACGATTTTTGAACTGCCTAAGGTTAGTAGAACCGGGAAAAGCTTCCTCCCGTAGATTATTCCACAATCTAGACACCCTCGGGACAAAGGAGCGGTCGTATCGGCCAGTTCTGGATGTCCGAAGTTTGACACGGTTAGGATGGGACGCCGAAGTCAGGCGGGTCTGTCTGGCAGGCACATCGCGCGGCGGCATCATGGAAGAGAGCTCTGAGGAGCAAAGCCCGTTGGCGTAGCGATAGAAAAGAGCTAGATCGCCGACGGCCCGCCGGTGCGAAAGAGTCCCGAGACTATCTGTTAGAGAAGAGTCATCGATCAGTCGGACCGCCCTCCTCTGGACAGCATCGAGCATGGACAATGTAGTCGGGGCGGCAGCACCCCAAATGTGTGAGCAATACTCGAGGCTAGGCCTTATCTGGGCCTTGTATAGAGTGAGAAGGTCATGCGGAGAAAAGTACTTCTTAGCCCTAAACAAATAGCCTAGCTTTTTCCCAGCAGCTGTAGCTATTGAAGAGATGTGTTCGTGCCAGATCAGGTCCTCGGTGATCTGGACTCCGACCAGCCGAAATGAATGGCTCTTTGGTAGAACTCGACCGTCCATCGAAACTGTATGAGCGCTAGGACGCTTTTTGTTCGTCAAAGTACAGTACTGTGTTTTGGAAGCATTGAACTGTACAAGATTGTTGCGTCCCCAAGCAGTGATAGCCTCCAGGTCTCTTGTCAGAGAAGAAGTCGTCGCTAGTCTTCTTTTTTCCAGCTCAGCGGCAGAGATCGGCTTGTCACTCTGAATTCCTGCATGTAGAGTGCTGTCATCAGCGAAGCTGTGGATTGGGTTGATCGTTCAGGAAAGGAGGTCGTTGATATGTAAGAGAAACAGTGTCGGAGCCAAGACCGATCCCTGGGGAACACCCGCGTTGACGTTGTGGGATGAAGAGGAGAATCCGTCAATTACGACGGATATCTTGCGGCCAGAGATAAAGTCAGCCACCCATCTGCAAAGCTTTTCTGGGAGGCCGTAGGATGGAAGTTTGCTTAAGAGGGCAGCGTGCCACAGCTGATCGAACGCTTTCGTGATGTCAAGAGCAACGACATGAGCCTCACCATGAGACTGGATGAGTTTACTCCACAGTTGCGTGACGTAAGCTAGGAGGTCCCCTGTGGATCGTTGGTGCCGGAAACCGTACTGCCTGTCGCTAATCAAGCTGTGACGTTCGAGGTAGTCCAGAAGCTCGCGATTTATGCACCTCTCCATCACTTTACTTATAACAGAAAGCAGAGCTGTAGGCCTGTAGTTGTAAGGGTCGGTTTTAGATCCTTTTTTTGGGCTGGGCTGTACATGAGCAAATTTAAAGTTTTCTGGGAAGTTGCCGGATTCATAAGATATCTTCAATAGACGCGAAAGAACTGGAGCAAGCTCCGCTGCACATCTCTTCAGTACAATGGCAGGAATCAAGTCCGGACCAGAAGCTTTGTTGATGTCGAGCGACAAGAGCACTCGTCTTACGGTCTTATGCCTGAATGTTACTTCCCGCATAGTGTGGGGAACCCTTTGAATTGACGGCACTTGGGCGTTGGTGGGGACGTCCATGGTGGAGTTGGCAGCAAAGATCTTGGCTAGCACTTCCGCCTTGGCCTTTGAGTCGAATACAATAGTTCCATCCTGACACGTAAGCGGTGGAAGGCTACTGTGTGAGAAGTTCTTTTCGATCTGCTTGGCCAGCGTCCAGAAAGACCGACTACCATTGCGCTGCGACATTACCCTGTGCCTAACTTTTATATCATGCTGGTTTTTGGCATTGCGAACCGCTTCGTTATATTTGTTTCTAGACTCGACGTCGGCTTGTCTGTTCTCTACAGTGGGGTTTTGTAAGTAGGTTCTGTGGGCCTTGATCTTCTGCTGGCGAGCAGTGTCACACGATTTGTTGAACCAGCCGTTGGACCCTGGTTTAGGCACTTTTACTGTGTGAGGGATGTATTCCTCCATTCCGACGTGGATAATTTCGGTTATTGAAGAACAGACAGTCGACGCATCCACGTCAGCGAAACAGACATCTCTACAAGGAAAGCTAGAGAAGAAGTCTCTGAGCCCCTCCCAGTCGGCATGTCCGTAATGCCAAGTTTTGCGGCCTGTGCGAGTTTCTGCTGCCACAGCGGCTTCTGACCGAAACCTAACCTCCACAACACCGTGATCTGAGTTACCCAGAGGGGACAGGACAGCAGTGCTGTAAGGGGCAGGATGCGTGGTCAGAAAGAGATCCAGCAGGCTACTGGCGTGTGACGAGACGCGGGGGAAAAAAGTAGGGCTCATCACCAGCTGGGTCAGCCCTTGAGTAAGAGCGAACGCTTCGACTGCACGACCTGCTGCATCGGTCTTATTTGAGCCCAACCAAAGCTCATTATGGGCATTGAAATCACCGAGAAGAACTACCTCTGAAGCGGGGTGATTGATGTTCAGGAAGTCGATCTGGACGGCGAGGTATTCGAGTAGGTCATCCCAGTTATGGTTCGATGGAGAGCGATAAAGGCAGCAAATAAATTTGGGTGATATTTTGGAGTTGAGGCGAAGCCACAGAATGTCCTTTCGGTCTGATTCCAAAGAAAGATCACTGGAGCAGGAAAGACTGCTGCGGACAAAAGCCACAACTCCCCCGTTCTTTCTCAGATTGGAGTGCACCTCGTAGTTTGGGAAGTTGAGATGGTTAATCGGTGCGGTCTCTGAGATTTTTGTCTCCGCCAAGAAAAGCACGGCGGGACGATTGGATTGCAGGTAGTGATGAACAGCATCAATGTTGCTGTTGATCCCGCAGATGTTCGAAAAACAAATTTTATCTTCGATGTTGTTCCCTCGAGCCCACCCTCCACCCGGACATTCCGAGAGTGGAGTGAGTTTACGTCCGGAGTTTTTAGTGCTCGAGGGATCCATCATCATTAATTTCTTTGTTTTGGTAGATAACCGACTGCATAGCTTAGGTGTGGAAACATGCGGACATTTATAAGACACCCTGGGAAAAGCTAGCGGGTGGTACTGGCTCGGTCGACTGGTCCTTGTCTACCACCTTCTTTTTACGTGTTAGTGATGTTAAATACACCTAAAGTGGCCCATTGGCGGACTTGTACCGCCACCCGGCAATCGGTACTGAGGTATTCCTTAACGCGTGCACAATCACTTGGACGGGAAGAAGTTGTATACTGGATACAACAACTTCCGGAACAAGCATTTGCCACGGCCCTCGCTCAGTAGGGGGTTGGGATTGTTAAATAATGATATACAAGTGTATATATTGTACGATATTAATGTATTGGCTTGTTTTTGCGCATACAAGTTTTTAAACTTAGGCACTTTTATAGGGAAACCTTGCTTTTGTTTTATATATATATACATTTATCTAAATCTCTTTACTAGCTTGAGCGCCATCTCAGTGTATTAGATGTAACTATTGAGCTTGTGGTGTTGATACCTGTTTGAATTTGTGCTCTTACTGATTTTTGTCTTGAATGTTTTGTGGTTGACGTTTGACGTTACTTTCGAGTTGACATTTGCTCGAAGTTAATATGTCAAATATGAAAGATTATGGATTGGTGAATTGGATGGATTGGGACAACTTCGTCTCAACTTGACAAGGCATTGTGTTAGTGTAGTGCTTGCGTTTTTCCAAAAATTAATTAAACTCAGTGTTTGGAATTTTATAAGTGCCGTTTAATGACAATCTAATAATTAAAATGTCGTCCCCAAGTGCTGGAAAAAGGCGTATGGACACTGACGTTATCAAGCTGTATCCTTTGTTTTGCCTTTATGATGTAAACAGTGTGTATAGGATAGTCATATAACAGCTGATTTTGTTAATGTTTGACGATGACCCTGTACACAACAGACCTATTTCATACCATCATATACAAGTTTTTCCCAAATTTCCAACATGAATTAAGTACAAACAAAATGCAATATTGATACTAAAAATTGTTTTCCTTAATAATTGATCCAGCATTGAAAGCAAACATGAGGTCACTATCCTAGGGGGTCTCAATGAATTTTGTGTCAAATTTTATGGACCAAGAGGAAGTAAGTGCCCTGCAACTACTTATTTTTATTATTAAATTATATGTCACATTATATTATATACAGGGTGTTGAAGGCTTAGAACTTTTGTATGAGACCTTTGAAAGTTGTAAGACTTCAAGAAAACCTACAATTATATTACAATATTTCAGAATTCAAAAATTTCCTAAGGATACAAAAAAAAGAAAAAGCAATGCCAGGTCATTTTTATTTTTTATGCCCCAATTCCTATGATGATAAAATAGGATTTTTGTAACCTCCTAATATCATTATTTTCTTGAAGCAATAATTACTGGAGAAAATTATTTTACTCTCTCCTGTTCTCATTATAGATAGATTAGTGGTAGATATTCAAAATTTTAATGAAACATTGGAAATGTAAAGATGCTTAAATGCTACAGTGTAAATAATTTTGGGCATTGAGGTATTTGACCTTATATTTTTTAATACAAAAAATAATATTTCTGATTTCTGTAGACAGAGTTTCCCAGAAAATATTTACCATCTGTTCAGGTCATACAAAATACATAATCACAGTATAAAAACTTCCAATAAATAATGGCTGCCAAAAAAAATGTGTCACCACCCAGTGATAAATTTAGAAAAGAGGCACAAGAGAACATGCTATATAATGCAATATATTGCTGCATTCACCACTGTGCCCCCCTCCCCCTAGATAGATTCTTAAATCCACCCTTGCCACTGATAATAGAAAATCTGAAGTATTTATTTGTTTGAATCTGTTGAGGTCCTTAATCTCTTTAGAGAAGGTCTGTTTCTCTATAAGATTGATATATTATTTTGTATGTTCCATATAAATCAGGGATTTTCCCATTGATTCTAGGCCACCCTGTATCTACTAGTTTTTCCCAAATTTCCAACACAAATTAAGTACAATTAAAATGCAATATTGATACTAAAAATTGTTTTCCTTAATAAGTGATCCAGCATTGAAAGCAAACATGAGGTCACTATCCTAGGAGGTCTCAATGAATTTTATGTCAAATTTTATGGACCAAGAGGAAGTAAGTGCCCTGCAAGGGAGTGTTCTATAACTAACTAATTATTTTTATTATTAACTTATACGTCACATTATATTATATACAGGGTGTTAAAAGTTTAGAACTTTTGTATGAGACCTTTGAAAGTTGTACGACTTCAAGAAAACCTACAATTATATTCTGAAATATTGTATTCAGAAATCAAAAATACAAAAAAAAGAAAAAGCAAACCAGGTCATTTTTATTTTTTATGCCCCAATTCCTACGATGATAAAATAGGATTTTTGTAACCTCCTAATATGTTCATTATTTTCTTGAAGCAATAATTACTGGACAAAATTATGTTACTCATTCCTGTTCACATTATCGATACATTAGTGGTAGATATTCAAAATTTTAATGAAACATTGGAAATGTAAAGATGCTTAAATGCTGCAATATAAATAATTTTGGGCAAAGAGGTATTTGACCTTGTATTTTTTAATACAAAACATAATACTTCTGATTTCTGTAGACAGAGTTTCCCAAAAAATATTGACCATATGTTTAGGTCATACAAAATACATAATCACAGTATAAAAACTTCCAATAAATAGTGGCTGATAATACGAAATCTGCAATATTTATTTGTTTGAATCCTTTGAGGTCCTGTTTAGAGAAGGTCTATTTCTCTATAAGATTGACATATTTTGTATGTTCCATATAAATCAGGGATTCTGTCCCACCCTGTATCTACAGAGTGAGTTTTTATGTCTCTAATCAGTCAATAACTGTTATTATAGAAGATATTAAATAATGTTATGTGTAAACATTATAGCAAACTATATGAAAAATATGCAGTCCTCTATATGGTGATTCATAACTGAATGTTTTTTCACATATTGAAAGAGCATACCTGAAATAGCATACCACAAAATTTTGTTTTTCAAAGGGGTTTTCAAAATATGAAGAATTAATAGGTTGTTATTCCATTTAAAAAATATATTTTTGTGTTACCAAGAAAGGATTTGCCTATAATGGAATCAGTCTATGCAAAAACATTGTAAGTGTCACTGACAAGTAAACCAGGTTTAAAGTACTTTTTTGGGCTTAATGTTTTATTTGAGTTCTACAATATTTCATATAACCTTCACAGTTTATGAACAACATTAATGAAATAAGCCCTTGGGCAACAGGAGATACAGTTAGTGATATTATAATTTGAGTAAAAGAATCATATTTTTTATAGTTTACTATTGTAAATTAGAAAATTACACTTGAATATTGATATATTAAAATGTTTTAATATTGCACGTTTTAATAAATATAAGGTACATAGGGGAAACTCAAGCAAAGCAAACACCTGGAAAAGTCGAAATACCTGTTTTACATCTGTACCATGAATCGACCGTCGTGAAAAAATACATAGACTTATTCATTCAACTTTCTTCAATAATCGGTAATCGATTGTAGAAGAACCCTCGTGCTTATCTGAGTACCAGGCATCAAAACATATTTTTTTCAACAAAAAAAAATTGACATTGCAAGATAGGTGTTGTGCTGTAATTCCATCTTTATACTATCTATATGAACAGCTATTTAAAATATGTATGTTTTGGTAGGAAACAAGAAAGCTCTTAAACGAGTGATTTTGCACAAAGCGGATCAGGCCTCTAATCTTATTTTTTTAGTCAATGAAGTGAAAATTTAAATTTTGATGCACATGGCACAAAACATGAAAATAAAACAATACTGGTACTGTTTTTCATATGACTCAATAAAAAAATATTCATTGTTAATATTTTAAACCTACAACACCCTGCTACATTTTTGTTATTTGTGTTTGATAAGAAAAAAACTAAGATTTCAATAGTTGGGCCAACTGAAGTGGGAAGGGGCTCGTACAAATACATCTACTTGGTCACGTTTATCAACACAATCTGATACATATTGTGTAAATACCATTAAATTTATTGTTTATGTGATTTATATATTCGACTGTGGAGGACTATTTCCAGAAGCTTAGTACAGTTACATAAAATCAAAATTGCTCTCTAGTTAAATATATGAGAACGAACCCCAGATTTGAAAATGAAGCACACTCTTGCAGCTTTCATTTGGAAATATACATATTTTTGTGGCTAAATTGAATAACATTGTACAACGGCATGGGCAGAAAGAACATGAGTACGCCTGTAACAAAGATAGACGATAACTTAACTGGTCCAGCATTTACTTCATTTTTGAGCTTTTTAGAGGCAAATATTTGTATAATTTCTTGTTCAGAGATTTGAATATGGTTACACACAGTATCATCGTTTTCTCTACAACCTTCTGAACTAGATGAAGCAAAAACATACTGAAATAAGTGACATTATCTTTCATACACCCAAATCTCTTAATAACTTAAAGAACTGACGAGTTATGATCAAACTATGGATATATGTTCTACAAAAGAATAGGTATGAATGCTGCAGAGCCATAAACACTGATTTTGTATGTTTGTATATCAGCTCCATATGAAGGCGGAGTTTGGAAGGTCCGAGTACATTTACCCGAACACTATCCTTTCAAATCACCTAGCATAGGTTTCATGAACCGTGTTTATCATCCCAACATAGATGAAGTATCAGGGACAGTATGCCTTGATGTTATCAACCAAGCTTGGACAGCTCTATATGGTAAAGAAAATTTTATCTTTTACTGATTACAAATCTTGTTACTGATAGTTCGTTTTCCAATAAAGTGACATGGCAGTATGTAACCCCCAATCTTAAACAACTCAAGCCTCAACGGGAGTGTAGATCATGCAAATGCTAACACTAGTTTGATGAAGGTCGAGTTACATGTCAAGTGGGTACTGGGACTGGGTAGTCAGTACTGGCATTTTCACTTCACATGATGCTCGAGTTTGGTAATATTTGTGGTTACATATTGTATATTGTACTACAAACAATAGAAAACTGTATACTTTTCCAGATCTATCAAACATATTTGAATCATTTCTTCCACAATTACTGACATACCCCAATCCCATTGACCCACTGAATGGAGATGCTGCAGCTATGTACCTTCACAAGCCCGAAGAGTACAAGAAAAAAGTGTCTGGTAAGTATGTCTTTGGAATGTATAAACGTTGTTGTTAGTATTTCATATACTGTATTCGTATGTTTTCTCAATTCTCAACAAGGCGTAACAGTGATTCTTTGCATTATCGTATAAGTATTTTGTTCTTGGACGATTTTCCTAATACTGCTTTGTTTCGTCATACATGGCGCGCAAAATATTCGAAAATACATTCGTACACAGTGTGTTACTACTGTAGTTTGAAAGGTCCTGTAACATGTTGAGATTGCGCGAAGCTTAGAACCGACTGGGGTCGGCATCGCTATACTCAAAATGGCGGCATCTCCTCCAAAACGACAAGCGAGCATTGGGTTATCTGTCGTTTTTTAATGCACCAGTCACATCACCCTCGTCCACAAACGCCAAAAGAACGGTTAATTGTTATGCGATCTTTGACCAAAATGATGTATGTGCATTATTTATGGATCTGAAATGCGAGAAATAGTATTCCACATCTAAAGGAAAGCATGTTGTTCACAGATCAAGAAAGGCAATAAATTATTGTTGTTTAATTTTATATAGAGTTTATCTTCCTAATGTAATTGTTTTCCTCTTCGTGTAGTATAGAGAGTTTCTCCCATATATGCTTGCTTCCTGCTGATTTTGAGTTACCTTTCTCTGTTAACTTTTTTAAACATGCCAAACTGCTGTATAATATGATTTCCTCACAGGCCAAACAGCATGGCTCCCTTTAGATGTCAATGTTTTAGTTCCCGCATTTCAGATCCATAAACAATGCACATCCACCCGTCTTATAAGTACAAGTGATATCTGAACAGAATAAGAATTTGAATTGAAGGTACCACGCGTTTGTCAGCGCCGCGCTACGAGAAGGGAGGGGGCTGCCAGCATAACGTAATCTCGCTGCCGCCGCCCCGTAACTAATGACCAATCTCCACAATCGACATCTCAAAGACTGAGAAACTATCTTGCAATGGCCCCCTGAGGAATCCTTTTCCTTCTTCTAGACATCGCGAAGTACTATAATTTTTTTTTCAGAAATAAAAACTTCATGGTCCCCGGTTTGTATTTAAATACTGTTTTATGCCATTTAGGACCGTATCGTCACTCGTTCCTACAATTGTAGGACGCCTTTATGGCCCCCTTGATTTTCATAGCCTTTTCTCTCCTCCAGAAAGGCTGGGGTATCTCTAGATTTCTACTGTTCCGTGTCAGCGTCAGCGCTCTCCTAGTTATGTTTTCTTTTTAATAAATTGTAGGAAACTTCAGGCTGATAAAACATATAATAAATACAGAAAGCATGAACAATTTAATGCAAATAGATATTTGTAGCATAACCTCAAAATATAGCGACCTTCTGAACGACAGAAAAAATCATGAAAATCAAGGAGGCCATAAAGGCGTCATACAATTGTAGGGCGCCTTTATGGCCTCCTTGATTGTCATAGATATCTACTTTTCCGTGTCAGCGCTCTATTTTGAGGTTATGTCACAAATATCTATTTCCATCAAATTGTGCATGCTTTTGATTTATATCATGTTTTATCAGCCTAAAATTTCCTGCAATTTAAAAAGAAAACATATCTTCACAATAGGAGAGCGCTGACGCTGACACAGAACAGGTGCAATCTAGACATTTTTGAAGGAGAGAAATCTATGACAATCAAGGAGGCCATAAAGGCGCCCTACAAGTGTAGGAACGACTGACGATACGACCGGAGAATGAAACGCTCAACACGACAGAAAATGGAGCTGCATTTTATGATATGGAGTAAATTTTACCCTGAGGCAATTAGTATTAGCTATCAAAGTATAGGCAGCAGCGGTGGCCGCAGTAGTAGACTCTTCGGTCTCCTGATCAGTCGCCGTGCGCTGTGCGGGTTCGAATCCCGTCCCAGGAGAAACTTTTCTCTTGGCTATGGATGTTTGTGATTGTCCGTAGGTGGTAGATGGTCTCTGACTGTCGAACGCGGAGGTACCACCCGGCGGATCTCGTAGGCGGAGCCAGAATGTGTGCATGTTGCATGCACACATGTTCCCTCGCCAGAGTCCGTGTGACGTCCCCCCTTTCCCCTGTATCCCCCTATAGCCCCACGGTACCCAATGGGTGTTTAAGCCTTAGGCCTTCGTAGTAGTTGGAGTATAAAAAATCATTTCACAAAAATTAGGCATTGCGTGTGATCCTGTGTATTTTTAAATGCAGGGATATCCTGTGGCTGTCTGTTCGGGTCATGTTAGGGACCTGAAATTCGAGATGATGGAATTGACGCATGGCTACTATATTTTAACGTAAAAATAACATTCAAAAATATTAAGAGGGCGGCTGAGTAGATAAAAAAATTATAATACGCGAAACTATAGATAAAAATGTCACGCTATAATCACGAGTAATCACTCGACATAATTTGTTTTTCGATTTTCAATCAAATCCTGCTATATCGGTAAAATGTTCCATTGTACGGCCCCTCATTCCATTTAAAATATAATGGCCCAGCCGCCTTCTTGAAATTTGTAACTTTTACGCTTAAATATACCTAAATCATTCGTAAATTTCATTATCCTAAATTTCAGCTTTCTGGCTTGTTCTCTCGAAAAATAAGTAGGAGAGAGTATCTTTTGAAAAACACTGTATCGTCATTTGTCATTATTTTGATTCGCTCTTTGATAGAGGCCGCCGAAGCAGCCGAAACGTCACTAACTAGTCTATTCAACATATGTGATTCTATTTCATGACCAATGTAAGAGAGGCGAATGGAGAATATATTTTTTAACAATGAGATGCAACCTTTTACAGTAGACTTAAATTCAAACTTTTACTATTGCAGTTAAAACAAATGTAGTTATTGCTGGACCGGTACAGGCGGTTGAAGGCAGAGGTAACAAAAATAAAAACTTTTATAGATACATAACGCTGCCGTTTCCCAGATACCAATGGTGAAGGTCGAATTTGAAACACTCGGTATATGCTAGCAGTGAAATTCCAAAACATATACTGAAGACCTGATAAGTATCAAGGTGTCATTTTCACCCTTGACAAGTGCACACCCCAATATAGATATGACCCCTTATAACTATACATTGTTTTACTATTTTAAGATAAACTGATTCTGTGCACACTACACACTATAAGCAAATTTCAAAAAAGTGCACACCCTGTAAAAACAAGTGAAAATAAAATTAGCACTTACCATTTTTCCGCCATTTCTGTATCGCGGTATCTGCGAAGTTTTCCTTCATTCTTCCCGTAATCCAAAGTTGCAAATCACTATAAGCGCTCATTCCACATGTCACTAGCACATTTTCCTAGGTACGACAGAGTTTTCCCTTTCAAAACACAGAAATTGGCGCTACCGAAGAACCCGTGTAAGAAGTCCGCGGTATCTCTGAAGTTTTCCTTCTTTCTTGGCGTCATCAAAGGTTCAAGCCACTACAAAAACTGACCAAACACTTAATCTACATGCCACGAACACACTTTTCCGAGTGCGGCCGAATTTTCCCTTTGAAAACACTGAAAATAACGCTCCCGAAAAGTCCGTGTGAAAGGCCGGCGAAGACTGTTTAAAACAATTGCAACATTGCATACCACACGATAGACGTTTTTCTAGGATTTGAAGTTGGCCGAGGCTCGAGCTCAGTTCCGAGAATTCTTCCAGACCTGTTTTTATTTGCAAGGAGAATTTGCTTTATTTTAATTATTAATGTCTGTGATTTCAGAGGTACCTAGTGCAGTTACATAAATATGATACAAAAATATAGATAAATCGTATTGTGTTATTCTTTCAGTTTTTTTTTTTTATTATGTATTCTGTTCCAATTTCTAAATAACAGATTAACTACATATCAATTAAATAAGGGTCATCCTGAAACGAAATACTCATCTTCGGTCTTACAAACGGTGTCAAGTAGGCTGACTCTGCATCTTACTTGTGGTTAATGAAATTTGTTACTCGTTGATTTTCGTCGAATTTTGTCATAGTCCAGTCATTATTGGTAACGGTATCGATCGAAATGATGAACCTGCGCTCAAATCAGATTTTTTTTAGTGTTAAATATAGCTCTTTTAGACATATTATATTGACTAATGAATAAAAAAATTAAATGAAAACAGGATTAGCGAAAGGTAATATTTTTTTAAAATATATTTGATGGGTTACTGGATATCAAAAATCTTGTGCTAACGAAATTTTGTAGGGCAAATGTGTCAGTAACCCGGACACTACCAGTAGTAGGACAAATGTCATATTATTGATGACAAGTAGCGACGACTTCGAAATATGTTTGACAAAAAGTAAATATGTTCAGTATTTATTTTTTTCAAATTCGATCCAAATGCTTTATAAAAATATTTAAGGGTAATGACCCAATGCTTAATCGACAGGACTCTTTAAAAGTTTTTCTATGACGCAATATTCATAGAACCTTCATAGGCGGAGTAATACAAATTGAAAGTTAGATGAAATGGGTGGTACATGTAAGGACCATGAAATTCAGAAAAATGTACCTATGTGTAGATATAAAAACGGTTAAGTCATCATTTACAAAAACGCTAAAGTAATACGTACTCACTACTAATATCCAAATATCGCTGGAATACAGTACCGAGCAAACGTGGAGAAACATTTTATTTTTTTAAAGATTTTATTTAACTATCAAAGTAAACTAAACACTTAGGTTTTATTATAACTTAATGTAACATGTAATTCAAAGCCAACATAAAAATAAAATTTCTGCTTTAATAAAACTATGCTAACAATTATTATTAGAAAATACAGCAAGCAGAAATAGAGAAACATAATATACAAAGCAGTTGTCATATACAAAGAAGCTAATACTTGGTTGCATAACCTTTAATTTTGATAACTGCTAGACATCTTTTTCTCATAGAACCAATTAGGCTGTCTATTGTTTCTTTTGGAATAGAATTCCAGGTGACTTCGATTGTTTCAAATAGTTCGGCACTATTTTTGAACTTTTCTGGATGTTCAGTCCGAATTTTTTTATCAACTAAATCCTATAGGTTCTCTATGGGGTTAAAGTCTGGACTTTTAGCTGGCCACATAATGACATTAATATTGTGATGCAAAAAATGTTTTTATTATTTTCGCTGTGTGCTGGAACCGCCAGCGTAGAGGCATGTTTTCTTCTGCGTAAGGTAGCATGGTATCAGTTAACATTTCCAAGTAATTGTACCGGTGGATAATTTCTTCAATTTTGACGATGGATCCCATTTGAAGGCCACAGAAGCCACCGCATACTTGAATCTTCCCGCCTCCGTGTTTGATTGTGCCCAAAGTGAACTTAGGATCAAATCGCTTGTTTTTAGGACGTCTTACCCGTAAAATGCCATCCGGTGAAAATAAATTAAATTTACTTTCATCAGAAAATAATACAGAATTCCAGCTTGTTTCTGACCAGTTCAAATGATCGTAAGCAAATTGAAGACGGGCGGTCCGATTTTTCTTGGAAATAAAGGGTTTTTTAGATGGTCTCCTTGCTGGTAAATCACTCTCCCTTAAACGTCTTTGAACAGTGTGGACACCAATATTTACTTCTTCAAGTTGAGCTTTTATGTCGACAGCAGTAGTAAATGGATTTTTAAGAGCAAATGTTTTAATTTTTCTATCAATCCTAGGTATGGTTTTTCGCGGTATACCAGTCTTAGGAGGGCTTGCCAACGATTTTCTGAGGCGGAACAGCTTAATAGTTTTGCAAATTACCGATCGGCTTAAATTCAGCTGTTTGGCTATGGTTGCTTGTTTAATGCCTGATCGATATTTTAAAATAATCAATTCTTTTATTTGCAAATTCAGTGTAATTCCTCTGGCCATGTTTTGGAACTACACTTTACGAAATACACTCAAAAATAACACCTATTCTAATCAACGACTAAATAAAAACTAAACATGTTCAAAATGTTTCTCTACTCGTTGAACAAAAGACCGACGATATTATATTGAAAAAAATATAAGCATTTCATTATCTTGAGGTAGTCATACATAAATAACTTTAGTGTACAGTTCTGGGTTAGAGTAAATCTTTCAGGATTTTTATTTGTAATGTGGTTTGTTTCTCTACTTTTGTTCGGTACTGTATATAATTTTTTTCCTGTAGCAGCGTGTCAGTGGCGACACCGCCGCCGACCAGTTGGGGTTTGTTGCCCATTGCACAGTAGGCAGTGGCCTCTACGACGATGCAGCATCGCGCCGTGCACGCAACGACAACGAATGCTAAGTTATTTAATTTTGAGCACCTTATACATTGGACTTTATCATTTAATTTTCCCGTTGTTACCGGGATTAGAACCTTCTTAATGATATAACATCTTTGACTAATACTAAAGACGTTTACATTTAAAACCCTCTACCACCTACAATCTCCAACCCCCAAGTTTCAACCCCCTCAAAAAATTTTCGAAAATAATCAGGCGCGGTTTTATTTTTTCGTGTTTATGCCCCCAGCTCCGCTACCACTAGACCAATTTCCAAAAACTACAAACCTTTTTCATTCTTCGCATAGTAGTAACCTTGTGTGAAAATTTCATCAAAATCCGAGCGGTACTTCTCAAGTTATACAATTAGCCGACAGTCAGACAGACATGGTGTGAGTGACATGGCTTTTCGTTATCATATAACATCCAAAAAACACAGTACATATTACAATTTTTTGCGATTACAATACTCCCTGCTCAGTTTTGGCATAGGAAGTAAAACCTACAGATCGTGCTCGCTTGTTGCTTTGAAGGTCGTCCTTTTGGGAACCGGACTGCGTACTCCAGGCTGTACTAGGCTTCGCTGGTTTTGCGTGGTGCCATCTTAAAATTTGGAATGATGGCCTCGCACAATCTTGGCATGTTACGGACCTTTCAGACTATCGTACTAACACACTGTATAGGTATCTAAAAATGAAAAAAAAACAAACCTGGAATACGGATAAATAAAATATATTGTCAAAAAAGTGTCAATTGTATATGAAGAAGGTGGGACCGAATCGTCGTACAATGAAGGGGAATTTTAAACATGTGGTTTGATTTGGCAAAACATGAGGAATTATCAACATGAAAACCATAGGATAAGTTCCAAATAATGTACCGTTATCATATGTTCTATATATTAAATATATATCCTTGGTTTTCATAGAAATGTTCAAAAATATAATCGTATGAAATTTGAGCAAAATGGAAATATTTTTGCGGAATTGGAAAGTAATCCTCTAAATAGTTTCTAAAATATTGAGGAACCCAGCTGATACGTACAGTCGGATTTCATTGTTGCTACAAGTATTACGTGAGGTTATTCGGCCGGAAGTTGAGGAAACATTCACTTCCGACTGTCATGCTGAGTATTACCTTAAATACCCTAGGATTTTTTCTTATTGGTCACATTCAGCAACTTTAGTACTCTCAGTGAGCTTTTAACAGAAACATACAACAGTCAGGCGCGAATCCGGGGGGGCAATGACTTGCAGGAAAGGGGAAAGGGGGGGACTACTTAAAATAAATGTGCTTTCTGTCTTTACACTTTCCTTTTTAATCACTCTATAATAAGCGCAAACCGCTTAGGAATACCTTCTGAAAGTAGGCAACCCTCACTACTCCCCCCAGACGTGATCCTGGTTGTGCGCCTGACGATAGTTGGATACGCCCTAAATTATGGCTATTCTATCTCCGGACTTGAATCTGCTAGATTTTTTCCCAGGACTCAATAAGAAAGGACCATGGTGTTTTTGAAAGAGTTTGACGGTCTTTTAATGATACTGATTTTTGGCTTGCTGTAGATCAAAAAACATCATACTTGGTTCTCTCTGGTAAAAACTGTTTTCAAAAGTTTTGTTTGAACTGAAAATCGTCAAAGGTCAAAGGAAAATTAAAACAGTGCAAAGAATGGACGCTAAATAGCATATGTTTGCTTTCCGACTCTGTGACTATGACCAACCGTTGTTTTATGCGTTTTAGCAATCATCAGTGCGATATATCGCTATTCATTTGAGACAGACAACGGAAAGCAAACAAGCGAATATTGGTCTACTGAAAAATTCAGTGCAGTGTGAAGAGGTGACTCTGTCACCTAGTGCTTGAGTGACATGGGCGACACTTGTCTGTTCCGTCAAAGCGGGCTGTCATTCAGAGGTGCCGGGAAACTGTAATTTTCTGCTTTTGAAGGAAGGGTATGTAGTACCAAAGAGTAGTTATAGAGGGTGTCCCAGAAGTCGACGTCAAGCGGGAAACGGGAGATAGGCCAAGTCATAATGGTTATCAGAAAAATATAGAAAATGTAAGTCGTGTATTTTTCAAATTATAGAGTTCCCATAACTACAAATTTCAATTTTTTCTTAGACGGAGTGACGAACAATGTTATTGTACGTAGTGACAGCAAGACACTTTTATTTATTCGTGAATATATTAAATTCACAATAAGTGTTCATACCGCCTGTCTTCAGTAGCAATGCAAGCTTGACATCTTCTTAAAAATGATCGGGTTATCACACGAGCGAAACTTCCGTTATTAACAAATCCAGCTGCTTCCATTAGTCTGTTATGCTCATCTAAATTTTCAATTGGCCTTGAGTCAACTTTTGGGCAGTCATGCTACCTCGAATGAAAACCAATCGTGACCTGCTGCCGTAAGCAATGGCACCCCATACCATAACACCCACAGTGCGATGAATATGACATTCGATGGAATATTGGGTTCCGTCTTTCACCACGTCTCCTTCTTACTCTTGCATGGCCATCATGTGTGCCCAAACAGAATCTGGACTCATCGCTGAACACGACTGAGTTCCATTCCATATTCCATTCAAGTCTCTCCCTACTCCGTACAAATCGTTGCCGAGGATGATATGGGGTCAGAGGTAGTATAAGATGGGGACGGTATAAAAACAGTCCAAAAAACATTATCCTCATGGCTATTGCACTTCTGACAACATCAAACTACTGGTTCGAAACTTCCCTTGTTGTGGAAAATCGATCTCTAAGTGCTAGTTGCCTGTTGTCTGTCTTTGACGTCCAGTATCTCAAACTCGGAAAGTTGAGTGCAATTAGTGCATCTGCGAACTCTAGGCATGATAATGCAATGAAACAAATTTTAGCCAACACAGACAAATCACTGAATATCAAGTAAACATGATCATGTTGTTCGGATCTTGATATAGCAAAAAAAGTACGGCTTGGAAATGCCTTCAACATTTTATCAGCTTATACTCTATGATAGCAAATATATTTACAAGTTTCTAGCAAAATTCAGTAAATAATTCTGGGTGTTTAATACATACCATGGAGTGTCTTCTCTTGTTATAACTACTCTTTGGTAGCGCCGCGTATGCCCAATAATTCATAGGAGGCAGTGTCACCTCTTCGTAGTGCAAATAATGTTTCGTTCCCTTTTTGCACCACATACCCTCAACATCTTGGTGTAAATCTTTTTTTGCAGAATATGTGAAAAAGTACGCAACAGAGGAAGCGTTGCGGGGTCAAGAAAACGATAGTTCAGATAGCGAATCTAGTATGTCAGATTTTTCAGAAAACGAAGCAGAAGACATGGAATTATAACGCAACGTTACAAAAATCTCGCTCAATTCGATTTTCCTTTTTACAGGAGAAATTTTCCAATCGTAATATTCACAAATATTTTCATTGTACATGGAAAATACCTCGTTCATATTGGATCTGCCATAGAGCTTAACAGAAAATTTAATATTGACCTTATTCGAAGTTTTCAAAATATCAAAATGGCTTTCCAAACGGGCTTGCTTAGTTTTTCAGTTATATTTACACTAGACAAAAAAATATCAAATGAAAAATGACTCTGAATTGTTAACTCTTATCAATAATGCCTAGGTTTTCCTCTTATCATGTCTTAAATTCAGGGTTTTTTATTTTCCAGGCGTCTAGTATCGTGATATTTTTTTAAATCTATAATTTTCACACGCGCCTCATTGTGTAACATGAGACAGTCTTTCACTTGTATATAGGAGAATACAACAGTAACTATTGAACAAAATCAAATAATAAATAATACTATGAAAAACACTGTTAGACTTAGCAATAATGTTGAAAGATTTGGTACAAATGTTTTTATTACCAATTTGTAACTACTCAGGGTTCTGCTACATAGCACTTATACAACCAAATACCATTGATAATTTATCCATTGTAGTTGAATTCTGCATGACAATGGCCATATGTATTGGTCATGAGTATTGAATCATATTGGCTACCATCTAGAGGTACCTTAGCAACTCCTATTAATTTCATCCAGTCAGTTTTGTAGAAACACTATGGCAGGCAACCTGATTTGGAACATGGTTAGTCTAAAAGTGACACTGTTTAATGAATTGATTTTTTATTACTACTAAGAATACTTATTTAATGCTTTTTTCAAAATTACTCGTACGAGAAATTATCATAGAAGTATCTTTCTGAAAACGCCAAGTGACACTGCAAGCGATGTTGCTAGAATAACGTATCTGCTAAAAGTTTTGGCACAAAATATTTTTTTTGTGGCGTGATCAGTTGATCTCCAATAAGTCCGATTCAAGGGCATTTCAAGGAAAAAATGTATATTGTAGTTTTTTAGGTCGCTGAATCTAAATATGGCATCTGTGTTACCTGGAAAAGGCCATCCATTTTGACCGTATAATACTAATTTGACCTTAAAGTAACCTCTGTATGGTCTTGCAGGTTACAAGAATTTAGATACCCCAGAAACCGACATGTGGAGGTTTTCAGGGAGATTCAAAGATATTTACTTACGTTGGTATGGGCATAACCTTAATTTGACCTTGAAATAACATCTGGATGATCTCACCTGGTAAAACAAATACTATATTCAGATTCAGCGACATCAAAAACGTACGTGTGTAGGTTTTCAAATGGACTATTACCGAACAACCCTGAAGTGACCTTTAAATAACCTCTAGATCACCTTGCCGGAGACAAACGCCAGTGTCTCAAAAAATTTGTAGGTAGAGGTGTTTAAATAAATTCAAATAATTTCACAAACAGTGACCTTGAAATAGTGAAAACAGTTGCCGCCACATTTGGATTCAACGACCTAAAATTTGACTTTAATGACATTGGACCTGATTGTGAGATAGGTTAACCGACCTCGGCATAGATCAGCGACCCCAAAACACTAAGGTGTACCTAATGTCAACTCTTAAATGAAATATCAACCTGTGTTTTTATATTCTAGTATCATTTATACAACACAAGGTGTTGAGCATTCAGTGGCTTTTACGCATTCATGTTTAGAAATACCAGTTGTATCAGATCACTTGGATACGAAGGGTCAGGAATAGGCACCCTAGTTTTTAAAAATATATGTTTTATTTTGGGTTCTTACTGCAAATAAGGTCAATATAATTTCTTTTATGGTCAGTCTTGTCGAAAAGTGGAGCATATGAATACATATAATAAGTAGTTACGTGGATGTTAGTTAAGAGCTTGAAAGAAGTTTATAACTTTTGGCGCACTAAATTATCATGCTTAATAGTGTTATGTGACATGGATAAATGAATGGCGACTCTTTGTTACATTTTGATAGGGGAAGAAAGCATTTTGTGAGTGGTTCGAAAAAATACTGTATATATGGATATTTGTCCAGGACATATAATATTCTAGTATACATGGTGTTAAAATTTGGAATGCTTCTCAAGCAATCTTGCCAAATAGGTCTGTTTGCTAACTAGCCAAAAATGGATCTAACTATAGAAAAAATAGTATAGATATACAGGATGATAGTCTTGAGGGCAAATGAAAAATCCTAATATGGAAAAGTATTTTGCAAATTTTGATATCATGTATTTTAAAAACACATCTCATTTAAGCATTTTGATGAATAACTCTAAAATAATCTCTTCCAATATTAGATGTAAATACATGAAGGATACCCCGTGTATAAATTGTTTGGTCATGACATACCCAAAACTTATTGGATGGTAATTCAAGTAGATAAGAGAGCAGATTTATTTATTTTATATCAATTTAGTTAGAATGAATTTATAATTGTGCTCTGATGATTATCCTTTATACATTTTGGAAACTATTCCGGACATTAAAATTGTCTTCATGATTGTGATATTTTTAGCTGACTCCTTTTCCATTGAGTAAATACGCAAATTATACTATCACCACAAACTCCCGAAAAGACCAAATTGGATGTTTCAAAAGTTACAAGTGGTACCTCCCTTGTCTATATAATTTTGAATCACACAAAGTTTTGAGTGATTCGTTATCAGCGCAGCAATTTCGCGTAACTAAAAATTTTGTAGACAATGGTTTTGCACTTCCAAAGTTCATTTGGAATTGGAGTTTTGTGTGAACCAAAACAACACCTAAATATACAGTCGTTATTTGTAGCTCAACACTTACATGCTGTAAGTCTTGCATATGTTTTGATCAATCATCTTTATATATAAATATGTATATAGGTATACTTTTTTTAATGATCGTAGTAATGTAATCCATGTGTATATTATGATGACAGATGTGATTATTATACAATGATAATTACCTTTTTTCTTTGATAATATATGTATACAGTTGTTAAACAATCTTCATATTTGGTGATACTATCGAATTATTATAACGTATGCTTGCGATATAAGAAGGGTTCTGCTCTTACCTGGCCACACACATATATTCTTTCATGCGGAAAATCCGGTGGCCTCCAAGAAACATGTGTGAAGTCATTTATGTTAGTGGGTTTCAGTGTTTCCAGGTATAGTCGATGTATTTTCGGTTGATTTGTGCGAAGTTTCTCGGCAGATTTCTGTCGACTTTATTACAAAAACTTGCCGTTGATTGGCAGATTGACGACTCATAATTCAGGCTCAGCAAGGTAATTTTCACACCAAGATGTGAAAAGTTTTGGATCCCCACGATAATTTGTGAACTAACAATAATATGAATACAATAAGCCCCGCTATTGATAGGAGTTTTCTCCAGCCATGCAAAGGTAACCTTGAATTTGGCCTTGGCAATGACCTTCGAGGTCATTTGGAGGTCAGATCGATTTTTTTGTACATGGAACCTTTCATTTTTGACTCTATAAATGAGAAGACCGGAACATTTTTTAAATATGGTCATGACCATTCTTAAATTTTGACCTTAGGAGGTCATAGTCAAGGTCAAACCCAGATACGGTGATATAACTTGTAAACCAGTAATCGTATAGGGAAACTACCGAGACATTTATTTTCATGATTTTTCCCGGATATCCAATGGCGACCTTGTATCTGACCTTGAACATGACCACCTTCAAGGTAACGTAAAGTTTAAATCAATTTTTCTGAATTATCAAGAAATTAAGGTAACCTTGTGTTTGACCAAGTCCAAGGTCTAGTTCCAAAGTTGCTCAAGAATATATTCGAACATAAAAATTTCCATTTTCTCCATTTCCGCGGTCAAAAGTATAGGATTAAAAAGAGTTGACTGTCAAATGATCTTGAAGGTCACGGCCAAGGTCAGATCCAAGATTACCATTTGATATCCGGGAAAAATCGTGAAAATAATACCTCGATAGTTTCCCTATTTGACTACTCGACTCGGCTTTCAAGTTATATCACAGTACCCGGGATTGACCTTGACCATGACCTTCAAAGATCAAAATTTAACAATATTCAAGACCATATTTTTTGAAAAATCGATTTGACCTTCAAATGACCTTGAAAGTCATGATTAAGGTCAAATCTAGGGTCACCACCATTAGTTTACTAATTATTGTGGAGTTCCACACTTTTTCATACAATCTGTATACATTTTTCTTGAAAAAGAAAATTCGGTGGCTCTGTAGACTAAAATCGGTAAACCCACCGAAAAATCGGTAGACCTGGTAACACTTGTGGTTGTTGGCACACATAAAACGGGAAGGTTTTTAGGCTTTTTTTTTTCTCTGGAGCAGCGCGTACTTACTGTAGTTGACAAAAGCGACGCATCACATTCTGTGAAAGATGTAAAATAATAGTAAGTAAAATAAGATATTTTTAAACCAACCTCGTTCCCTTTCTAAAATAACTTGTTGAAATATATCGATGTCCATTAAAATAAATTTAAAGAAGTAAAAACGTACATACAGATCGATGCAAATTTTTTAAGGGCTGACAGTGCACATCATTTGGAACACATTAAGCTACATTATACCTTAATACAAAGTGTACCGATTTTTGGGGTAGGCGCAATTTTGTGAAATACTACAAAAAAGCGAAAATCATGCGATGATAAACCATCGCTTTTTCAGGAATGAAGAGCAACTAGTTTGTTCTGCTATTCATTTATCGTGATGTAGTCTTCCAATACAAACAGTCTCCAGTTTATCAAAAGATGGTATACACACTAAAAAATGCTTTATTTTATGAAAATTGTATGTATTTTATGTTTTTCTGAAGTTTCGATGACATTCCGCTTGTTCTAATATTTTGTGATATTGACTAAAAATATGCTTGTATTGCTTCGTATGAAAAAGCAGTAGTGTATAGTTTTTCCAATGATTTCAATTCAAACAGTTGCCAAATCTTTACATACATTCGTTTGAAAAGCTGTGATACGCTGCAAAATCGAACTATTCAGTGAACGTACATTATTTTCTATTTTGCATAACGTAGAAACTATTTATATATTTATAGAAATACTATACATACAGATAAATGATACGAATAAAAATCCAAAACAGGAGTTTTTCATTATTGAACAGGCAATGAATGGTTCATCGCATGATTTAGTTTTTTCTAGGAATTCGCAAATTTGCGCGCAAATAAAAAACGATTAAGCTTTATACTAAGGTATATAAGGTGTTTCACAACTTATCCGACAAATTTCAACCACATATGCATTGTTACGAAAGAAGTTAATTTCTCAAAAAAATTTTAATAAAGTCCTACAGAAATTGAGATAATAAAATAATACAGTTTGTAGGTAGCAACGCTTAGACTCTCTGGACGTGATAAGGGTACAGTTGGTCCTCATGTAATATGCGCCACGCATGTGACACTCTGGGACCTGTTGGGCTAACTGCCTTGTGCTAATTCCCGGATTTTCTTCCACGATATCCAAAATTTCGTCTTCGGCACTTAAGACGCGTTGTGGGTGAACCCGACCCCCATCCACTCTACGTCTGGGGCGCAAATCTCCACTAGCACGTGCCTATTCGGAAACCGGTGTGCATACAAACGAGAAGCCGCTCGCGAAGTTTGCCCTGCTTCTCCGTACGGTAAAACAATGTCCACTAACTCCTCATGTGCCATTTTTATTAATAAATAACTAAAAACATAAACTCGCAAAATACTTTCTTATTTAACTTAACAAAAATCGACCGTTCTTCATTCAGATCACCCACGATACAGATTAAACCTTATTTACACGTTCTTGTATGAACGCAAAATACAGATATTTATTTTTCAATTTATTATTGAAACTCAGGTGTATAACTTAATTTTTTGTAGGACTTTTATTACACTTTTTTGAGAAATCAACTTCTTTCGTAACAGTGCATATGTGGTTAAAATTTGTCGGACAAGTTGTGAAACACCCTGTATATTCCAAATGTACCGGGTGCCAGCTATAAATTGACCCCCTCTAACTCTTTTATATGACCTTGCAGAAGAAAAAGTTGTATATTTATGGAGGTTATTGGGTCTAACATTAAGTTTTCAATGTGATTTTTTTGCATAAAAGGTGTTTCAGAAAAGTGCTATCGAATACAGTTTATTTTCTCTAAATGGAAACACCCTATATATTTTCTGGGAAATGATAGTTCCTTTTTTCTTATTCAAAATATATACAGGGTGACTTCGAAGTTGAGTCATTTATTTTAACAGTGAGTAGATCTGATCAAAAGAAATGTTTTTTTCCTTTACCATTTTTCTGGTAAAATTAAAGTAACAAAGTTATAGCCCTTTGGAAGTTTGAGTACCGCCCTGCCTATTATATGCTCGTGTTTGGCGACAACGGATATAATCCGCCTGACCGGTTCATCGCATCGGAAACAAAAAAGCGAAAGAATTTGAAACGTTTATCACGATGTTTTTCGTCAGTCGATAAATCCTGAGTGAATAGTAGTGTGTTGCGTGGCTCAAACGAAATCAAAAATGGCACATGTTTACGAAAATGCTGAACTTGTGGACATGATTCTTATTTACGGGGGGGCAGTCTTTACAAAATGCTCCCGGATGCATCACGGACTTATGCGAATCGGTTTCCCAATCGAGTGCAACCAACCCCTCGTGCCTTTGTCAATGTAGTGCAAAGGGCTCGTGAATCAGGTTACTTAAGACCTCACAGGTGAGGGCATGCTGCTCCAAGACCGCACGATCAAATACAGGTCCGCACTGAAATACTTGTCGGGAGGATACTTTATTAAACAAGGTAACATTTTTTTTTTATTTTTACACACATATTTTGGTTTATCTTCCTTCAACAATCATTATCTGAAAATTAATGACTCAACTTATGGTTTATAATCATACTTATTTCCATTCCAGTTTTCAACTGGTCGCATATATGGTATAGGCCCTGAATGCATATGAGCAAATGTCAATTTTTTCACCAACGTGATAAAATGTTTAATAAACCATGTACAGTGAAATCCATATACCACTGACGTCGTAATGTGTACGAGAGAGAAGCGTGCAATACGTGTGTTAGAAAGAGATAGAAGCACCTCGTTGCCTAGCAACCCGAGTGACGAGGCCATGGACGTAGCTGCGACTTGCCGCGTTGCCATCGGCGCACTCTTTCTAACATACATATTGCACGCCTCTCTTTCATACACATAACGACGTCAGCCAAATTTGAACCTCATCGTATAATTGGAATCAGAAGAAAATAGGCTATGATTTTCACCGGAAATCTTCCGTTAAAAAAAACTGCTAAGCTGTCTTAGATCGCACTTTTCTGAGACACCTGTTATACAAAAAATATTACATCAAATACCTCATATTACTATAGTTCCTATCACTTTTATATACTACTTTTTCCACTAGTAGGTCATGTAAAAAAGTTAGAGGATGGGTCAATTTATCTGCCCTTGAAAGGTTTGAATCATCTTTCCGACCACTTGTATATTAATGTTTTGCTACTTGTCAAAAACATATGCATAGGTATATTTCTCTGTCTTGATCAGCAAGCATGGATTTCCGAAAACACGTTGGTAATCAATCATGTGATAAATAATCTGCAAATATACTCGTGTATACCACGTTTGTGTGTGTATGGCCAGCAATTCTCAATCTCAAATTGATGTTTGATAGTGTCATCGACTTAATTATTTTTAGTTTTATCATGTTGAATAATTTAACTTTTTTGGTACGACCTTAAGAACGCTAATTTGTAAATATCTGAAATCACTGCAGGAATATTCAGACCCACTTTAAGTGTAAAAAGTAGAACAGTAGGTATCTGTTCTCCGTAGAAAAAGAGAAAACTAGTCCTACTTTAAGTCTTATATCGCTTCTGTATTGTATTATTTTTGTGTATGTATGCAGTCAGGTGTCCATATTCAATAGTTTGTTTATCTAACGCTACTATATTAATTGAAAGGCATCTAGCCAGGTCTTGATACCTTCAAGATTTTTTGGAGCTCAATTATTAAGGAACCATCTGTTTGAAAGATGTATTCCAAGATAACTTTTAATATAACCTGTGTCAATCGCGCTGCTATAAAGAATCTATCAACACCTCATATGTCAAAATCCATCAAACCCTTTGGAATGTAGCTCGTGAAATAGAATTACTTTGTGGTGTATTTTCAAAACGAATGAATCACCCGGTATATGTGTATATGTTCAACGTGTCACAAAAGTGATTATTAGAATTTTTATGTTTATTATTATATATTATTATTATTTTATGTTAATTGATTATTGTTTTTTTTTTTCAAAGTGTGTTTTAGAGGAAAGTAGATTGGTGTTTTTAGAATTTTATTTATAGCGCTATATTGAGAACTTTTTGGGAATGATTTTTCGGACACCCGTATAGGTTACATCAAACTTCAGAATATAAAGCAGTTTATTTTATCAGATAATATTGAAGTAAGTGAATCTCCTTTTCAAGGTAGATTCTCTTTTTATTTTTTTTTCTGCTAGTTAAATATACCGCTGGCCGTAGTGTGTTCCTGCTTACTCATCACAAACATTAAGATTTTTCGATAAATAATATGTGTATATCGACAGGTTCTGGAATATTAAAACTTAGTGTTTGCCAGTATTAACTTTCTAAAATTCTATTTTGATGCTAATAACAAATGAGTGAAGTGAATATATCTTTTATTATTATGCTGTATTTTTATTTCTGAGAGTGCAAATACCTGCTTTATTTTTCAGGCTAGTAATAAAAATGATATTAACTATGTCGCTTTCAAGTGTCTTCCCAAGTTGGCTATGAATAGGTAGATTCCCTCGTTGCTCCATATCACGGATTTCTTAAGAAATAGTGCTGATAGGCTTACGCCGACACTCGAAAATAGTCATGAGGGACCATTCAAGTATTACGAAAGCACTAAGGGGAGGGTTCGCTTTGCTTATTTTTGATGACATGGGGGATGGCGTCTAGCTGGTGATTACGTCAACAAAATTTGTTGTTTACTTTTTCGGAAAATAGTCGATTTTGAATTGAACACAACATGCAACCCGGAGTGTCTATGCTCGAAAGTGTAACGCATCTTCAGGGATTCCCCAAATATGGATATACTTACTCGCTATTCATGCTTTCAGAGTTTGCATAGGCTATTTTGGACACTATTGCAAAAGCTCAGCAATTCTCAGTTTACGCAGGAAAGGACACTTGCCCTTTTAACAGAGCCTAACTAATTCGTATAATCATTCAAAAATGCCGTTAACGCTGTGATCAGTTCATAAAGGCTTCTTTTCGGCAAAAAAGTTCCGCTGTATTGTGAGGCTATGTTTTCTTTTTGAATTGTAGGAAATTTCAGGCTATATAACAGATTATATTAATCAAAATCACAGTTTGATGCAAATGGATATTTGTAACATAACCTCAAAATAGAGCGCTGACACGGAATAGTGGAAAACCATGAAAATCAAGGAGGCCATAAAAGCGTCCTACAATTGTAGGAACGACTGACGATATGGCCCAAAACCTCAGGAGCAGCCCTTAAAGGCCTATTTATACTCAGCCGTGACGTGACAGTGCTGTGACCCACACGTGATCCGCCCGGCGAAACTAAAAAGATTCTTCCTGAAATTTGGATGAACTGATTCACACTAGACCGGCACGTGGAAGTGGCGGTGTTCTCAGTGCCCTCGACGACGCCGTACCATGATCGGCCGTGTTTTTATGTAATTTCGTGAATGTTTTGATATATTTGCTCAAAAACATGAATAATGCAGTAGAATCAGTCAAATTCAAAATACATGGACTTCCGTTTTCTTCTCGTTTCTTCCTCTTTTTCAAATTTTGCCATTTCGACCTCACGTAAACACAACTGCACTGTCATAGCACGGAGAAAAATACTGACCGGTGTGAATTGAAAACACTGTGAGCTCACGTTAGCGAGAATCACTGGCACGTCACGGCACTACCACGTCACGGCTGAGTGTGAATAGACCTTTACGCGACGTGTTTGTTTTCTTTCTTCGTTGCACCTAATCGGCGGATAACATCGATTCACACTGTCGCAGCGCAGGTATTGGAAAGATTTATTGAGAGCAAATGTTTAGGGAAATCTATCTGTGAAATATGTCTAATAGTTACATAAGTAGAATTACCCGAGTTAAAACTTATAAATAAACTAACGAGAAACAATTGAGATATACTCGCCCTTACTCCATGCAACCCTCCTCTCACCCTCGCTTTTTACTACTCAAAAATTTTGCAAAAATGAGCAGGTATTTTTTGAACGTCAAAAATGTATGAGACGATTTTTACTGTTTCCCGTCCTTCGTCCGTAGGTTAACAAGATTGTGACGAGAGATTAGGCAGCAGCGGTGGCCGCAGTAGACTCTTCGGTCTCCTGATCAGTCCCCGTGCGCTGTGCGGGTTCGAGTGCCGTCCCAGGAGAAATTTTTCTCTTGGTTATCGATGTTGTGATTGTCCGTAGGTGGTAGACGGTCTCTGATTGTCGAACGCGGAGGTACCACCCGGCGGATCTCGTAGGCGGAGCCAGAATGTGTGCATGTTGCATGCACACGTGTTCCCTCGCCAGAGTCCGTGTGGCGTTCCCCCTTTCCCCTGTATCCCCCTATAGCCCCACGGTACCCAATGGGAGTTTAGGCCTTCGTGGTAGTTGGAGTACCATAAAAAAAAAGATGATTTGCATTATTCAGTGAAAAGTCAACATACTTGACGCCATTTTTTAGGCTAACGTAACCAGACTCTACGGCTTATTGTACCTTTCTCCTCGAATTCACAGTACTCAACTCAGCAGTCTAGTGTTCTGTACCAGTTGGTACAGTTTAGGGCTGATTCTGTTCCTTTCCGCAACTAATGTCTCCATCGTTATACCCTCCTCTTGCCACCCTCCCAGCCCCAGTTTTCTCGCCTCATACGATTTTACAGAAATGACAGACCGACGGAAATAGGTGACATGGTGTTTGGTGTTATACATGGTCCTTCAGAAAAAACGCATGTTTTTCGAATGGGTACTACATCGAGAGGGCTGGCCCCCTGTCGGTGGGGAAGGATGTGTTGGATAGTGGGAGAAGTGCCGTTTCAGTTGGCAGGATGGTTTGGAACGTTGAGCATCGTGTGTTCACTGTACGTCGGTACTTTCAAAATGGCGAGTCTGCCATTCGAACGCAACGCGAGTTTCGCGTTCACTTTCGTGTTCCACGTCGTGGGACAGTACCAGATCGTAACACCATTTTGAGATGGGTGGAAGCATTCAACACAACAGGTATTGTGATGAAGAAAAAACCGCCAGGGCGAAACCGTACTGTTAGAACCCCCTGAAAACGTAGACAGAGTGAGAGTTGACATGCTGCAAACCCCGAACCGTACCGTCCGTTTGCGTGCTAGTTCCCTAGGGATCCACGCGTCTTCTGTACGTCGCATCTTGAAGAAGGATTTGGTGTTCCATTCTTACAAAATCCAACTGTTGCCAGGGGATTATGCACGTGTTAATTTTGTACAGCTCACGATTGAACAGTTGGATAACAATGACATGACGTTGTTTATAAGAGATGAAGCACATTTTCATTTAGATGGATACGTCGATATTGGTCTCTACCGTAAATTCAGAGCGTTACATCCACATGCTGAACAACTTTTTTTTCCTGAACTTAGACGTCGACGTGTCCGTCTCAGAACAGTGTGGTTCCAACAAGACGGGGCAACATCTCACACAGCTCGCACTTCGATGGAACTTCTTCGGTAAAAATTCCCAAGACGTCTAATTTTACTTCATGGTGATATTCCATGGTCCCCTCGCTCCCCGGACCTCTGTCAAAGTGTGTTTTTTTAATTTATGGAGGTACCTGAAATAAAAAGTTTACCAAAGCAATCCTCGTCGATTTGAATGAGGAAATAAGAAGTAACCCAAATTCCTGCACGAATGCTAAACAAGGGATTTATTTTTATCAATCATCTAGAGCGACACACAAACTCGAGTGGCTACCAGTTTTCTGCGGTGTTGCCACAACTGCCTTCACGCAATCGATGGATGATAGCTCTGAGCAGTGCAAAATAATAATCGTAAAATGTTATACGTGCTGATAACTAAATAGTATTAATTTGTCTCCAATATGATGTATTTTCAAATAGAACAACTCATGTGTATGTACAGTTATAAACTGTTTGTAACACCTGCACCGAAAAAAAAGTCTTTGGTTTCAGTACCCTAATATATTTCATATTATAATGCTTCCACTGCAGTGTCATCATAGCTTCAAAACCAACTTCACGGAACGCAAAAATTGAAACAAATAATTTTTCAAAAACATTACAGAGATTTCAGAAAACTCTGGTTTCGTACTTTTATGCTGCGGATTTGCGCAATCGAGGGGATGCTTTATTTTGCTCATGTTATGTTTACGTGTGTTTTCCGTGATACTTTCACAGAGTTTTGAAACATTTCAGTGGAATATACAGGGACTTTGAAGTTGAGTCATTAATTTTCAGATAATGATTGTAGAAGGAATATAAACCAAAATATGCGTGTAAAAATAAAAAAAAAATGTTACCTTGTTTTATAAAGTATCCTCCCGACAAGTATTTCAGTGCGGACCTGTATCTGATCGTGCGGTCTTGGAGCACCGGCATGCCCTCTCCTGTGAGGTCTTAAGTCACCTGATTCACGAGCCCTTTGTACTACATTAACAAAGGCACGAGGGGTTGGTTGCACTTTGTAGCATTTTGTAAATAAAAATCATGTCCACAAGTTCAGCATTTTCGTAAACATGTGCCATTTTTCATTTCGTTTGAGCCTCGCAACAAACACCTCTATTCACTCACGCGTTACCGACTGACACAATGACTGAATCCAACTGAATAAAAGTAAAAGTAAAAACATAAGCGTTTCAAATTCTTTCGCTTTTTGTTTCCGATGCGATGAACCGATAAGGCGGATTATATCCGTTGTTGCCAAACACGAGCACATAATATTATTATTGAGAAAGGCGGTACTCAAACTTCTAAAGGGCTATAACTTTGTTACTTTAATTTTACCAGAAAAATGTTATAGGAAAAAAAACATTTCTTTTGATCAGATCTATTCACTGTTAAAATAAATGACTCAACTTCGAAGTCACCCTGTATAGTACTTTGGACTATTCTCAAAGATGGTGAAGTGTTGCATGTTATGTAAAAAGCAGTTTAAGCGCGATAAAAGCAGATTTCTACACAGGGAAAAGCATAGAATTTTCGTTCAAGGTCAAATTTTGCGTAAACAAAAATCTATGTTGCTAACAAGCAATCTTTAACATCATAATGGGCTTGGTTCCTTCTAACCTAGCCCGAATTCGTTGGACGCAATGGGCTCATTTCGAGAGAGGCTTGGTTCCTGCATTATGCGTACATTTTGTTTTACTCAAAAGAATGGCATGCATTTGTTAGTATTTTGATATAATATTTTTAGGAGAGGTGCTAGTTTTTCAACAAAGTTCAACATTAGCGTTGATAGAATAAGAAAGGATACTTCAGTTTTACATAGATTTGATGCATAAAGGATCCCCCAGACCGACACGAATATTTCGCGGCGACTACTATTAATTCGCGAGGACATCGTCGCTCAGAGACTGCTTTCGCAGAAGTGAATAAACAAGAACAGACCAGTGTGTCAGTTTCGCCAGAAGTGGTGCGACAGTACAGCGCCTAAATTTTAATTCGCTGCTTGCACGGTTTCTATTCGCTGTCGCAGTGGCAAATACTGCAAAACTTCTCGAAATAATTGAACAATTTCCGATTCTCTACGACTTAAGTAACGAGGATCATAAAAATGTCTGTAAAAAAGACAACATTTGGGATAACATAGGAGTGGAATTAAATGACACTGGTAAGTCAACCTCTTTATACTGAGAAATGATTATAATCTATATTATTTATGATTGGCATAGCCAAGCGGATCTTGACCAAAAGTATTATTCAACAAATCTTTCTTGTGTAGAAAATGCCAGATGCGTTGCACGTCTTGGATCATTTTTGATGTAGTAAAGACTTTTAATGGATCTAGATTATCTAAGACGTAGATATTGCAAAAAATACGTACCTACTCTGCTCTTCCTCCTAAAAAGCAAGAAATAGAATCGATTCTTCATCTGAAGGGATTTTAATTTGGTTTATAAGCGACACTCGCCAACCGTCTACTGTCAATCAACTGCGATCTTTTCGCTTTGTTATGAAAAGTCCCTCAAATATTCACAGCGAATTTCGCGAGAACATTTGTGGAGCACCGAACTTGACCCAACACGAAAATAAATTCCTATACCTGTTAACAACAAACGCCAACGTCTCATGTGCTTGCTTTCGTTTGCTGGGCGTTCCATTTTCGGTCTGTATGCGGCTTAAGACAGCAGTGATACTGGTCAGTTCTCAATGTTTAGAGTGAGGCTGTGCATTAGATTTATCATAAAGGATATTATTCATGTGTAAATCCCCGTAGACCGAAATTTCAACGCAAGCCAAAGCACATCTGGTTACAGATTTTGAGGTGTTCGAATCGGTGTGTACAGCGCGAGCTAACATAAGCCAGCCAACGGTTTCCAAGGTCGGCGCCCGCTCCTTGATCGGTTCATCAAAGGGAGGTTTGAAAGAAATTTTTAAAATGTCCACCATCTTCACTTTGAAGTGGCTGCCACTATACAAGGCTCTATTTTTAAATGGTGTTATTACCAACCAATGTCTAGGACGCTTCTTTTTCTTGGACATCAAGCAAGGCGCAAACTGAGACACGTATAGCACATGCGACGTTCCGTACGTGCCTCACGTGCTGCGTGGGGATCCGCATATCGAGACGCAGTTTGATAGGATCTCGCATCACATTGGAAAACGTTTGATACCCGAACAAAACAATTGTTATTATTAAACTTCATGTAGTTAGGATGCTTTGTGTCGTAAACCCCTTTATGTTCCCTTACGGCCTCAATTATCTTCTCTTCTGCCATCTTTTTAACGTGAAAATGCACGAAAAAGTCTGTAGACGGCGTCTACTAGACGTTTAGTACGTGCGATGCAAGACACTCTAAAACTGTCTCATCCACATCATACGTGTGGGGTGGCGCGCTCGTCACGTCCCTAGTCAATGCTGTTTCAAGAGTTTCTATTGGTTAATAAAAACACGTGCTGTGCTGCGTCACCTCACACGTGCTACACGTGTTTCAATTTGCGCCTTGCCTTACAGAATGTATTATTAAAAACTCGGCATTCGCCAGCAGTAAATCGTCCTCGTCGCTCGACATTAGCACCGAACTTAATCCAACGCGGTTCAACTCGAAACTAAATTTAGGTACAAACGAGCGCATTCAAATGCCTTCAAACATCAAACGCCAACGTCACATGTGCTTGCATTCGTTTGCTTGGCGTCGGATTTTCGGTCTATACGCGGCTTTGGCCTAGTTAAAGTTTGAGATGCATATAAAAGCAAGGTTGTAAACCTCCATCTCTGAGGCATTAGTGGAAAATTGGTTTGTCAACAAAAATCAAGAGTATTTTATTACGCAATTTTAGTTGATCATACCAAATCTGCAGTAATGTTAACAAAATGATAGGAACCGACATTTGAGTCATTAGGTTTATTAATGAAAATCAATTCAATATCAAAACATATTTATTTACTATATTTATGTACACCACATTTACAAGTCTGGTAGGCCTGTAATTCTGTAGAACAGCCTCCAATCCAGATAAAAATGTATAATCGATTTATAAAACATTTGGTAATCAAAAAATGCATAGATAATGGAAAATTATTGAGAAAAATTAAAATAGTAAATAAATTATAGCTAAAAATATTCTCAATAACTTTTCAAAATGGCTTATTGATTCATCTTTTATAGACCAGGAAATATCTGAAATTACATATACAAAAATTCAAAAATGCATCAAACGAATTACGTATTTTTCTCGCCCCAGCAAGAAACAACAACAATCTCGTCCCACTTCAAAATTTCATACTTAACACTTTGATACTACAAAGCATAAACAATCACAAAATCTTCCCACGTCAAAATTTCATACTTAACACTTTGATACTACAAAGCATAAACAATTTTAGCCTATCTTGGCCGCTATTTCCTGGGCTATAAAACTTAAAAGCGTAGTGTACATTTAAAACGTGTACACTGCCTTATCACGCAGGAAACATAAAATTATTGTTGACGTCTATAATCCCTGTATTCTCTGTCAGGCGGTCGCCAATCGCCACCAAATCGATCTCTGGGATACTGATCAGGGGGGTATAATGGTGTAGGGGGGAAGTTCCCGTAGAAGGGTTGCCTCATTGCAGGAGCTTGAGCATCTCGCCCTCTTTGATATCTCCAGTCCGCTTTGCCTTCGCACCTGCAGTTAAAACAAATAGCGTCAAGTACATTGACTCAGACCAATTTTTGAATTATGCATAGACTTGTCAGGATTTTAGCCCACATTCAGCACCTACAGATCAGACCGAAGGCGCTAAACTTCACCATACCATGACCAGTTATTTATACCACTTAGATCAATACTTGGTAGTTTTTTGAGTATATGCAAAAAAGTGGTGACTCAGCAATTTTTTTGTATCTAGGTGGAAGACCCTTTCCGTTTCGGACATAAGTTATAATAAACTTTTTTACTCAGAATAATGAAAGGAATCTCCTCTTAAAGCTACGAATATTATTTCCCTAACACCCTGTATATGTATAAAAAACTCGTCTGTCTTTGTACGTCACTGGGTGTTGCAAAGATGTGTGTATGTGTGACAGATTGATTCTTCTTGAAAAGTACATCTAGCAGTTTTCCATCCCATACGTTAAAAGAATTGCGCCAAGTAGGTTAACTGTATTTTTCACGCAATACTGCCATCAATTGTATGATAGCAGATCTACCATATGAACTATGATTCAAAATAAATCGGCGAGATATAGAGTCGACCTTCTTGACACAAAGATTATTCAAGACTGCTACTGCATGTGATAAATATTCCTAACGCTTCTAGTGGAATTTCCACCAAGTCATGATGAAATAAACACATGCCTATCGCTTGCCTGCTGCCAAAGCAAGTAAATTTACTGGCGTCTTCAGGTGGCCACAGCACGGGAAGCAGAGAGAGAAACTCGAGACGTGTATCCGTGAATATTGGAGTGATTGTAATAGTAATAGAGCGTCTTTCATTGAAACCCTTACAACCGCCATTTACAAAATTGAAACCCCTTCAACCACCATTTACAAAATTTATACACTATAACACCAGTCCTTTCCAAGTTATATTATAATGGGACCAAGGATTAGCGTACAGACATACCCATGGAAACGAGTGAAATGTTTTTTCGCGATGTATTTGAATTTCTTCACGGTTACAATTATTCCTCGCCAGTTAGCATGGGAAGTAAAAAGTGACAATTATTATCTTTTAATAATGATATCCAAATTGACGTATAATTTAATAAAACAATTATATCGAAAACGGTGCGACTGAAAGGAAAACTCCAAGAGGCAGATTTTTTTCTTTAAAAAAAAATACACTTACAAATACATCTAAATGTAATAAAATCGATTGAAATATTTCTCAACCCGTTTTCGAGTAATGCCAGATAAACTATCAAAGACAAGTTTAAACTATGGACATATATCCAGACTTTTTTCAGATTTTCACGTGATGGATCTGCCTTTGGATTTTCCTCACAATATTCAGTAACATCCTGTAGAAACATAGAAAAGATATTATTGTAGGAGAGGTCTGCTCAGTTTAAAAACAGATTAATACAATTTTTTTTATTTACACCCCTAAAGTAACTAGAGCATTGAAAGACGTCGGAAAAGATGAAGCACATTTTTACCATGCTACATTAAATAAAATGGCGTCAAGTAGGTTGACTCGACAATTCCCACGCATCCAAGTTACACAGGTAAGAAGTGCTCCTGAAAAATATCTTACCTTTTATCAAGCCTAGGATAATCTCTTTCCCTATGGAAACCCGGACCTCGTTGAAAGTCAAAGGGCCGTTTGTGTTCTGGAAACCTCTCGCGGTCTCTAGACTGGGGCGGCCACCTTTCGTGGTCAGCAGGTGGCTCATGCCTGAAAGGTTTCTGAGATCCTCCAGGTTTTCTGTGCCTACTGAATTTCTGATCAGTATCATCTTCACTAGTCTCATCTCTTTGTCTTTTCCTTTCCTTTTCCTCTGGATTTTTATCACGATCTTTCCTAAAAATCGAAAAAAAAATGTGAAGTCCAAAGATGCTAAACCCTATAAAATTTCGAGTTGACATTTTAATCACTATCTATTTATCAGTAGACCTAAAACTTGTAAAAGCTCACTCTATACAAGGCCCAGATAAGGCCTAGCCTCGAGTATTGCTCACACATTTGGGGTGCTGCCGCCCCGACTACAATATCCATGCTCGATGCTGTCCAGAGGAGGGCGGTCCGACTGATCGATGACTCTTCTCTAATAGACAGTCTCGGGACTCTTTCGCACCGGCAGGCCGTCAGCGATCTAGCTCTTTTCTATCGCTACACCAACGGGCTTTGCTCCTCAGAGCTCTTTTCAATGATGCCGCCGCGCGATGTGCCTGCCAGACATACCCGCCTGACTTTGGCGTCCCATCCTAACCGTGTCGAACTTCGTACATCCAGAACTGGCCGATACGACCGCTCCTTTGTCCCGAGGGTGTCGAGATTGTAGAACAATCTACAGGGGGAAGCTTTTCCCAGTTCTACTAACCTTAGACAGTTCAAAAATCATATTAACAAAATTTCTTTGGGATCATCATAGCAGCCGCGGTATTCCGGCATTTAGGCTTCTGCCTGCGCGGCTGCTTCGATATAAAAAAAAAACATTAGTATACAATTTCAGGCACTCACTTTTCAGTTTGACGTTTCTTTACATCTTTCTCTGTATCACTGTCATGTTTTCTTTTCAAGTGTTCTTTACTTTCTTTGATTTCACTTTTCGATTCAGTTTTCCTGGATTCACCTTTTTTGCCTTCCATTTTTTTGCTTTCACCTTTTTTGCTATCGTTCTTTTTAATTTTCGGTTTGCTTGTAGAAGCCTTTTCTTGCTCCATTGTCTGAAAATAAAATGCACAATTACTATTAAAACAGCTTCCAGGTGTAGAAAGTTTCGTACGCTTGGGAGAAGGGACGAAAATGAATTTGCAGGATGAAGTTTTGTTTCATAAATATAGATAATACGCTATCATAGTGAAACTCGCAGGCAAAAGGGTCGGCTTGCCATTATGACATTGGTAGCGGGGTCACACGCACATGCGCCGTACTGTTTAACGAATATTTTCCAAATAATGGAGATTTAATATTTTCCATTGATTGAAAAGTAAATATTTAATGAATATTATAAAAGAAATATTGTATTAAACATTTAAAAAATATTGAATAAATTTTCAATAAAAATATTATATTCCAAATATTTATTAAATATTTGTTCAAGATGACAAATTTTTAAGTTTTTAAGTAAGATGAAAATATTATTGAATATTAAATGGATATTTCGTGCTATCGGGGAACTATAGGAGTCTTGATACTTACAGTGTCGTCATCCTTGTCTGACTTATCAGCTTTCTTACAGGCCTTTTTGTACAATTTATACAACTTCTTAGCGTCGTATTCGGTAAATTTAGAGACAAAGTACCACAGATTGCTGAAAATACAAAAAATTAGTTTAGAAGTATTTCAAAGATGATCTATTTTACCTTCTCCATTCTTTGACCTTTTCAGGATCAGAATACTGATTGAGACAAACATTGATTTGTTCACCAATTTGTATAAGACATATTCTTGTATGTTGAACTTGTTCAGCCTCACTCAAAGATTGATCAGGATTGTCTAAAGCTTTCAAAGCTTTTTTAACAGGCCGCATTTTTTCTTTGCACTCATTGAATATTGCTGGGTCTAAATCTCCAAGCACCTCCAATGCAATAGGTTCGTTGGTAGAAAAATGCATTGGCCCAGATGCTTTATTACCTTTCTTTTTATCCTTTTTCTTTTCTTTCTTGTCCAAACTATGTCTTGAAGCATCATCATCCTTATCTTCCTTTTCTTTTTTATTTACCTTGGGTGCTTTTTTTGGAGATAGAACAGAAGCTTGTGCTAAGTTACTCTGATTGGTGGATTCATCATTAGAACTAATATCATCATTTTCAATTATTTCTTTGGTTAAGACTTTATTCTCTCTAAGTTTACGTTGTCTTTTAGGTTTTTGGATCCCTTTCTTCATGTCTAACTGCTTTTTCAGAACCCTTAGAAGGTATTCTGCTCTCGATTGTAGATGTTTAGATTGAGGCTTTTTATCTTCATTTAACAGGATCTTATCACCAATGGCCAGTGTTGGATCGAGCTTGATCTGTTCCCAGGAACCCAAGCCGTAAATGTATATGCCTTTGAGCAACTTCGTATCTTCCTCAGTACCCCATTCAACATCAAAATGTGCAGATTTTGTTTTAGCGTCAAACCTCCATTTCATTCTTTCTTCATCATCTGCAGGTATGACCTCATCTAAAGGTTCCAGCTCTTCCTCACAAGCTAGCATGGTTTTTGCATTTACAGATACCCCACCAAGCTTGAAAGAAGGACCTCTAATTCTTTTTCGTCCTGTTACCTCTTCGTTGTTAGCCTCTGTATTTTCTTTGGACTGTTCGTTCATGTACGCCTTACATCTTTCATGCAATAACTCGCCCAATTTTTTCAGCTCAGGTAACGGTTTTTCTTGCAGTTCTGCATCACAAGCTACGGCTTCCAGCCGTTTTAGAGGGTTGCTGAATTTTTTGTAGCTTTTGATAAACCGACGTATCTGGAATAAAACAGAATAACCCTCAATTTGATTCTGTTATTAGGTTTGGCATGCAAAAAATATCATAAATAAATCAAGAGGTGTATATTTTTTAGTAGTCAGTAATGATGGAAGAAAGCTCAGATACATAGTTGAATCATACTTCAAAATCTTACCTCTGCATCAGTGAAATTTTTGATTTTCTCCCTATTTCCAGCTGGTGGCCTTCCTCTTTTCTTGGGCCTATCATCATCAGAATCATCTGCATCACTAGATGCCCCGGTTTCTATTTCACCTTTGCCTCTTTTACTTTTTCCTTCACCATCACTCTCAGACTGATTGATCTGTTGCAAAGTCTTCCTACTTCTTGGAGGAAGATACAGATCTTCCATTTCTTTATTCTTTTCTTCCTCTTCCACCTTTTTTCTTAGCCTTTCTGGTATAATTTCATCCCAATCTTTGCTTTCTTCATCAGGTATATTGTTTACTGGTGAGGGTTCAGTGTCCTCATCAAAAGCTGCAAAACTAGCCACTTTGAAAGCTGACAGAAGTTCATCGCCTGTCATTGTGGGACCATCGTCTCTAGTTTCTGCTCTCCTCAATATTTCGTCAATATCACACTGAAAAATTAAAAATTACGTCAACTAGGTTGACTGTGCACTTCCCATGCAATGCTGTTCTCAAAGAATGATTTTAGGCATAATTTAGCCCCTCTAACAAACAAGTTCCCTTTAAACAAGTATACCAAAAAATACCATAATCCCCAACTATTTGACAATGCTGCGATCTAGATATGTCTACCCTGCTTTACAGAAAGTACCAACCATCTGGCAATGTTACTATGACTAACCTTACCAGTCAGAGGTTGCACCCCCATTCAGATTTTTGTGCACACTGACATAATATGTTTTAAGGGTAAATGTACAGGAAAATTTTATCAAAAAACTAAAAACATTCCCAAGTTCTGTTTGTCTCTTTTATTAACAGTTGCCAACAAGATTTTGCATATCAAAAGATCATCAGAGCAACTATTTGTATTGCCTTAAGATTCCCAACCATATACTGTAATTGGACATCAGCATACAATTTCCATCTTCATAGCCGTGTGTGGCAAATTCGGATTGCAGTTATCCCCTCAGAAATAGCAAAAACATATTCCATTTTACTTCAAAGGAAATTGTTCAGTTCCTAATCTACCGGGAAATGTCATTATGCAATCTCCCTCTTAATTGTTCACAAGATATCGTAATCTCAGATGAAACGATGAAAAATAAAATCCCATTACGCTCGGACATAATTCAAGGGGTAACGCTGACATCACAAATGGTCTTAAGACGGAGGCGACATACAGTAATGGACAAAAGTATATAGACAAATATGAATATTTGCCTAAATACCTTTAGAAAACGAATTCGTACTTCATTGCTTCATAAACAAATGCGTTATTAGTAGAAATACTAAATTCCTTGTGTTTACATTATCTGCAATGAACACAATACAAGTCTGAATATAAGCACTTTTTATGAGGGACAAAAATATGTAGACAAATTCTTTTCAACATTAGTTTAGTACAGTTTCGTATCAGAAGAGGATTAGTTTGTGTTCATCAAGTATGGTGGAATAACAACTTATTCACTCAACAGTGATTTTAAGACCATGCCGCGTGGTCCAGAAATGTCTTTCGATGTGAAAACTAAGATCATCGAGTTATACAAAGATGGTCAACGTCAAGTCGACATTGCCAAAAAATTGAAGCTGAAGCGTAAAGCTGTTTGGGCAATATTGAACAAATATAAACAAAAAGGTATCTTGGAAGCCTCTAAGAGAAGTGGTCGGCGTAGAAAACTAAATGCTAGATCAGTTAGATTAATAAAAGTAATTTCGTCCAAAGATCCGTTTAAAACCCCAAGACAAATAAAAGCCAAAATCGAGACAAAAGGAATTGTCAGTGTTTATACGAAAATTATAAGTAGAAGATTAAATGATTTGAAGTTATTTGCACGTCGCCCGAGTAAGAAGCCGCTAATCTCGAGGAAAAACCGTAAGGACCGATTACAATTTGCACGGTTGCAGCTTGATTAGAGCATCTGTGACTGGAAGAGGGTATGTTTCAGTGACGAATCCAAGTTCAATATGTTTGGATCACATGGTGTTCATTAGATGTCCTAGTGGACAAAGATTGAACTCCAAGTACACTTTGCCCACTGTCAAACATGGAGGCGGGTCTGTTATGGTTTAGGGGTGCTTTTCAGGGTTTGGGATGGGACCTTTACATAGAATAGATGGCATTATGGACAAGTTTGTAGACACAGACATACTAAAGCATGTCATGTTACCCTATATGGAAGACAATATGCCCTTATAGGCCAGTTAAATAGCCGAAACTGAGACAAAAGTGATAACATAGCCACAAAGTTATTTCCGCTGGCGTAATGGTGTAATAAAGGATTGCGAATATTGTTGTATGAATTTGGTTTTCCGGAAACCAGCCGTTTTTTGTAAATCAGCGAAAAACCCGAAAAACCTCTTTTTCGCTGAAACGGCTGAGGATATCTGGGATTTTTTTACACGTAAATTTTTCTAATTTTTGGGCCATCCATAAAGGTCTCTACAAATTTTTCGCTAAATTGCTTAGTTTTCGCACTACAGCTTGCTGATGGCTTGTGGGCGAGGGGGTTTGCGGGGACAGAGGCGGCGTACCTGCATACCACCAAGCTGCCGCCACACCGCCTACGCGTTGACGACGCAGAGGATCACTTACTATATGGTAGGGGTTATTCAGTAATAGTAGAGTTGATTTCGAACCCTGAGCTCGCTTGTCAGTTTGGCGTTCACCGACTTTTACGTAAGAACTAATTTTCGAAGTTTATGCGTTTAAGTATGTGGAGTAATTTCTCTTTAATTGCTTGTGGATTGACTGGATAAGTGAGGTAAGTATGTGTACATTCTAGAATTGAAATTAAATATTGTTTTCCGTAATTTCATTGGAGACAAGGAATTAAGGACAAAGCCAACCTAAAATTCGAAAAGTTATCCGCCATAGATTTTTTAACGAAATTTGTTTTCATTTTCCAATGTTAGTATAGTATTTTTTAATAATAAGTAGTGCAGTCCAAATTCAGTATATGTTGTCCAAAATTCAGCATGTCTTGGAATTCCATTAGCACTATGTTCTGATATTAATAACAAAAATCAGACAAATTAGACTGACTGGATCGAAAATTGCATTACACTTACTGGATACCGATTCTCACTGAAATTGTTTCTGTTATTCAATAGGAATAAAATGCAGCAAAATAGTAACTGCGCCATTTGCAGTTATCCGTTGGCGCGCGGCAATTGCAGGATCGTGGGGAAGAGGGGAATTAGTACACTGATCACACAGAGCAAACGCGTGGAAGACAAAAAATGGTTGGATTGGGAAAAAAAGGAAAAACTGGACTGCCATGAGAAGTGTAGACTTTCATACTCGGTCAGTGGAACGTATACTCAGCATTTTGCGTTGAATGCACCAAATAACAATGTCGTAGCTGCAAGGGATGAGGTTCCTGATTTCCATTACGCGGATAATTGCTTCATTTGTGGTTTGAGTATAATAAAAGATGCGAAAACAAAAATCTGTACAGACACACAAAAAGAGACGCGTGATAACTTGATTGCAATGGGAAAGGAAAGAAATGACTCTTTGGGAATTAGCGTTGTTGAAAGATTAGAGAACATTTCTTGCTTAATTCGCGTACAAGGCAGATACCACCGGACATGCATGTCTCATTTCAATGCGTATGGTTTAAAAACAAATATCGATGATCTAAACTGGTCTAGAATCGATTCATTGTTAGAACCTGTGTGGCAAGTTCTTGAAGAAGACAAAAATGTTATTCATTATTTGTCGAAGTTAGTAGAACTTGTGGATGATGACTCTATAGATAGAAGGACTCTAGCAGGTCACATTAAAAAACGTTACGGTGAGGAAGTTGAGTGCAGTATAATGGGGGGAAAAGATATACGTGTATGCTTCAAAAGTCATCATGTTTTTAATGTGTCAGCAGACCCATCAACTTTCACAGAAGGGCAGATACAAGTTATTTTGCTTCAGGCCTCAAATATAATGCACAGAGAGATTCGTAGCAAGCAATTTGTAAGATTAAAATAATTTTATTAGGAAAATTTCGAGAAATAAAAACTAATTTTAAAAACTATTCTAAAAAAGTATACTATATATACTATAAGTACGAACCGTCCAACCAATTTGTAAGCCATCTTTCCTCCGATTATCCACCCCACTTTTCGTTCTTTATTGAGCACTTTCTCCTTATCGCTGACGAAGAGGAAGATAAAAAAGCAAAGTCTGTGAAGCGAGACATGATATCTCAATGCATACTTTCATTCATTCAGCCACGTACGTTTTTGTCCACCCTCCACTTGTCGATTGGGACATTGATTCTGAGAAAAACAGGTTCCAAGTACATCATAAATCTTCTGCATGCATTAGGCGTTTGCACTTCTTACTACAATATTGAATTGTATGAGGCTTCAACAATAGTGAATCCACCCAGATTCATCATCGAAAAACCTTTCGTACAATTTGTATTTGATAATACTGACCACAACGTCAGGACCCTGGACGGACGGGAGACTTTCCATTGTTTAGGCGGAATACAGGTTTACACTCCGGAGCACGAAATCACACAATGTGGAAGTGTCGAAAAACTTACTGAGATGCCTTCCGCAAATATCCTTGCAAAGCAAGAACAAATTCCAATCTTCCCTTACGTCGAGCCGCCAAAAGAGGGCTTGAAACTTATAGAATTCATCGATACAAATTTACTGACCATGGTCGACATGCCTCTATTCCCCCCTACTTACTCAACTTATTTGTGGGCTAAATACGTTGATCCTGAGAATGTACCAGCATGGCGAGGTTTCATGGAGTTATTTTCGGAAAATGAAAGTTTCCAAAGGTCGGGGGTGCAATGCCAACAATTCATTAACGAAGTTCCATCTAGTCTAACAACCATTTATACATCAATCATGCATGCAAAGAGCGAAACCCGTAAATGTGGTCAAAAAACCACTATCTTAACTTACGACTTGCCGTTGTACATGAAATGTCGCGATATTATAGCGAAGTTAATGTTGCCCGACGTTTTTGTTCGCTTAGGCGGATTCCACATGTTAATGTCTTTTTTGGGAGCAATAGGTATTATCATGGGAGGAAGCGGACTTGAATCTATTTGGGAGCTTGCTTACGCTAGTGAATCCATAAAGAAAATGATGGACGGGCACAATTATTCAAGAGCAGTCCGAGCACACATTTTGAAGTTTAAAGCTTTAGGCATCGTAATTTGTGTTTCAATCGAAGAAAAAGGCGAGATCAAAGGGGTTATCGCATCATTGATGCGTGTCTGGCAGAAAAATCCTCTCAAGCTAGGGGACAGTGACTCTGATAAGGACCTGAAGAAAATGTCTGATTTGTTTTATACAAAGTTGAAGCAATTGAAAAATAACGACCCAACAGCCAAGTTGTGGGTGCAGTACATTGAAGCCGTGCTTTTTGTCTTGCGTTTTATTGAAGCAGAACGTCTTGGAAACTGGGACCTTCATCCTATCACCTTGGTCAAACTCTTGCAACATATAAGGGATTCAGTTTTACCGTGATCCATGCGAAAGAGGATGCGGATGTTGAGATTGTGATAACAGCTCTGAAGACTCATAACGAATTGTTTCGTCACGGGAAATCACGAGTTATAGTCGTCGGCTCGTATGTTGATCTCTTAATATTACTTATTGGACTCACTTCAACCTCAGAGAACATGTACTATTACAAGATGGGACAGGGGGGCAAGACGAACCAATTGTACGATACTCGGGATCACACACATTTGCAACCATTTCTACTTTTTGCTCATACCTTTGCGGGCTGCGACACTACTAGCTGCTTTTTTTGGAAAGGGAAGATGAAGCTGGTGAAGTTGCTGCTGCAGAACGATAGCATTAGAGCGCTGGCGCTGAAGTTTTACGAGCCGGACTGCTTGGAAGGCGAATTGCTGCAATGTGCAGAGACGATTACTCTCGCACTATACAAAGACAAAGAACAGTCTTCTTCTCTCGGGACTTTCAGATACAATTTGTTTTCTGCAAACTTAGCAAAGGCAAAAAAGGAAACGCCCCTAGAATGTCTCCCACCAATATCTCCTGCCTTGCTTCAGCACTGTAAACGAGTGTACTATCAAATCCAGGTGTGGCTTCAGCATAGATTAGATCCATGCTTGTGGGGATGGACAAGACAGGGTAATATTCTCATTCCGATCATGTCTGAAGCAGATCCCGCACCAAAAGAACTGTTACAAGAGGTATGTGGGAAATGTATTCAATTTGAAGCAATAAATACAACTTGCTACAACTAATTTTTACTACACTTTTGATCTCATGTACCTACTGTCTGACCGGAATTAAAATAATTTTTGAACAATGTGAGATCCAGTTTCAAGTCAAAATAACAAATTTTTAGACTGATCTATGGAGCACTATAAAAGGCCTGTCATTGATTTCCCTTACAAGACAACTGATATTTAGATTATAATAATTCTTATGATAACCTTTTTTCATTTTTCCTGTGGATGCCAAGGGCCCTGCAAATCGAAGCGATGTAACTGCCGAAAAGCCGGTCTAAAGTGCAACCCTGCTTGCAAAGTATGCCGCGGAAAATCGTGCAACAACTCAAAGAGATGGACTGCTACAGAACACCATGATAGCGAAACTCCGACTACTACAGATGCATGTGAGGAGGACGGTGGACAAACTACCGTAGAACCCGATAATGATGACTTAACAGAAGATGATGAGACCTCATCAAGCAGCCACGATGCAACGACCGATGACGAGGAAATTAACGAAGGACTTTAATGACTTTAACCTTCAATGATTTATCCTACTTGTAACAGATTGGGGTGGATATACCATTGAACTGTATATACTTTCAATTCCTCTTACATGCTATTGTAGGTTCCATTGGCTCAAGTGAGGGTTTTTGTACAACTATATGTGTGAAATGTAAAGTAACAAATGTAAAACAAACATATTTGAACACAAAAAGAATTTGTTATACTCTATCAAAATAGAAAATATAAAAAATTGATGCAACTTCCAATTAATGGTTTGTACATAATTTCTTATCTCGATTAAAATATAATGGAGTAATGTTTTTCCACAGCGAGTGTGCAGAGAAGATATCGTCAAATACTCATCACCATCGGCCATTGTCTATTCTTTACATATTTGCGTTGGCGTAGGTCAGACCAACGTATAGACGCGGCTCAAAAACTGCTCATGATCGTAGATTAAGAACTACCGGTGATCAAACTGATTTGCGAGGATAACTATGAAAATAACGTGGAGCCTCGAAAGCGAGTCTTTTGATGACTCATTGGGCTTCTACATCCTGTAATGTATTCTTATCATTGCCACTCATTTATATACACGTTCACACCTTTTTTGCAGCTGTAGGTTTTTTATTGTTCCAATTCTAAATGAAAATATTATACCTCACTTATCCAGTCAATCGGTAAGCGGCTGAAGAAAAATTACTGCATCTTGTACTCTAAACGCAGAAATTTCAAAAATTCATTAATATGCATAGGTCGGTGAACGCCACAACTACAAACGAGCTTATTATTCGAAATCGACTGGCCTATCACTGAGAGAGAGACACTGAGGACGTCGAAATAGAGGAGAGGATCGTTCCGCTTCAATGGAGCGGCGTCTGGCGACAGGTGTACGCGCGTCCCTGTCCCCGCAGACCCCCTCGCCCACAAGCCATCAGCAAGCTGTAGCGCGAAAACTAAGCAATTTAGCGAAAAATTTGTAGAGACCTTTATTGATGGCCCCAAAATTAGAAAAATTTTCGTGTAAAAAATCCCAGATATCCTCAGCCGTTTCAGCGAAAAAGAGGTTTTTCGGGTTTTTCGCTGTTTTACAAAAAACGGCTGGTTTCCGGAAAACCAAATTCACACAACAATATTCGCAATCCTTTATTACACCATTACGCCAGCGGAAATAACTTTGTGGCTATGTTATCACTTTTGTCTCAGTTTCGGCTATTTAACTGGACTATTAGATCAATCTTCCAGCAAGATAATGACCCGAAGCACACTTCAAATCTCGCAAAGAAATTCTTTCTGGATGAAAAATTACTAGTTCTCAAATGGCCTTCACAGTCTCCCGATATAAGCCCCATTGAAAATCTATGGGAATACTTAGATAAGCAAATGCGAGATAAAAATTATTCAAACAAGGATAACCGTTTTGCCGCTTTAGAGCAAAAGTGGAGACAGATTGATGAATCTTCTATCAAGAAACTTCTACAATCGATGCCGAGACGATGCCAGACGGTGATTGATAATAATGGTTACGCTACAAAATATTAACACAAACATAGTTGGTTTTCTATAATTCAATGAACTTTGCTTCTTTTTTCTATAATTGTTTTGGTTTGTCTATATATGTTTGTCCTTCATAGTTCCAGTTTTTTCCAATTAATTTTTTATTGAAGGGAATCTAATGAATTTATTTATGTATAACATTCATGCTAGAACGAATTATGTATACAGGTTGGTGTATTAATAAAACAAGTTAAAAAAGAAATACAGCACAATATTAATTTGTCTATATACTTTGTCCATTACTGTATATACAGGGTATACCGAAAGTTGGGACTTTTCTGTTCAGAGTCAACTACCTTTGCAATATCAAAGCCAATTTACGGCAAAATAATACCGCAAACGTAGAAGAGAAATTGAAGATAAATAATCGCTTCGTTTGGTGAGGAATTTCAAATACTGCCCTGTCACATGTTTTGCTTGTAAACACTGCTTGAAGTTGTCGCTGTTAGATTCAAAAACACGAGTTTGTTTTTCCTTTTGCAACATTTTGGGCTATCTAGCTCTTCAACTGTGTTCAACCATATGGGCTTTCAAGATATAAACAAAACGTATATGCAGCCCTGATGGGAAGAAACATCGAAGACGACGGAGACGTTCTAAGTACACTCGCGGAGGATCAATAAGATATTGAAGATGCCCATATTAAATCGATAACTACGTTATTGCTCTAGGAATGTGCCAATTTCGATTTTTCAAATGCGGTTTGTTTATGAACTAGGTCAACCTAGACACCACGCGAAGCCTGGTTTGGTTACTGACTCGCATAGTCTAAGTTTTGACGTAAACGGGAATTGTGGGAGGGGAGGGTGGCAGGATCGTATTCATTTAATGCTTTTTGGAACATAGAATGTCGGTTGTCTTGAAGCTTTGATATGTTACTGAAAATTCATGCCTATTATTGCCTGACCTATACGCTTTGAAAGGAAAGTCCCATCTTTGAAGACATCCTGTAGGTGTCCAATTGAATTGGGTTGGATTCTGTTAATGGTGATAGCTAGTTTTTATTTTTTTATAAAACTGAACCCTAGTATAAAATTCTCAGTGAGTACTTACGTTAGGTTCCTCGTCAACATCTTCATCCTTAAATAACTCTTCAGCACCAAATTTCAGAATAGCAGTAAAATCTTCCTTATTAAAAGGAGTATTATTAGAAGATCCCTTTTTATCCAAAACAGTACGACCTGTAGTATCCATCCTCTGTATAACAAGATGATCTAGAACCATTTTTTGTTTGGCACGTTCTACGATCTCTTCTTCCACAGACCTTGCAGTAACTAATCTATATATATTCACTTGGTTTTTCTGGCCGATCCTATGAGCTCTGGCTTGTGCCTGGAGGTCATTTTGAGGATTCCAGTCAGAGTCAAAAATGATCACAGTATCTGCAGTGGCAAGATTGATACCTAAGCCACCAGCTCTTGTCGAGAGCAAGAAACAAAAGTCTTGCGAGTTTTCGGCATTGAAGTGGTCTAGTGCTTGTCGCCTCAATTCTCCTTTAATCCCACCATCTAGCCTTTGAAATGGGAAATGTCTTAGCTGTAAATATTCTGCTAGGATATCTAGCATTCTAACCATCTGGGAGAAAATCAATACTCTGTGGCCAGTTTCACGGAGCCTTATCAACAGCTTGTCCAGCAAGACTAACTTTCCTGATCCTCGTAGAAGCATTTGCAGATGATCTTGTTGGGAAGTTTGACTTTCGTATTCTGTTGGTTTTGTTAAAAACGCGTGGTTACAACATTTTTTCAATTCTATGACTATGTTTAAGAAAGTAGTTGTAGAGCCTCTCACTCCTCTTCTTAGAGCATTATAATTCTTTGTTAAAATCCATTTGTAATATTGTTTTTGAATGGAGGTCATTTCTACCCTTAAGATTTGCTCTACTTTTGCCGGAAGAGATTTCTCTACGTCTTTCTTCACCCTTCTTAAAATGAATGGTTCAAGTTGCTTATGTAGCTTGCCATAACCTTTAGTAGCAGCGTTATCGTGATCCTTCTCGAATTCCTCCCAGTTGTGAAATCTAGAAAAAACTTGTCACGTTATGGGAGAATTGGAGTGGAACATCACAACTTACTTTTGAGGCATGATGAAATGTAGAAGAGCCCACAATTCTTTGAGGCTATTTTGAAGAGGAGTACCCGTAATCAGTAGCCTATGATTAGTATCAAATTCCATCAATGCCTTATACAGTAATGAATCATCATTTTTGAGCCTACAAGAAAATATCAGTTTATAGGAAGTTTTCTTAGTCGAGGGGATTGATGCGAAAATTTTAGAAATTCAGATATACAATGTCCTCCTCCCCTTTGATTTTTTGAACGGATCTATTCAAAAAATTTAAACTTGTAATGAAATTGATGCGTGGATACCATATGTTAGAGTAAAATTGACACATGAAAATATCAAGATGGCCGCTGAGCGCCATCTTGAAAAAAAATTATATGAAAACGGGGGTCTTGTTGCACATCATTTCGAAGCTCCTGACGAGTACTTTATAACCCTAGAATATAAAGTCAATACCTTTAATTCTCGTCCACTGGAAGAAAAAATCGAAGCGATTTTTATTTATGATGCGACGCGTAACTTTCACGAGACCGAAACGATTTTTAATGATCGTTTCCCGAATCGTCCTATCTGTAGAAAATATTTCAGGCAACTTGCATCTAAATTTACAGCTACTGGTAGTCTGGACAACAAAAAACCCCCAGGTCATCCGACCATCCCGGAAGAAAAGCAAGTTCAAATAATTGGTGAGAAATCTCCAACAGTCTACTTTCCTGAATCGCGAATGTATGTGAGGTTTGTCCTTCTACTGTATGTAGACTTTTGAAAAAGAATGAGTATCACCCATACAAAATTCAAATGGTACATAAGCTAACTGAAGATGACCCTGATCGAAGAACAGAATTCTGCGAGAATATGACGGAAACCATTGCACGGCATCCTACCTATATCCAAAATATTTGTTTTAGTGATGGATGTACATTTTTTCTCAACGGTAATGTGTATAGACAAAATTGTCGTTATTGGAGTGACACCAATCCTCACGTCTTCCGGGAAACTCATACTCAATATCCACAAAAAAATAACGTTTGGGCTGGGATATTGGGAAATGATATTGTGGGGCCTCTATTCATCGAACAAACTTTAAGCAAGATGGCGCTCCACCACACTACTACAGACAAGTTAGGAATTATTTAGATAACAATTTCCCCGGTCGTTGGATTGGCCTTAGAGGTCCTGTGGAATGGCCAGCTCGCTCGCCAGATTTGACACCTTTAGACTTTTTTTATGGGGCTATTTGAAGCAAAAGCTGTACGAAACTGAACCAGCTTCAATATTTTATATACGGCTGAGAATAAATATTTGTAGAAATATCGATGTTACTATGTTTGAAAATGTTCGACGCGAAATTACGGACCGGCTGTTATTGTGTCAAGAAGTTCAAGGCAACCATTTCCAGCATCTTCTAAACTGATTGATCCGTTCAAAAAATCAAGGGAGAGGGGGGCATTGAAGAAAAGCCCTGTATATTTGTTTTGCGATGTCTACAACACGTAAATCCATGCGGGGTCACAGTATGTAATGCTACTCAATTTTTGAAAATCATTTAAATAGTTTTGTTTTTGTATGGTTTACAACTTTCTGAACATTATTATGAGTAATAGAACATCTTTGTGGAGACGTAACATTTTTTAAAATTTCGAAAATTTGCTTTCATCGTTTCTAATTGTTGCATATTCAAAAACATTCTGGAGTTCAAAACTCTTTTGGTGTAGATTTTCAGATCATCAGCAAATAGTAGAGATTCACACTTTAGTGAAGCGGCTAGGTTATTTATGAAGAATGAAAACAGCAAGGGACCTAGGGTTGAACCTTGCGGTACTCCAGAGAGGACAGTATAATTAGCTGAAGAATAACCATTATAATAAGCATACTGCGTCCTATTAGAAAGAAGCCCTAAGATATTTTTTCAACTTTTAAAATACGCAGCATGCTACTATAACCTACACACAACCTAAAAACTTGCGTTAGATGGTGAAAAACGCTTGTCGCATTTTTTTCGCGAGTGGGGGCGTCTGCATAAATTACTCAAAACAGTAGGTAGTAAAGACTTAAAACCGTCCAAATAAGTACTAATTTACACAGTAACTATTCGTATTTTCGCAAAGTTGGTTAGACACAGATTTTGCCAAAATGTTTTGACAACGCGATTCCGTTGATTCCAGCGAATTACTGAAGTTTGAAAGTGTATTTATTTCCCAAGCTCACTTTCACATGAGTAAAATTTTGAAGGTGTTAAAGTTCAAATTACATAAATCTTTTAATAGTCCAGTAAATGGCATGACTTACCTATGTGCTTCATCCACTAATAGAACAGCCCAACTCAAACTACCTAGAAACGCTTTATCCTTAAGAACAATTTCATAGGTTGTCAAAATGGCATTAAACTTCAGTCTCTTTGATCCCTCATAGCACCATTCATATTGACGAATCTGAAGAGTACACGATATGAAATCCAAAAGATTTAAAACAAAAATCATCACCTACGGTATCACGTGACTGCAAGTCTCCAAGATAAGTGACAAAATTCAGCTCAGGAGCCCACTGAGTGAACTCTCGCTGCCAAGAAGTCATCGTAGACAGTGGAACAACACACAGAAACGGCCCATGCAAGTGATGTGTGTGGAAGAGGTAATACAGAAAGCATATTGTCTGAATAAAGAATGATATCAGTTAGAATATGTAAAAACGCATTTTTTCATCATTGCATCACCTGAATCGTTTTGCCAAGACCCATCTCGTCGGCTAGAATCACAGAATTGTCCTTACTCCAAGAATGAATCATCCAGTTCAATCCGTGGATTTGATAATCCCTCAGAATAAGAGTCTACAAAACAAATTACTTATTAGTAATTGTGGAATATAAAAGTTTAGTCAGTATTTACTTTGTCTTTACCCATCATATACTCAGGTTGGACTTTAACCTCGTGAAATTTTGGACGATATTTAAGTACTTTACAATGCTTTGTCGGTGTCCTTGTTGATTGTTCTCTATTTTCATACTCCTCAATTTTGTCCGGCCATTTTTTAAGTATTAATGCAGAGTCTTCCCACGTTGATTCAGAGTATGGCAAGCTTTCCCATTTGATGAAATAGTCTACTCCACCATCGGGTTTATTGTATTTGGCTAAAAACAGAAATAACAGTGAATCAAAAATGGTTTTTAGATACATAATTTTTAAAACAAATTAACGCAAACAAAACATTTTAGTGTAATACTTATATAGTTATAATGACTGTTTTTCTACCTTGTTCCATTTTTGAAACATGCAGTTTTCATAACATAGTTTAGATTCAAATCACTTACCTAAGAAAATGTTCTTCAAACGTGTAGCAGTGTGTTATATTTCTTCAGGAAATTTGGTTTAAAGTATCAAATATTTTAGTTGCACTAATTTTTATGACATCAACCTGAAAAATATGCTGATATAACCATACATCATATTCTGATATAGACCACATTGGCACTGATATAGTTTTAAGGGATATTCAGTATATATCTGATTGAATCAAATTGATCTTGATAAAATACTGATAATATACAGGGTGTTGCATATGAAAATGATATGACAAGTTCCTTTATCCATCCCTGAAAAATTCATACCAAACTGCTAAAAGATAGTTTTAGCACGTCACTGTCGAACTAAATCTTCAACTTTTGAACACTGTATCGGAGCTTGTCACATAATTTTTCTATACGACTCTAGGAGATCGACCGCATACTATGAGACACCCTGTATATAGCTGATGAATATTGTGTACACTGAATTCCATAAAAGTTAATCACGTCCGGTTGAGGTCGATTTTTTTGTTATATCTGCTATTTCTCAGACTGATGACATGTTAACAATAGTGCAAAACAAGACACATGAATTCAAATAATTAGTCTCAACATTTAAGGTAACTACTATATTTTGCTACATTGAATAGAGAACATTTTCCTATAATGAATTCTACCTGTTAAGCCCTACTTTGAAATAAGCTACACAAAAAGCTTGCAAATGATACTGAAAATTAGCAAATCACACGAGTTTAACCTTCGCTCTGGGAGTTTATCGTCAACTATGACCTTGCTACCAAACTTAAGGTCAGATTTCAGGCTAATTTTTTTAAAGTCAACATAATCTGTTAGCACTTAGCCGTCCCTCATGGCATGAACACATTTATCAATTGCTTTCTAAACTCGGCAAAAGCATTTTTGGCACGCGTACTATGGCTAATTCCACAATCATATGACTTATGGGGTCATTCAGCCAGCTCCTCAGAAGTGTTTGCTGTCCAGAGGAAATGCATTAGGGTCATCTCCAGGAACGATTGTAGGGAACAGTTTAGTTCTCTAGGTGCATTAACACTACGTTGTGCATACATTCTAGAGTGCCTGTTAATCTCAGAAAAACGTTGATACAGGAACCTTAGGACAGCATTGAAACCTTTCTAGTCAATGACTTTATAGTGACATATATTGATCATATTTTTTCTTTTTTATATATATTTTAGTGTAAATATGTGTAATTTGAACGTGTCTATTTTTATCTTTTGAATGTGCCTAATTTGTTTTATTTAGTATTAATGCTGAGTGTGTACTTTTTTGTGCACTGTAAGCTTTTATTTTTTTTTTGACGTGTGCGAGTGCTTTTGCATGCCGAACATCAATAAATATTATTATTATTAATTTTAGGAGCATTTGATGGAAACATTAGTTTGACTCAATGTAAAAAACAAGATACCTAACTTGAAAGCTTTGTCTACATTTACAAAAAACATACTACTAACCTATTATCCTTTCTACTTGATTGTAGCTTTTGAGAAGGTCCTGAGACAATTCCAACTGACATTCGTAATATTCAACATCTTCAGGGGTGGAATATTTCAACAGTTGTTGAATTTCCGTCTCTTTTTTGATATAATTTTCTAATTTCTTCAATCCTCTGACTTTTTGTTCACGAAGACTTGCTTCCGACTCCCAAGTGTTATGTATATGTGCCCAATCTTTCCATTTTATGAAATACTGATCTTCAGTATTTTCTAAATCGTTTACGTCAGCTCCTTGATTTGGGTCACCATTTTCCTCTACATAATAGATGGTAGTAATATTTCCAGTTACTGAAAAGAAAAGAAAAATAGTCAAACAATAGTCTTCCATGTATTTATTGCTTAAGAGATATTACCTCCTTTCTTTCCTCTTCTATGTGCAAGAATTTTTTCGATAGTCTCACACTTTTCTTCAGGTACAGGCTCAACCGGTTCAGTATTATCTACCTCTAATAAATCTTCAGAGTCAGTTTTTTCCTCACTGTCTTCTTTATAACTAACCGCAGCTGCTTTTCTTCTAAAATTCGACCTTCTACTTTCATCGGCAGATTCATCTTCACTACTATCATCGGACGTATATTTATTCCTAGTTTTCTTAACAGCCCTTTTCCTCGTAACAGCTGGTCTAGCTCTAGCTCCCACCCTTTTACTTGGAGGGGCTTTTTCTCGGACGATCTCCTCTTCAGAACCTGAAGAGCTAACATCATTGTATTTCCAGTCTTCACTTTTGCTACTACTTTTATCACTATCTTTGCTTTCAAGGCGTTTCACAGCTTTTCGTGATCGAACAGATCTTCTAACTTCTCCATCGCCATTACTATCAGAATTATTTTGATCCTAGTAAAACAAAAACCTATAATGTTGGTGACGGTTACATATACAGAAAAGCGGCAGATTTACTCCTGTCAATTAGCTTAATTGTTAGTTACCAGTTGCAATTAGCTATAATAATTATCAGTTACAAGTTGCAATCACCTACGGTTCTATTGTCACCAGTTTTATTCAACTGCTGTTTTATTTGGTCCCTAGCTTCAAGTTTTATTGATAATTTCTATATGTTTTGTAACATCAACAGGAAAATACAAGCATTTGAATATGATAATTATAGGTAAGTGCATCTAGTATCTGACAATTATAACTAAATGTCTCTTTTATCCAACAAAAAAACCTGACTGCAAAATTGACAATTATGTAGCTAATTGTATCTTCTGACAATTACAGATGAGGTAACTTCCATGTGCGTATTTGGGTGGAAGGCAAGGGGGCAGTTGTCCCCTTCAAAACCTTGATATGAAAATTAAATTAAGAGAAAAATTGTTCATGTACTGGGCTTTCAACGACTTGAATGAATATATTTATCAGATAGGTCTTGTTATTTGGAAATTTATGCAAAGATTCTCCGAAATGATGTTTACAGGGGAAATATTGTAGGTTTTATGTACTTTATGGTTATAAAAAATGTTTTCTATGGCCAAGCCAGTCAAGGAAATTTGACAGATGAGACACAGCTTTCTTAATCATAGTGAAATTAAGTTCAGAAAATCATGCAGGGTTCTCAGATTGTTTCAAAATTTTGTCACTTCTTCTGGCAGTAAAAATGAGATCTACTAAAAAAAAGGTAACTTTGTTACAATTGTCTAAGAATGAATTGTCTTTTTAGAATAACGTAATTATCATGGTTATTTGTAGGTATCCATACTATCACAAAGATTTCATATAATTTTAATTAGGAAAAATCGATAAGAAACATTGAAATTCAGAAATATCGGCAAACAGGAATTGTTTTCACTTTTTAAAAATATGATGCAATACATTTTTATAGCAGAATATACGACTGATAAGTTTTAACATGAAATAAGACTTTTTACTGATTTAAAATTTTCTGAAGTCTAAACATTTTCTCCTTTCCAAGATAGAGGAACCAATGATGAATGACGAATAATCTAGCGTAACTTGTCGATATACAGAAACTCATCGTCCTCGTCGTATCTTTTCTCGCTGTATTAGCAACCTGCCAAAATCTCATCAGAATCTGCACACTACTTTCTAAGCTATAGAGAGGCCACATATTATATAGGCGTGACATGCTCATACAACATTATGTCAAACATCTCATTTCAGAATTGAAGAAGAAATAAAGTGTTTGAAAACGGTGGTCAAATGAGAGCAAACAGTGTTTCGCTCTTGATTTTCAAATTGGAATGTGATATACGAAAAAAATTTTTGTTACTAACCATACCCATACCCTTATGGTTTTCCTCTCCAAGGATATTATTACGGAGTCCATTGGAACGTTTTTATTTTTTGCAGAAAATATGTAATTTGGAAACAATATTCAACAACTTCTTGCATTAACATTTCCGATGATTTACTGATTGAAGTCGTCTAGGCTTCAGTAGCTCTGTGATAAGGGCAGTGCAAATTTCGTGAGAAACTTTTTGTAAAAAAAAAAATTGAAAAACGAGCCAAAAATTCTTTTTAGCCGTCTTTGCCCAGGATTTTCAGAAAATTATAGTGCATTTCTCAGCATATTTTATATTATTTTCGGCTACGTTCATTAGTTTTGGTAGCTAATTTATATTATATATTGGACTGTTATTGACAAATGAAAATATAAGACATACAGGGTTTGTCCGGAAAGTAATAGGACATGAGTCGATTTAAAAAAAATTATTGAGCCAATGGTTACAATTCTTTAAAAACTTTCAAAATAGGCTCCTTCTGGGTCGATGCAGCGCTGCCAGCTCGATTTCCAAGCATTGAAGGCGTCACGGAAGGCATTCTCCGGAATAGCCTTGAGAGTCGCGGTGCATGCTGCTTGGATCCCCTCTATCGTCTCAAAATGGTTGCCTTTCATCGGCCTGTTCAGGCGAGGAAACAAAAAAAAGTCCGGGGGGGGGGGGTCAGATCTGGGCTGTAGGGCGGCTGCGGAAGCGTTGGGATGCCGGCCTTGGTCAGGTAGCTGTTCACAAGAAAGGCGATCTGAGCCGGGGCGTTGTCGTGGTGCAACTTCCAGTCGGCTGCGATGTCTTGTCGGACCCGACTGACCCTTCGTTTGAGTCTCCTGAGCACTTCCACGTAAAACTTGACGTTGACGGTTTGTCCAGGAGGAACAAATTCATGGTGGACGATGCCTTTGATGTCAAAAAAGACAATGAGCATCGTTCTCACTTTGGATTTGCTCATTCTTCCCTTTTTTGGGCGAGGAGACGCCGTCGTGTGCCACTCGGAAGATTGCCTCTTTGTCTCGGGATCATACTCAAAGATCCACGACTCGTCACCTGTGATTACGTTATTCAAAAATTGGGGGTCACTTTCACACATGTTCAAATTTTCTTGGCACACTTCCACTCGCCGCAATTTCTGGTCGTCAGTGAGCACTTTTGGGACCATCTTCGCGCACACCTTGCGCATGTTCAAATGCTGTGTCACAATGTCAGATTTTTGGTAAATTTAACATCTGGGCAATTAAACGAATACTTAGTCGACGGGCCTGAGTTCAAAACTTTGCGCACACGAGTCACATTATCGGTGTTTGTCGAAGTCGAAGGTCTTCATCAGCGACCTCGTCCCGGCCCTCCTGAAAGGCCTGGAGCCACCGAAACACACCACTTCTTGCTAAAGCAACACCTGGGTAAGCCTGCTTGATCATATCAAACGTCTCTGTCGCAGATTTACCGAGTTTCACACAGAATTTAATCGCGTACCTCTGCTCTAACGAACGCTGCATTTTCGGCTTGCACCACTCACAGAAACACGTCGCGCGAAAATGCCTGTCCTGACTCTCCAAGTGCTCGGAGACAACTGACCAGCCGCTCATTCGTTAGCTAGGAACGCCCTCTACCGAATCCAGTCGGTGCACGCACGCTCCGAAGTACAGTCATGGCGGAAGAAAATGAGTCCTATTACTTTCCGAACAAACCCTGTACCTGAGTTGATCATAATATTCTTCATGATTATAATACTACGTCCTATTGACGTGGAAGTAACAGGTGCATGAATACCATATGTCAATTTTTTTTTTAGGATAGTACGACCTGAACTACGTGTCGATATTATATCTCCATTGCCTCATTAGTATCTGTCTGGCGTCTGTTTACGTTAGTCAACTTTGTTGGGCATAGAGTTTATCTGAAATTTTGTGTTGCTAACACTGATGCATAAAGGATGTTGCAAAAAGCCTTTGGGGAGTCTGCAATGTCGAAAACTCGGGCATACGAATGGTATAAAAACTTTAAAACTGGTCGTACAATGGTAGGGGATTTGCCTCGTTCCCCCACCCATCCACGTTAAACAGCGACGAAAACTTTTTTTAAGGACAGATATTTGATACTGGCCGCTCTCGGCTTATGTTTCAAACCAACGCAAGGCAATATCTAAGCAAGTAAACGCTTCTGAAGCACCAATTATGTTTTCATCTTCATTATCTGAACTTGCAGTTCATGCTAGCTGTGGTGTCAGTTTTATTAGTCATCAGATTTAATATTTCTCTTTCTTGCAGAATTTGGTACCCGGGATCATCATTATCAAAATCCATCCATTGTTCAACTTCTTCTTCATCACATTCGTCGCAATTAAGTTTTTTTAGCGTATCTATCATTTCAGAAATATCTTCCTGTTTTTCATTTAGATTATCACTTTCATGATATTCCACTAAACACAAAACTTTATTCCACGCTTTTTTCAAGTTCTGCTCTTTTACACTGTTTCATGCTGCACCTATCATGTAGGACGCGTCTTTCAAATCAATCTTTTTATGATTTCTTATCAGGCTTTCTTGTCCCTCCTCTTTTTTTTCCCAAAAGTAACTTACGTAATAATTATTTTCTATAACACCGTTTAAAAGTCTCAATAACGCCTTGATACATGGGCTGTAATAATGAAGTCACATTAGGTGGAAGAAACATGACTTTTATAAAATCGTCTTTTTCATTTAAGATGTCACATGATGGATGAGTCGGGGCGTTATCTAGAAGCAATAATGTTTTCTCTCTTTTACCATTTTTTAATTGATGGGCTTTAACAGAGGGTATAAGTTTCTATAAACCATTCCATAAAAATTGTACTATCCATCCAAGCACTTTTTTGCGAAGTGCATTATATATTCATTAACGTGTTTAAAACAACGTGGTTTCTTGCTTTTACCAATAACAAGCATGGGCAATCGGTGGCTACCAGTAGCATTAGCACAAGCTAAAGCAGTGATACGATCCTTGCTTATTTTAGGTCCAGGTGCTGCTAATTCACGACGTGACGCAAGAGTTTTTCTTGGCAAAGCTTTCCAATTGAGCCCAGTTTCATCTGCATTGTAAACGTTTTCGAGAGCGTAATTTTCTTCCTTCAGTAACTCCCTTAGTTTGACTTTGAATGAATCAGCCGACAGCTTTTCTGCCTGTATTTGCAGCTCACGAATGCCATGTCTCGACTTAAATCTTTTCAACCAGTCTGTGCTTGCTTGAAAATTTGATGGCCCTCCGAGTTTATCGTTGAACTGAAGTGCTTTTTCACACAGAATCGGACCAGAAACAGGTTCTCCCTTAGATCTTTTCCGAGTAAACCACTTATATACAGCATCATCTAAAACCGTGTTGAGGCAAGTTTCATCGTTTTACGACTTGTCGATCCGTCAGAAGAATCAAGCTGGGACATAAAGTTACTTACGCCCGTCGTTTGTTTTTTTTATATCCGTAATGGTAGACTTAGCAACTTTGTATTCATTAGATAACTTTGTTGCAGATTCACCTTCCTCTAACCGTTTATTAATCTCGTATGTATCTTTCATAGAAAGAACAACACGCTTACGTTTAGGCATTTTCAAACGAGTGATTACTTTCACGCGACAAAATTTAGTTTATTTCCTAGCGGCTACTCGGAAGTAACTAACATACGAATAATAACTAACAAGTCGAAACAAGTGCGCGCACGAGCGCGGGAGAGTCGGGAGTTCAGATAAGCGGTCGTTCGACGTTCGGATAATCGACGCTCTACTGTAGTTATAATCGCCGCTGTCAGCTGAAAATTATAGCTAATTGTCACTTGTAACAAAAGTCTAGATAATACCAACATGTAACTGCCAATTATAGTTAAGTGCAACTTGTAACCAACATTTACAGCTAAATGCAACTGGAGACTGTCAGTTATAGCTAACTGTCACCTGACAATTAAAGCTAATTGCGACTTGTAACTGTCAATAATAGCTAATGTAACTGCTGACAATTCTAATATATTCAAGTATGATTTTGTTATTTACACTTTCTTTTTTCAAGTGCTATTTGTCCTTTATAATAACCCAAGAACAGTATTCTCAATTATTCCTGCAATTTGTCACTTGTAAGTGCAATCAGCTATCACTTTACGTTACAAGTGGCAATTAATTATAATTGCCAGTTACAAGATGCAATTAGCTATAATTGCAAAGTGACAAGTTGTCAATTGTCAGCAAAAAATTCCAATAATCAATCATTGTCAGATACAAGATGTAATTAGCTATAATGTCAGCTGACAAGTATAGCTAATTGAAAATTGTAACTTGATTCTAGATAATTACAATTTGTAACTGACAATTATTATTATTATTTAGACTGATAATTATAGCTAATTGCTGCTTGACAATTGCAACTTGTAATTGATCACTATAGCCAAATGAAACTTGTAGCTTATAATTATAGTTACCTACATCTTGTAACAGACAAGTATAGCTAATTGCAAATTTTAACTGAAGACTATAGCCAATCACCAATGATAACTAACCTAACAGCTCTAATTAGCTAATTTGCTCTTGTAACTGACACTCACAGCTACCTGCAACTTGTAACTAACATTTGAAGCAAATTGCCACTCTTGCTTTATGCATCTTTAACTGACAACTATTGCTAATTGCACCTTTTAACTGACAATTAAAACTAACTGCATTTTATGATTGACAATAATATGATGAAATATACATTTCTTCCCAATACCATTTCATGTGACATTTAGGTAACATCTTTGTTCAAAGAAACATGTCAAATTACAGGTCTACACTGAAATACTAAGCCCAGTGGAAGCTTGGAAAGTCAATATTATATAATACACTGCCCAAATGGCATAATTTCAACTCTCCAATAATTTCTTTATTTTTATATATCTAGAAAACAACCACCTCTAGAAAACAACCACCACCTTCTCAACAAATTTAGACTTTTTGCTTAAATGCTGTTGTTATGACAAAAACCATTGCCTAAGTGAATTAAAACTGAGTGCTTGAGTGGTGAAGAGGGAAATATAAATGAAGGTAGATATCTATACAAATGAATGTAATATGGCATTTCTCAGAGTGGAATTGAAATCACAAAACAAGAAGTAGTAGGTTAAACATTGTAAATTGTATTCAATGGCTTGACATAAAATTCATTTTAGAAGCATGCATAACTCAAAGATCAAACCCTGCATAAATGTACCATTTGTATTTTGGAATATTAGAGTGGAATATAAGTTGTATCAAATAAGACAATACTTCAAGTAACCTTTATTTATAATGTACCTCTATAGAAGTTTCTAGATGAGATTTTTCAGGTGAGATATCTGTACTAACAGGACTTGATTGATTTATATCTTGATTTTGACTATCAGCTGGCTTTGAATCGTCTTCATTTGCAGAACCATTTTCCAAATTTTCTCCCCCACTTTCTGAGCCAGACCCTGATGAAGAATTTGATCCACTAAAAAATATCTTTATAATAAACCATTCGGTCAAGTCATCTAATGATCTTACCTTTCTGAGTTAGATGATGAGTCACTCTTGCTTTCATTGTCAGAGCCTGAACCAGAATTGTCGGAGTGTGATACGTCTCCCATCTATAAAAGACCAATATTCCAATGCATTATTTTCTATTGTATGATGGAAATATGCTATAAAAGGTCTGCCACTGCAGAGTATGTATTGTTACTTGAAAGATGGGCAACAATGTGCTAAGTATAATCAAACACTGTTGCCTTTTAAATGTGGGGTTCCTCAGGGATCTGTTTTAGGGCCTATACATTTTATCATATATAATACATGTATGTGTATCTAGAAATTGGAGTTGGTAAGTGGTTTGGCGTTTTTTTGTAGATAAGATATACAAATGGATAAAAATAAATGGTGACACTTGATGTTGCATTCTCAATATCCACAATAAAATAATTTTGGTTGTATGAGGAAATATTTTCCAAGTCTTAGTTAAAATGTGAAATTGAGAAAGTATATTTTGATGTTAGTTCTACTGTATTCTTTGCTAACCAATATATGTTATGTTTTTATTTTCAGCTATTTAAAGCTTGGTTTATGATGAATAGTTACTCACCCCTTGACTGTAGCTCTGGTTTATTGTTACTAAAGCTCATTATATTATGTGATTCCATTAAAAAATATAAATATGTTCACGGATATAATACTGGAAGATATTCCATATTACAGTACTCAATCAGGATTTTTTACATATTCCTGAGACACATTTGAAAATACTGCTATCTATACTCAGTATCTCAAAAAGAAAATGATGTTTATTTAAAAGTGACTCAATAAAGTAGGATAAAAACAATTAATAGTCAAAAAGTGAGGTTACCCGGGGTAGTGTAAGGTTATGTTATACAGACAAGAACCTAATAACTAAGTTAAATTGAAATACTTTGCCAAAAAATAGCATTTATGACCATAGCTCTACCAATAAGGGATTACAAAACATGTCTTATGTGCTGAACAGCTTGCTTAAGCGACACTGAACCAAGCCGAACATATTTTTTTTTTCAATAACAGGATAATTCTTAAACTAGCTGAAAATATGCTCTGAGATGTCTAATCTTCTATTAGTTGCTAATCTTCTGCCACATTTGAATACATGAACTCTGGGATGTTGTCAGTGCCTAGATTGCCTGACAAATATGCCCATGTCCCTAAGATCAGGTTAAGTCCTAAATCAAAGAAAATTCTATGAAACTTCAAAAACTATGAATTAAAAACGAATCTCCTATACATTTTTGTGGCTAGAAGTACAAAAACTTAATGTATCATGTGTTAAAGAGTGTAACAACAAGCTGTTGATCAAAAACAGTCATTTTGAACTGTACTTTTTGGCCTAAAGCTTGTTTAAAGGCCCAACACCAAAAAATTCATTTTTTGGTCTCAAATGAAAGGTAAGACCCTAAAGAATCTGGAAATATAAAAAAAAGGATGCGGCATACGTTATTAAAGACCCTTATAGGCAAAAGTTTGCATGTAAACAAAGATTTTCAAAGAAATAGCAAATAATATGTTATGCGAAAAATAGCCACGCCCTTGAATTCACATTGAAACTGGAAGTCAGAGAAGGTATGTAATTAAGCACAAACCAAATATTATACATTTTTAAGGGGTATTTCATTAAAATAGCTGCTAAACTTACCTCTGGAATTGTCCTACAAGATAATTTGTATCTGCGGAGAATTGCGCGACTTTTCGGTTTTAAAATATTTTAGAAACAATTTACTAACATTTAACAATGTTACCATAACGTTAAATTATAAAAATAATCCAAAACATCTGCAAAAAAATGAAAATTTCTAATCAAGTCCTGTAAATGAATTCGGTCAGTCGCCATTTTGTACTTCACACCACGAACGAAATATATAATCCCAAGATTAGTTCTGTAAACTTTAAAACGCACGTTTTTCTGATCCAACTCGTAAAAAACACTTTAAATAGGTTATATTATCATAATTCATCGACACTGAAGTTATAGGTATCACTTTTTAGCCATCAATCTATTAACCATCACAAGTGATGTCTGTCTTCAGCCATATTCGCTTTTCGATTCGAGTTTCGTCACGTCGTAATTGGCACCATAGAACACGTAATACATTGACAATTGACACTCTTGACAGTGAAATGTTTCTACGCTCAAATATGCCTGCAATTAGAATATGGAAATACAAAGCCAACCATGCATGTAAAGGTGCGTCCAAATTAGTGCCAACACGAGCGAACGAACGAATGAATGAATTCGTTCGTGCTCCCTCGTTCGGTAGCTGTCTCCACATTTTCATCGAACGAACATTCGCATTCGCAAATGATCCGTGGAAACTCATCATGTCGTCGGAAACAGATGACGACGTTATAATTAGCGCTGCCAGTTTTGTAGTTATAGCGGGCCTTTCGCAAAATCTTAAAAAAAGAAAAGAAAATGGTGTTCCAATTTGTTAAAGAGAAGAAACCAAACAGTCGACGAAGCTTTGTTAATGGATTTAACAAGCGATAACTTTGGCCAAATAACAAACTTTTGTAGAATGTCTGTGACAGATTTGTAATTTTTGCTAAATTTAATTGGACCTACCATTTCCAAGCAAGACTCAAATTTCAAAAAGGCAATTACTGCAAGAGAGAGAATGCTGTTAACACTCCGTTTTTGGCAACAGGTGATTCCTATACTAGCCTAAAATATTTGTTTAAAATTTCTGTTATTCCTGAAGTGTGCAGTGCGCTAATCCATGCTTCCAAGAATGTGTCAAGGTAAGTTAAATTAATTACTATTCATTTAGCTGTTGTGAAAAATACATTAGAAATTTCAACTATACATTACAAAATGTAACAATAATTATGGCTTAAACTGAGTTAAATAATCAGTTAATCTGTCAGTAATGTTTCTGTCGTCCATGGTATCTTCAGCTGCGGGGGGACATGTCCCATAATAATCATTTTGTGGTGATGAATGGCTTTCCGATGAATACGAACTCGGCGAAGGTTGTGGAGTACTTGTTGTGCATGACTTGTGAATGACACTATTATTGTTATTGATGGGTTGTGTGAATAACTGGGAAGAACTGTGTGGCTGCTGTGTGTATCTTGCTAGGTTGAAGCCAATGGATGTCGTGTAAGTTTGTTGATTCGGAGGAATATCGTATTTTCCCATATACAATTCAAAAAGGATGTTATTAATTACTTAAATGTTGTGCGATATTTTTGCAGCGATCTGAATAGCGGTCCATTTTATTTGCTATATGGTGCCCATATATATGATTGTCAGTTTTGGCAGTCCTTTTGGCAGCAGTTTCTTTTAATATAGAATATGCCTCGTCAATTCTTGTATCACGCATGGGTCTTTTTCGTTTTGGCTGTTGAGGGGCGGCAATGATTTTATCGGTATTAGATTGCTGGTTTTCACGTTCAACGATTTCACTCTGTATTTCTTCATTAATAACAGAGACACTGTCCTCACTTTCATTTACTCCACTCTAAAAGTAGAAGAAATTAAATGTATGGCTGCAAGAATAGCGATATTAAACATTTATATATTTTTTCTTAATTCTGGGATTTCGGGGAAATATGAATTAAAGAAGCACATTGTTTGATGTTTTGGTTTGTTTGGTTGAGCCGTTTTCAAAATAAATATCTTAAAAGCCTATTTTAAAACGAAACGTCAAGCAATTTGTTTCTTTGGTTCATATTTGACCGAAATCCCAAAATTGAAAGAAACATATTTTTTAAGCAAACTTTAAAGAAAACGAAGATATTACTATTTACACATATGTAATTAAAGATAATATCTTAAATGTAGATTCATTTTTAGGTGCCGAGAAATCCTGAAGAATGGTTGCAAATTGCCAGGGGATTTGACGAAATATGGCGTTTTCCCAACAGTATAGGAGCGATTGACGGCACCAGTAAATAGTGGGAGTGACTGCTTTAACTATAAATCAACGTTCAATATAGTTTTACTAGGTGTTGTTGATTATGACTACAACTTTTTATATGCCAATATTGGATGTCAGGGTCATATATCAGACGGAGGAGTATTTTCAAGATGATCTTGGAATACCACATGCTTCTATTTTGCCTGGAAGAATAAAAAAGGTGCCTTATGTCTTTGTTGCCGACGACGCATTTGCGCTTCAGAAGCATTTATTAAAACCGTACGGAGGAACACATGAGAAAAATTCGCCTAAGCGAGTTTTTAATTACATATTGTTGAAAATTCGTTTGGCATACTTTCCGCTGTGTTTAGAGTCCTTAGAAAACCATTACTGCTAAGCGCAGATAAGGCAACTCTTGTTGTTTTAAGCTGCGTATACCTCCAAAACTTTTTAAGAAAAAGTAAGGAGTCACGAAACATTTATAATCCACCTGGAACGTTTGATGGTAATATCAGTGAGAACTTGAACAACGAAGCTTTTATTCCATTGAAAAAAGTGCCTAGAAAGCCTTCGGTCCAGAGTGAACAAGTTAGACAAGAATTTATGGAGTATTTCACAACAACAGGCCAGATTCCTTGGCAACAAGATAAATAGATAATGCAGAGACTTGAATATTGAACTTGAAGTAAATACATATATTTCTCGATATATTGTAATCGACATTTATTCAAAAATATATGTGAGTTTCCTTATATCGTATTATTTGGCTTACCTCATCAGTGCTACGAGTCTCGCTGGGTTGAAATTTATCCTCAAAAATAACAGGCTTTTGAAAGCAAACCATGTAGAATGATAAATTTCATCAGTTCCACTGCCAGACTTTTTAGTCGTACCTTCTTTTTGGCGTTCTCGCCTGAATGATGCAAGAACCAAATTTATTTTCTTTTTACTTTCATCCACATGGCAATTTAATTCTGAAGAAATGTCAGTCCACGCATCAATTTTCTTGTTGGTTATTCTGTACAATTTTGATTTTCCCATAAGCACGGTTTGCTTCTATATAATTCGATTCATTGAAGGGTCTTCTCGTTTGTCCACTCCATTCTGTATTGGCCTATATAAATAAAACGACTTATAAATACCAATAAGTATTAAAATCTACTTGATTATTTACATAAATACCAATAAGTATTAAAATCTACTTGATTATTTACCTGCTAACATACAATTTTATTATATTAATGCAGTCCATAAATTTCGTTTGCTAAGAGCGAATTCGCTCGCTACTAACTGGACACTGTTTACATTGATACGAATTTCCTTTGATGATTCGCGGATTTACCGACAAGCGTCGGAACATGCGAGAACACGAACGAATTCGTTCGGTCTTCTTCGGTTCGCCATTTAAATTGGGCGACCGTAAGCGAACGAATTCGTTCGTTCGCTCGTGTTCGCACTACTTTAAACGCATTTTAATACTCCCGACGTAAAGCTGTGAACGGCATTAGGAGCGTATTTTCTGTTTTATATCAAATCTGTCAAAAGTCAACTGATTCAGAAGTTCAAGGTTATGTGAATAGTACACCACAGCTTTAACAATTATAACTTGGCATTCTTGTTCCTTGTCAACGCTAATATTCATTTGATTGGCTGATCCAACTGTTAGCGTGGCAGCATGTTTGTTCAGCTTTTCGCAGTTCAGACTGTGCAGTTACATTGGTGTCCACAGAATTTTTTCTGAGGAGTGGCCGTTAGTCGGAAAGGGATAACTTATTGTAGACGTGTACCTGCCTGCCCTCAAAAATTTTTGAAGAGCTGGAAGGGGAAACCTCTCAAAATGTCGAAAAGCTTTTTTGTCATTGACATAGTAGTTATCTCGTGAAAAAATTTTATCAAAATTCGAACGGTAACTACTTTCCAAGTTATATACGGACCAAGGATTAGCGGAGAGACAGACCGCCGGCAATGGATGACATGGTCTTTCGTGATGTATATGTTATATCACATCCAAAAAAACATATGTCATTTTCGAAATTTTTGGCGATTACAATACTTCCTTCATCCATAGGCGTGGGAACTAAAGGTAACTGAATGGAACGATCTAAATATTTCAACTGAAAGTCGATGGGTGGAAGAGAAACACTTTCGCGCTATCGATCTCCAACATTAAAACTTCTGTATTTTAATTGAGAATTATTGTATTTACCCCAAACAAAAATCCACCACTTGAAAGGGTCTTTTCTCTAACGAACAAATTGTGGAAAACAGTTGCAGGTTTGGCGGTCCTTACGGTTATGTTGATAGCTAAGATGAATATTAAAAAAACGTGCCTATAACCTTGTTTATCTAAAATCGTCTCCAGCTGTACTAAAAGAAATTTGTTCCTCTGACAAATATGAGAGAAACTGAAAACATATGTGCATTGTGCAATTTCTTTAAATTGTAATAAATATTTTTTGAATGAAATGGAGCTTATTTTGTGTTCTATTTTTATTGAGTATTATTTAAAGGAAGCTAAAGTCTCTATTCCCAAAGATAATGTAATACACTTTTACTAAAGCTACTAAGCTCGCCAAAACAATGCAGCAAAAACAAGTGTCTTTATAAGTAAGTCCTACTAATTGGCATAAATAAACCGAAGCCGCCCCTCTTCCACTTTCCGACAGCGGCATTTTACGGATAGTATCAATTTTTCATCCCCCCCTCATGAGAAAATCTCCACATTGAGACATCCAGTAATCCTTCCTGTTTTGATTAACACGTTGAGCGCCATGGCCGTCCCATGGGACCGCTTGACAACGGGCCTATCACGCCACGGCGGTCCATACGGACCGCTTTGTATTTAATTTATTTTCACGGTGACTCCAGCCAAGGGTCCATATTTGAATTCATTTTAGCGTTAGATATGGACTGCTGTGGCTGGTATGGATTATACCGTAATTCCAACTTTTTGGTGTATTTTTGTTTTAAATAGAGTTATTGTATTTTTTATTGATTCACATATTTATCTCCTACTAAATCTACACAACAACATTGACAAAAACAAACAAGATTCCAGAGAAAATGCGTATATACAATGTGTTTGGTCACGACATACCGATATTTAAGGGGGATATTTTTCAGCTATTTTTATCGACAAATCCACCCCCTACAATGTTCTACTTCACCCCCCCTTGAAATGGCAGCCATTTTTATTTTTACATTACGATTACGCTAGTGCGTGTATGAAAATTGTAATAGCTGAGAACATAAGAGTCACAGAATGACAAATTTGGTGTAATTTGAACGATAACATGTTGTTCTAGCGATTATTGAAAAACTTGTATTGATACTAACCGTCAAAAATACTTAAAACAGGCAAAAACAGGAAAAAATATGCAAGAAAATTGATTGTTTTGTGCATTTCCCCACAGCATTCAAAAACTAGTTTGTGAAGTTGTACTTTTTTGTGCTAATTCTACAGCTAACTATGTTATTTACAAAATGACACCAAATTTCTTCTACGTTAAGTAATAAATGCTATCTAACATGGGTCAAAGTGTACGTAGTCGTGCCATAAGTTCTGTCCCATGATAATCTCATGATAAAAATGAAACAAGATAAGATATATTTATATGAAAGATATTATTTATTCGACAACATTTTTAGAATTCATAATCAAACAGTTTTATTCAAAATGTCCCCCCTTGGCCTTCACACACTGCTTCAATCTCGCGGGCCACTCATCTATCACTGCACGCACAGCTTCCAAAGGAATAGCTGCCGCTGATCGGATCAAATCCGCTTTCAGGGACTCGATATTACGGTGGGCTTTGGAGCAGGCCAACTGCTCTAGCAGGTCCCACAACTTGTAGTCTAAAGGATTGAGGTCCGGACTCCCTGAGGGCCAATCTTCCGCAGCAATGAACTCTGGCACATTGCTTTCCAGCCAGCGCTGCGTACTCTTAGCCTTGTGAGCGGGGGCGGAATCCTGCTGGTAGACCCAGTGTTGGTTGGCAAACAATGTACCACTTAAAGGCTTGACGATAGGATCCAGTATGTCGCTCTGATAGTTTGCCGCTTTTGTTTTCACGCCCTGTTTACAGAAATGGAGCTGAGTGACCCCTTCGTAGGACACCCCCCACCAAACCATGACTGACGCAGGGTGGTGGCCTCTCTCAACTCTCGGAATGATCTCCGAAGCTTCCTGTGAACTCCTTGCATACACTTTGTCATTTTGTCGGTTGAATTTTTCTTCTATGGTGAAGATTTTCTCATCCGTGAACAAAATCTTTCGGAATCCCCCAGCTGCGTACCTCTCCAAGAGCTTCTTGGATCTTGTCGCCCTGATGTGTCGCAAGGTGGCCGTAAGTCGCTGGCCCGTACGTCTCCGGTAAGCCCCTAGCCCTAGGTCTTGTTTAATGATGCGCGACATCGTCCGGACAGGAATCTTCATTTCCCTGGATAGGATCTTCTGCTTCCGGAGTGGATTCCTTTGAATCCTGGCTTTTACGGCTTTGATGGCTGCTGGAGTCCTTACTTGACGAGGTCTTCCGCTTCTTGGCCTGTCATCAACAGAGGACGTCTCATTGTACCGCTGAATGGTCCTAGACACAAATTTACGCGATATTTGAAGGCCGCGTAAGAGTTCAAAAATCTGACTAGCACTGTGATTACACTTATGTAAAGCTATCACTGCAATACGGTTCTCTGCCTTGCCGAACTCCATCGTTATGCTTCGAGAGATCAATACAAACTGAGGTATATGTAATTACCCGAAAAGCGCTTAATCAACTGACACCACAATGTAAACAATCGGACAAGTATTAACAGGTCTACACTTGTTTGAAAACGAGGGACAGAACTTATGGCATGACTACGTACATAAAAAATGACAAATCAAAGTTTCTTATAAATACTTTGGACATGTTTAATGTTACAGAAGCTGTTCAAAATGCCCTCCATTATTGGTTATGTACATTCGTGTCGTGTTGAGCAGCGGGTCATATCCGTGTTAGCTCTAATTTCGTTCGCAGCTGTATGGATCCTTTCTACGAGCTCTTGCCGTGTCGTCGACACATGACAGTAGACTTTGTGCTTCATTGTGTCCCAGAAAAAATAATCTAGGGGCGTTAAATCGGGTCATCGGGGTGGCCAAGCGACAGTGCCTCCACGTCCTATCCATGGAGAATGTTGCCTATCCAAATGTTCTAGCGCAAAAGCGTGTGGGAGCTCCAACCATATGTTGCGGCAGTTGATATGTGGAGTAGATCTGAAAACTCGGAACTCAAGAAGTCCAAAAATTCCAGGCCATCTAACCTTGGAGGTAGCTCAATTGGGCCGACTAAAACTCCGTCCATCATTCGGGCCCACATGTTTACATCAAATTCCTGTTGGAAAGTGCTCAGTCGAACTGCGTGAGCGGTTTCCGAAGACCACAAGTGGTCGTTTCTATGGTTTATGATCCCCTGCCTCGTAAATTTTGCTTCGTCCGAACATAGAATTTTTTGTGACATTGAACTATTTATAAGAAGCTTTGATTTGTCATTTTTATGTATACTTTGACCCATGTTAGATAGCATTTATTACTTAACGTAGAAGACTTGGGATAACAAATTTGATGTCATTTTGTAGATAACATAGCTGTAGAATTAGCACAAAAAAAGTACAACTTCATAAACTAGTTTTTAAATGGTGTGCGAAAATGCACAAAATAATCAATTTTCTTCCATATTTTTTTCTGTTTTTGTCTATTTTTAAGTATGTTTTACGGTTAGTATCAAAACAAGTTTTTCAATACTCGCTAGGACAACATGTCATCGTTCAAATGACACCAAATTTATCATTCTGTGACACTTACGTACTCAGTTATTACAATTTTCATATATGCACTACCGTAATCGTAACGTAAAAATAAAAATGGCTGCCATTTCAAGGGGGATGAGGTAGGACATTGTAGGGAGGTGGATTTGTCGATAAAAATAGCTGAAAAATATTCACTTCAAATATCGGTATATCGTAACCAAACACATTGTATATACGAGTATATATATATACAAATAGAAAATGATCAAGCGGAGAAAGGTATATAACAAAAATAGGAAAATAATGGATAAAATCCGCAAAAAGAAAGCAAGTGGATTCAAGCAGAAAATAGGATAGGTAACGCGAGCGATACGTATTTCTGCTGGTTGGCTTCATCAGGCCCGAAATGAATGCACATATGCAACTACAAAAGTAGATACACATGCCCATACATCCAAATACGGGTGTAACCTGAGGAAACGGAGATGGAGAGGGAAAAAATCACACACGAACTCCACAACAAGAGCCAATCTACACATTGTAGTATAAAATGGCTAGAAGACCTCGAATTTTCAAGGCGATATCTAAACACAACCACGCGGCCGGTTATAGCCACTTGCTGTGGTACTTCAAGCCCAAAGGATCTTCAAAGAGAAAAATATTATTTTATAATGTCGCCGATGTAATATTTTCTTGAGCCTACTATACTTCGAGGAAAGGTTTCTTGCAAGTTGAACTGAACCAAACGTTTGGCACGTTAACTCATTTTATAATTGCACGTAAAAGGCACTAACTGGAAAGCAACTACTATCAACCAGAGCATCAACGTCTACTCTACCGTGGTGAGCAATAAATTGATTTGTGCAAGTAAAACAGGAACGAACAAGTCAAATCGGACCGCCGTGGCGTGCTAGGCATATGTATCCCGCCACGCCACGGCGGTCGCTGGGGACCGCTAAACATTTTTTTGAGAGAACAGCTAAAGAGATCATAAATAAATGAATCAAACTTATTTCTGCAGACTGTAAGTCATAAGCAGAACAAATGATACAAAATTGGACTTTGGCCAGATGGACATTTTCCTAACGTTTTTCTTGGAGTTTAACGTGTTGAAAGATTAAATGGTTATTTATACTAAGGAATCGCCCTTGTAAAATCTCGTTCCGTACCGAAAACCGAAAATTCTGAGTAGAACATGTCATTTTCCCGTTACGTATATAGAGATGGGCACACATGTATAATTCTTACTGTTAATATTGTGAATCGTATAGAATGTAAAGGAAAATACTGTCGAATGTCTTATTGAATTCAGATTCAATCTGGCTTGAGCATTTGGTGTTGAAATTGTCAACTACATGACTGAACCAAACATTTTGATTCATTGAAGATCCAATCAAGCGAATCGTATTATGCATCACTAGACTTTTTGTTTAGATTCGTTTTGTGGGTTTGTTGATTTGAAAGTTGGTAATTTAACTAATTGTTGGATTTGGGTGTGCCGTAAATGTGAAACAGCAAGTATCTCAAGAAAACTTGTCTATTACATCTTTTGTGTTCAGTTAATTCTAATAGAAAACACCAAAATGCCCCTTCTCGATTCTTGCTGGTCCCCGTGTATCTGGACAAACAATCTGAAGAGTGGTTGTTTTGCTATAGCATATTATACTGCTATGATGAGTGCTGTTTTAATTACATTTATTATATTTGATATGACCGGTGGAGATTCTACTCAACTATATAATCCACTTTTCGAAGCCGACATACGATTGTGTAAGTACTATCTTCAGCTTTTAATTTCTTCCTTTATGAATCAAATTCAGCAACAATACATGCTGGGCTCTCCAAGTACATGTTCGTAGATTTTATTAAATTGTATAGAAACGTAAGATTTTTCCCAGAGGTGTACACTTTGCATTAAAACAAGCTGAAGCTTTTGTGTAAAATTAGGGCAAGATTGTCCCTTATTCTTTAAATTTTTTGGGCAATGCATGGCTCATGTAAACCTTAATTTAACAACAAAATTAAACATAAGGCAGACCTGATAAATAATTTAAGCCACACCTTATGCTTTTGCCTTAAATTCTATGTTGAATTGAGGTTTGCAGAAATTTAACACTATGATTTGCACATATTCTACCATTTATGACAAACCTGGCACTGTATAAAATCATTAACATATTCTACCTGAGATAGCCAACTTAATATGTACTGTATTTTCATCAAAAAAATATCTGAGATGAAGTAGAATACCATATCCTCACCTATGAGTATTTGTCACAGCTATGTTTGGCCTCTTTGCTATAATTATGTTTCCAATTTGAAAAAGTTATGGGCACAGATGAGCATATAAATGGCTATGGTGCCATCTATGAATCACTAACCTTTTCAAAGTAGATTTCTAATTATTACAGAGAAGAGAAATATAGTTGACAATTTCTCATAGATGACACCATGGTAGCTCTTTTCATCTTTGATAGTATTTTGGGTTCCATGAATACAGTATTACTATCTGCAAGTAATATATGTTAATCAATGATAAAATGTACTTTTTTCATGTTACTAATTGGTTAAGTTCAAGTTCAACTACATCTCTCTAAAGTCAAGCTACTATTGACACTATCCCTAGCAAAATGTTTACTGTAATTTGAAAAATTTTCACTTATTTAATGGTGTTCTTTTTTTACTTAATTGTAGCAATGCAGGCCATTGGAGGATTACTCATTGTATACTTCTTACAAATGATTGGATCATCATTATTACTATGTATGGGCATAAATAAATTAATAAGAGGTCTTATGGTACCGTGGATGGTCAGCTTTGGAGTAGCAATATTGTTCCAGCTTATTTTTGGCCTTTGGCTTTTAGGAGGCTATTACATTTATGTAAGTAAAATGTAAAAAATAGATTTAACCCAGATACTACTACCGTCCTACCTATAAAGGCATTGCGATTCAAGGAGTTTCAATAATTTGACAGAAGGTTTCGCCACCATGCTCTGTCAAAGAACATTAGAACTACCACCAATTACTACAGTTTACTCCTATGCGTATCCCTTGAGCTATATATCGACATTTATACAGTGTGCTTCTACAAATAGTGATCATGTAAGAGTGCTTATTCTAGATATGATGGACTCAATCACCTTGTACTTTATCAAGAGAACCTGCAATGTTGTGGCGAATGCCATAAAAAAGTTCAATTTAGCTGCAGAAAATGTAGTGTTCCACTACATCCTAAAACATGTTTCGAACAGTATCACACCGAATAGTTATTTGTTTTATGTCTTGCAATATGTGTCCTTGAAATAAAATTTGTGCTATCAGCAGGTCATTTTATTACCGTCCTTTTTAAAGAACACCTCGTAACCGTTAGTTAGGGATAAAAAAGTTCATAAACTGGTTTTGGTTGTTGAAATAGAGTCAATTTACTGTACTCTCACTAAGAAATCCGCAAATATTGGGAACAAAAAGTTTCAGTAATATCTGGGTTAAACAGGATGTTTCCCAGTATGTGGCAATCTCCCAGATTAATATAGAACAATTTTACAAAATAATGTGACAATTTTTTATAAAAAAAAGGTCTTACATACCATAAAATAAAAACTTGAAAAGTCTCTATTGGCTGAAATAAGTGTACTTTTGTTTGAGATATTCCTCGAATGATTAATTTTTGATAAAAGACAAACAATAACTAAAAAAAATTTTTTTTCAGCTTGATGCAGTTTTGTATACGCTGGTAATTTGGTCCTGGATGGCATATAATGTAAGTTAAAATTATACTATTTTTTTTTCTGGATTTGCTGTATTTATAAATTTCAGGTTTATTGCTGGTTGGTGGTGCATTCCCAGTACAAGATTATTGAAGAGATGCAGTCTCCTAACATTGAATTGTTATGGCCATAATTGACTATTGGTTAGATAGTCTGGATTATCTACATATCACAATTTGAATGTTAATTTATATGAAACATTCATATTTTATCAAATTGGGAGACTTATTACATCAGATTAAGTTTCCTGTGCTACCTTATATTCACATGATTTGATACAATTTGTATGTATTCATCAATGTGAGAGATCACAAAATTGTGTTATATGAATATAAAGACTTGAATTATCCGTCCATACAATGTAATTATAATGTTAAATTGACATTGAAATAACACCTGTATATGTATTTTTATATATTTTGTAAATTCGATGTTGTCTTTTATTCCTAGTTAGTAACAGATGGGTAATCTGGATGAAAACTCGATTTTTACATAAAATGGGCGTGAAAACAGAAAAATTGCATTGCAAAGGCATATAATTATTGTAAAACTTACTCAGAAATTAAAAAATCCCCGAGATTCTGTACCGGACGAAACTTAGAAGATACCTTGGTTTGAAAAAATGCTAAAGAAAAACTCGTAAAATATTTTATTTTCGTGAAAAAGCTCGGATGCTTGTGGTATAATTACAAAACCAAATGTTGATATGTAATCAATAAAATACAAATTGACGCTAACAGCACAATGGTATAATAAATAATACGTGTATTTATATGGTTAATATTCAATGCAATGCGAATCAAAAAGATTCAATAAATATACAATATTTGAGCTCTATATATATATATATATAACATTAGCAAAAACATATACAACTCGGTGGACTTAATTCTCGTTTTCATCATCTAAGAATTCAACATGCGTGAATGGAAAATATCCCGTCTTTCCATTCAGTTCACCTTCCCACTGACCATTTATATTCATCTTCGTTACAGTTATTATATCTCCGACTTCTAGTTTCAGTGCTGTATCATCATAGGCATTTGGAACCCTGACCTGCTTTACTCTAGCTTTTGCCGGTAGCCTCCTCTGAAAAAAAAATTATTGCTTGAAACTAAAAACTTGACGTTTGCCTACCTCTGGAACGGTAAACATACAAATAGATACAATCGTGGGTTGACTTATATGATTTAAAGTAATAATAGCACAGTAAAATTAGGTACTGAGGTAGGAATGGTATGAAAATTTCAGCAAATCTCGCTTCGCAGCAACGAAATTGTATAATTTGTTCTCAATAAAACGAAAACTAGGTATACAGGGTGATTCACAAGTCGTGACAAAAAATGAAACATACACAGGACTGCATTTTAAGGGGGGTCTTCTATGTAACATTTTTTTCCTTGAGGGCTTCATTAAAAAGATACGGGGAGTTGAAAGTTAAAAATGTTCCGTATCTTTTTAATGAGAAATGTTACATAGAAGACCCCCCTTAAAATGCGGTCCTGTATATGATGTTTCGTTTTTGGTCTCGACTTGTGAATCACCCTGTATAGACGTAGTCAAATATTTTAAAAACTAAATGAATGTCTTCCATGCAATAATGTTTAAGTACATGGTTAGTTTTTTCGTATCTCTATGATGAGTTTCTTATATGAGAAAATAATGTTGGAACCTTCAATGTGATGGAAAATATAGGTTAATTAAATACCGGATCAAATATTTCAAAAACTAACCAGCGATATACCGGGTGTTTCAAATTCGACCCGCACTATTGGGATCTCGGAGACGGTAAGAGATACGAAGTGGGCAAAGTTGCGTATTTAGGTAACTAATAAGATGCCGCTTAGACAGTTTTGAAGTAGTTTCGGAGATGAATTTCCTAAAATCTAGTATATGAAACAAATTACTTTCAGATAATTTCAAGGTCTACCTAGGAAATTCTATTTTTCTGAAATAACTGAGGTTTGGAAATGTCCATGTCCATCTTAAATACTTTTTGGAATAAGAATTAAACTATTCGTCTATGCAAAAATCCAATATGGCGTACATTAGGAAAAATAAAGTTGATGCTGGAGGAAGAAAGAAAACGTGGCACTGTTAATATGCAATTTATTCTTAAATCCCACCACAAATAAAGTCGGGAAGAAACTAAAACGATTTTGCAAACATTCAATGCTCTTCCGAATAATCGATATTTTTAACTTTCCTGTAAATTTATTTATTATTAAAATTAGAACAATATGGTAAAACGTAGTTTCTCATAAAAATCTTTGCGAAGGTGAAAGAAAATTATCACAAGAACAAAGTGTGTCAATACGATAGTATGTCATATTAAAATCATATATTTCTATAATTATATTAAAGCAAGTACTACCTTGAAAAAATATTAATACTGACCTGCATTTGGTTCTTTTTAGCAGCTTCCGCTTGCGTTAACGTATTATTTGTAGTAGGTTTTGGAGCATCTATAGGTGACTGACTCTCGTCAATCTGTAATGAAAAATGTTTTCAGGTTATACAGTGCTTTCCAAAAAAAATCGCCCCTACATATTTGTTGATTGAGTCAAGTTAGCAAGCTGAAGTTTTGGGTTTATATGTACATTATATTTTGATGTAAAAAAGACATTTGAAATTTTCAAGATAGAATTTTCTGTTAAATAGAATGTTCGTACCTATCGGCCGCGATCAGACCTGGTATGGACTCGCAAAGAAAGACTCTATGGACTAATCGTATAGACTTGTTTGGCTGACTTTCCTCAGAGGGTCTAGTTTGTGCTGAACATATTCCTATACGTACTGTATGGGAATTGCAAAGTTCACCTACTTGACGGCATTTTTTTTAGTTCCATGAGTGTGTGAGTGAGTTTTTTCGTTTTTTTTTATATCGAAGCAACCGCGCAGGCAGAAGCCTAAAGCCGGAACACCGCGGCTGCTATGATGATCCAAAAGAAATTTTGTTAATACGATTTTTGAACTGCCTAAGGTTAGTAGAACTGGGAAAAGCTCCCTCTTGTAGATTGTTCCACAATCTCGACACCCTCGGGACAAACGAGCGGTCGTATGAGCCAGTTCTGGATGTACGAAGTTCGACACGGCTAGGATGGGACACCAAAGTCAGCTGGGTCTGTCTGGCAGGTACATCGTGCGGCGGCATCATGGTAGAGAGCTTTGAGGAGCAAAGCCCGTTGGAGTATCAATAGAAAAGAGCTAGATCGCCGACGACCCGCCGGTTCGAAAGAGTCCCGAGCCTGTCTATTAGAGAAGAGTCATCGATCAGTCGGACTGCCCTCCTCTGGACCGCATCGAGCATGGATAATGTAGTTGGGGCGGCAGCACTCCAAACGTGTGAACAATACTCGAGGCCTTATCTGGGCCTTGTATAGAGTGAGAAGGTCATGCGGAGAAAAGTACTTCTTAGCCCTAAACAAATAGCCTAGTTTTTTCCCAGCAGCTGCAGCTATTGACGAGATATGTTCGTGCCAGATCAGTTCCTCGGTGATCTGGACTCCGACCAGCCGAAATGAATGGATCTTTGGCAGAACTCGGCCGTCCATCGAAACTGAATGAGCGCTAGGACGCTTTTTGTTCGTCAAAGTACAGTACTTTGTTTTGGAAGCATTGAACTGTACAAGATTGTTGCGTCCCCAAGCAGTGATACCAGTGGCGGCTCGTGAGGTAGTGCCACGGTGCCATGGCACTACCTTGTCTTCTTCAAAAAGAATATTTTTTTCAATCTTCAATGTTTTACTTTATTTTTTGCTTTTTCATTTTTTTTTGGTATAAATTATATGAAGTGACAACACTGACAACGTGACAACACCGCAAGCACCCGAACCACGCGACGAGATATAAAGCATGCCTTGACCTTGACGTCATCAACTTGTGCCAATGTCGGGCCGGCCCAAATAAAAAGAGAGAAATTTTACCAGCATCGCATACGAGCGACAGAGATAACGCTACAATACACATTTTTATATGAGGTGAATAGCGAAAGACAAGTATAATTTGTGCCAGGCACATCATCAGTCGTAATTCGTTATCAAATGATATCGGCGGTGTTTTTGTTCGGTCGGTCGTTTCGTTATGATTACGTCTAGTGCTGATTTCGGTCTTTTTTTACCTGAAAAGTGAGAAATAACGTTTTTGTTTTAGTACGTCTAGTGTTAATGAACTGCTCTGTTTTGTGATCATATTTTTTACTGTTTTATTAAAACTAGTGAAAATGAATAAAATCGGGATATTAAAAAACTCATTTAGTGGTTTTTCGCTGGATCAAAAACTGCAAATTAAAGAATTAGGACGGCCAATACCCGATTTAAAAATTGAGAAACAAAGCGGTAGCGGACAAAAATCGCGCTGTCGCAAATTTAATAAAAATGTGTACGATAAAAACAGCTGGATATGTGGTTGTGAAGAAACGAATAAACTATTTTGTTTTGTATGTGTTCTATTTGGAGGTGACGAGACTTGGTCAAAAAAAGGTACAGATGATCTTATACATATATGGGATAAAATGAAGACCCACGAAAAATCTAAAGTCCATATGAATAATGTTTTTAGCTTTTCTATTCTTGGTAAATTAAATATAAGGACTCAACTCAATTCGGCTTATCGCAATGATCTAATTAAACATAATAATCAAGTGGATAAGAATCGATATGTATTGAATAAAATTATTAATTGTATAAGGTTTTGTGGAGCATTTGAGTTAGCCTTAAGGGGTCACGATGAAAAGGAAAATTCGGAAAACAGAGGCATATTTAAGGAGCTGGTGAATTTTAGCGCCGAATTAGACAACGAATTGAAAGTCCATATTCAAAGTGCCAAACTTTTCAAGGGTACCTCAAAAACAACTCAAAACGAGCTTCTTGAGTGCATGCTAGATGTTTATCATGAAGAAGTTAAGAAGGAGATTGCAAATTCTCCTTTTGTTGCAGTAATTGCCGATGAAACGACTGACGTAGCCTGTGAATTTCAGTTAGTTATTATTTTCAGATATTTGTGTAAAGGACAACCAGTTGAGAGATTTTGGAGATTTTACGTCCCCGACGGACACGATGCCAAATCAATCGCTGCATGCGTTTTAAATGTTGTAAATCCATTAATAGATCAAAATCCAAACAAATTAATAGCTCAAAGCTATGATGGTGCGTCTGTTATGAGTGGTGAATTGAATGGCGTTCAAAAGATTATTAAGGAAACTTATCCACTTGCAAATTATGTTCATTGCTATGCACACCAGTTAAATCTAATTATGACAAGCGCATGCTCTGTCAATAAGCAGGCTAGAATATTTTTCCATAATTTATCTGGATTGTGCTCTTTTTTTTCGACGTCTCCTCAAAGAACAAAAATTTTGGATGAAATAGTTAATCGCAGATTGCCAAGATCTTCCCAAACACGTTGGAATTTTCAGTCACGAGGTGTTCATACAGTTTATGAAAATAGGAAAGACCTGATTGAAGTTATGGACAATATAGAAAGTACTTCACGCGATTCTTCGTCGATTAATCAAGCCAGTGGGTACAAATTAAAGCTGCAAGATACAAATTTTGTATTTTGGCTAAGTATATTCCATAAAATAATG